CTCTTGTGGAATGAAGTTCTTATCGAACCGAAATTCGGGCCCCTCACACTGCTGTCAGTTTCCCCTGTGGTAGAATTAATTTCGCGACTTTTTATCAGTTGACATGTAGGTGACAAGCACGAGCTCTCTAAACCGCTAGAATTCTAATTAAGTTTCCGATGTGGTTTGCTTCCTGAGTTGCTCATAATATAAGAAATGAAACATTAGCCGGCACTTGAGTCTGAAAAGAACCGCATGTGCCGTGGGGCAATAATGATATATGTACAGTGCAAGTTATTCATAAATCACCCGGCAGTCATGATCGAAATTCTTCAAATAAAATGTTCTTACGGACATAATGGGAACCTCAACTCATCCCAACTGAATAGGATTAATTACAGATTGCGGAAAACCATCGCACATTTTTAACGTTTCCAAATTTCATACATAAGAAGATGCTCGATCACTGAGGAGCAGCCGATTTCTGCCGGACTTCTTCGGCTCTTCCTGTTTAAGAGAGCAGCTCAAAACTGCTAGAGCTATCCCGTGTAGAAAAAAATTAATTCGAATTCAGGTTCTTCTTTAAAAAATCGAGATGTATCGTGCAGAAAATTCCCCATCTCGATCCTGCTCTAAAGTTTGAGACTGATGCAGAGCTATCGGTGCAGTATAGTTAGAAATCGATGTATTGTGTAATATATAGAGCTATATCCAGTAGAATCACCTCAGCATCCAGAGACGACAACTTAGAAATCGATTGAGCTACAGTATATATGCATGTAACAACCAGGGAAGAGCTTTATCATTTGTATCCTTATACGAAAGTTGTGTGATACATGTGCACAAGTATTCACACGATCATTATTCAACGAGATAATTAGAAAATATCCTTGTTAACTTGTTTACGGTAAAAAAGTCTAATATACGCATTATTGAGGAAATGTAACCGGAATTGAATCATAAAGCCATTTAAACGTCAGAAATTCGCAGACTTTTTTTCCATCAATGAAGACAATTGTTAGAAAGGTCAAAATAATCATGCTTTTTTTTCCGTTTAAATTAAATCTCTCTACCAAATCCTAACCTCAGGAAACGTAGATCTGTCAACAAGATTTAAGTTGTATTTTTCAAACAAATCGAGTGCATTTAATACGCAATGCTGCAAATTGTAATGTTTGTTTGCTGCTGCACCATAGCAACGTGATGACGTTTGTTTGCTGCTGAACCATGGCAACGTGATGACTGACGTAATCTCAAAACTTTTGTTAAAGATTGATTCAAAATAGCAACTAAGCAATAACGCAAGTAGCCTGACACATTTTAATGGCCTCGTCAAGTGAAATCACTGAAATCACTGAAATCACTGTGAAATTACTGATTTGGTCAGGGCAAATATAGAGGTCTTGTAAAGTCCTTATGTCAGTATATTGCCATCTATGAAACGAGATGCATGGACGGTAAATTGCGAAATATATTTTATCAGATACCGAAGCCTGGTCACAAATACAGGTATTGCACATACATGCGCTAAATGTTTCGTGTATTTTTTAAAGGTTCAAGTATCAGTCATTTTGTAAGTATTCAGTATACTGGCTGACGCCCACAGCATGTGTAGGATTGTCAGTTTATGCATATACGCAAATGATCTGCCAACACAGCAGTATAAAAACCCCCTAAAAGTTTGACGATAACAATTCGAGCCGAAAGTCATCAAATCTCGTCTGACCACTAGACCCCTAGACCCGTTGGTCTTGATAAGCCCCGGCATTTTAAAACACACTTGACTTGAAAATCAATATGTCGCAGGAATTAGGCACTTAAATGTTATTGCTTGTGTCTGTATGAGATCGATAACATCTTATCTATAAATCTTTTTTCCTTTAAACTATATGTATATATAACATGCAACAGACAGAAATCTTCACGAAACATTCGTCAGAAAGAACAGCTGAAAAGTTGCAATTCGAACGTTTCAAATACCTAAGAGAATCGAAATATTCAATCGTGCAGCTGTTTCGCTCGTATTTAAATGCCATTTTCGTCTCTCTATAGCTGGGTGTCACCACGATATAGACTGCAGAGTTTTAAATCATGCTTAATTATCAATGCGCCAATTACACTAATAGGGCTGGCCTTATTTCCCGGACTAACCCATGTACTACATACAAATGTTTTATACACATATAGAAATCCCTGATGAACTTTGCATCGGTATAAGCATTATTGCTGTACCTGCACAGCTGGGTTCATCCAGCGTGGCCGGATTTTGTTTGTTACAAGCCGGGGCTCGAGCCGGGATGAGATTTCCACGAATTTGTTTTTGTTATTTAGCGTTCTTTTTAGTATACCCTTCGAGCAACCTCCTCCGCAGGCGCTAGGGAGCATATCACCGCCCGCCATATTTGCCCAGAAAAGGGCCTACGGAGGAGGATAGGCCTTTGAGGAACGACGATTGAAATAAGCCCTCAGTTATATAGGCATGCTCTACGCGAGACAATATGATAGCATAGTATCATTAGTTTTAATGATACTATAAAAAGATCATAAAAAGAACGCGCGAGTTGGTTGGATGCAGGATAATTATTATATTGTTGGCACATGCAATGTATACATAGGTATAAAAAAAGCGAGGATATCTAAATATATGCCTTAGCTATATAGTTTTCGCTGTTTTGAGATGTAAGCTCGTCTCGGTGGAGTGGAACAAATGCGGTTTAAATTACGCTTTATATAGACACGAGTTGATTACAAAATAGGGCAGTTTCTCAGGCACGCAACCTAAAGCATATGGCCCACATATGGTTTTAAACGAGTGTTAATTCATTATCCACGACGAATGATGTACAAATGGACAAATATTCGCTGCTGATAAGTCGAATTATACAAATACATAAATCACAATTCTAACTTAGCTTAAATTATGCGCTGGCCTATTAAGTGACTTCTTGTCTTCATCGACGGCGCAGCGTGTATTTTCGTGAAAATATTTGAGAGGAACAAGCTACACCAATTTGTAGACAAAAAAGAAAGAAAATCGCCTGACACTTGCATGCGGGAATCCAAGGGTGTATGCACCCATAAATTGAAACCCGTTAGCTTTTTAGGTGCATTTTCATTTCTGTTTGTCGTTGTGATGACAAATTGCAGCTCTTGTGCTAAATGACTTTTGCTGAGTGCATCTCGTAAGTCGCAAAAGAAAGGAAATCTTGCCTAAAACTAGGAAGGACTATCTTGCTCTCGTCACGACAGGTTTAATTAAAGATCTCAATGAGAGTACTCACGAATAGCGGATTAATTGTGGACTAGTAGATAACCAGATAAATAAGTTTTTATTACTAAGCGGGCAAAGCAGGTTGGTCGAGTTAATGGCACTAAAGAATGCAAGACTACCCGTGAGTCAAAAATCGCTAAAAGTAAAATTGTAACGAGCAAAAAAAGACGGAGCCTAGTCGTCGAAAATAAGTAAAACGGCGGCAAATTCTCCAGGCATGCAGCTCTCCACGAAATAATATTCGTCTCATGTAAGATATCTGCACGCATATACATAGGGGACCTATAAATTCTCGCCAACTTTAGCATACTTTGAATTGTTTAATCGCTTTTTAGCAATGTTAAACATGATGATGCAACTTTACTGAACGATTTACGAACAGCGGGAATCCGAACCAATGTATTTTATTAGTAATGGGCGTATAAATCGTGACCGTGGTCATGTTATCAAGATGACCATATATGGTGTTGGTTTTTTTTGTGGGTTTGAAAAACGTTCCACATCATCCAAGGTTAATCGGTTAGCCTCGTTCTGTGGTCCGAATATGCCAAATCGTAGCAGGGACGAAATGGAATCGGGGATTGAAAATGCATTAGTTTCCATAATGATGTGATAATTAAGCCAAATAAACAAGACAGAGATAAAATACCTCATCAAAATATATGATCACGCAACAATTAATATACATAATCATAGATCACGCGGACCCCATGCATGCACGCACAATACAAATACGCGGGGGTTTTATTCCAGTCTAAAAATTGCTGCGCTTTCCCCATATACATGCATGGAACCTATATAACCGATGGTCATAACGTAATTATAAGTTTATCCATACGATTGGCGAGAATTTGAGAGCCACAAAAACAAGAAATATGGATAAAGTGAAGATTTGGGTATAATCACATATGTATACTTCTAAGGTAGGACGTATAACCCAGCCAGCTTTTAAATTTAGTGCGATTATAAAAAACTGCTTGCAGTAAACACCGTGAGAAATATATTCGTCAGTCTGAACTCTCTAGAAAACCATGCTTTCATGCGTAATTATCAACTTATATATACACTATGTATGTGAATAATTATATTTCCAGCTATAGTGCATGTGTACATACATTATTAGACATCAGTATATACACGAACTTTATCGTTCACTTCTCCCCCTTACCTTGGCTTTGGCATTCAATTATAGACCCTTAGGTTCGAAGGAAATATTTTTTCGCATAGCAGTTAGATAACAAGAGAGCTCAAATCATTAATGCAGCTGCATGAACAAATGACTTCTTTTACATAGGGCCGGGTATATGTTTTTAGAAATTTTGAAAATCTTTCTTTCGATGCAGAAGTTATAGAAGCTAACAATGATATATAGCTATATATATTATGTGAATCCAAGACGACACTATTAATTGAATACATGCATATATAAGCTATATACAGGGGGCTTGATTATTTTTTTCGATTTTACCTCACACTATTTAATAAGATTGATTTACTGTTCATATGAATGATTTATCGCTGATATTGTTTTCATATTAACCAACTTGAAAATACCTCGGGCGGCTTTTTGAAGGACGGACATTGAAATAATATTTCTTACATGCAATTTTCTCTGATCCATGCAGGCTTTAGAATGATAGGCGTCAGGTTAAACAGCTGCGTCTTTGTTCTACAAAACACTATATATAGTGCATGCATTATAGACATTATAGTATAAATGTATATGATCATAAATCTTGCATGTAAATACCTCTCTCATGGACCATCTGACCAAACTACACGCGTCTTGCTGAAAACATATTATTCGGCATACGACATATTCCTCCAGTTCAAAACAAAATTGATATGATCCTAAAAGCAATCAAACAAAGAAGTCGAACTAGAAAAGAACAATTAAAACAGAAAGGTTTGACATGAAATGTCCATCACTTGATCGAATTGTCACTGGTTTCAGTTAAACATCGAGGCAAAATCGTGAGGTAATTACATTCGGCTATACATCAATTCACTCTTATATACCTTATATGCATGCATGTAAAAAAAGTTTTTTTGGGAAAACAAACTGTGTCCACATGCAATGTCATTAATTTGATTTAATGGGTACGGTTCTTTGAGAATTCTCATTTGAATATGAAAGTGTTCTAGCTTTTGACAATATATACATGTTGGCCTGCAGATTTTAGAAAATTTTCAACGAACTTCACTTCGAAAATCTTGGACTTTGCAGGTGAAGAAACGCGCTCAAATTTTTATTTTTGATCGACGTGCAGGTTCTATTGTCGATGTGAGGCTGTTTGCTTATGACGTGCTAAATTCCTGACAGAAGTTCAAAACTTGACATGCTGTCAAAATGATTTGGCGTGTTGTTAGCGATTACCATAGCCATAGGTGTGCTAAGCAATGACGCAGAAGCTTTCCCAAATTGTTTTCTTTCAACAAGAGTCAAACAAAAACAACCTAGCAATAGCATATTGGGTGTAAACTGTCGGCTATATAGGGGCATACCGGAGAAAAGGGGTGATTCTCTTTCGAACAAAGCAATTAAAGAAAGGTAAACATGTGTAGCAATCCATATTGTTTCTTCAAAAATACTATTCAATATTCGTTTTTGTTGCACTGGCACGTCAAATGAAATCCTCAAATGACGTCATGGCAACGCAATCAATGAGTCAATGAATACCAAAAAAAAAATGCCCATCGCCTGTGAGAGCTATTGACGTATGAGCCCGTCCTGTTACAGTAAATACTAAATACCATTATTTTCTGAACAATTTTGGTTGCTTTTAGCAAAGTATCATTGTCACTATAAACTTGCTCTAGTGGCTCATGAAACCACGATGCCATGTATGTTCAGTAACGATTTTTCATTACAACAATAATTTTTTGTTTGATAGTCAATGAATGCGAAGATATTAACATATAGCGGCATAAAATGGTCAGGTTGGCCACGCTATTATTTTAGCATTCCGTGGTGCACTTATATAGTTCAGCGGCAATATAAAGAGCGAACTATGCGAAGTTTAAATTTGTGAGCAGCCCCCCGGAATATAATGAGTGACATTTGTCGGTATATACTTTTATTTCATTTTGTGCAAATTTGCAATGATTGATGCGGACAAGATGGAAGGGGGGGGAGGTACATGGTTTTAAACGGGAAACATCGTGTGTTCAAAGCCACACTGGAAGTTTGAATCTTGTTCCTGAGTTTGAAATTTTAAATCGTCCAAAAATTGTCCGGCAAAGAAGTATTTTCAAACTTCGTTATATGAAAAAGGAAAATTTCATTATAAACGCCACAGGGAATTGTCGAAAAATTATTGGTGAAGACACAGCAAGACCGCGGTGTGAATTAATGCCCACGATAGGCACAATGACAAATCTAAGAATGCTTGCCCCTATAGTCTAAAATACGCCCATACAATTTCAATCAAACGCACACAATTGCCCAATAATAACGAAACATCACAATCAGTGCTGCTACAAAACGAACCTGCCCTATCTTTAAAGGAAAAACGAAAAAAAAGATAAGAATGCATTATGTATGCAATCTATGTTGGCAGCCGAAATAAAAAACGTCAAACCTAATTCTAAACATCATTCATCTGAATATTCAAGTTGAAACTTTATTATATACAACCATCTTTTTACAACAATGCGTTGACGCACAAGCATGCATGTTTACATTGAACGCCTGGTTAGCTTTTAGTCTGAAATTTAAATATATACAGTGTCAATAGCAACACTACATTTATCATAAATATACATGGTGTTCTCATCTTATCACGGAGAAAACATATGCCACAGGGCATGTCAGTGTATCATGAATAAATTCAAACACGATAAGTCCAATATTTATAAGTTATGCGTGTTCGGCGGTCGGCAATAGACACATAACTGAGTCGGATATGCATATAACTGAACTAACATTACAAACATCGAGTGAATCTAGTTGCATTGAGATATCGCTAAATTGGCGGCTTCACCGCAACCGAAATGTTCAGAGTTCGTTTTAACTTAAGGAGCTGTGACGGTATTATTATAGACTATTGTGGTACAGGATTTACGCGGTAAGTTTATATGCACAAAAAGTGTTAATGTCTTCGCTTGCTTGTATATAGTTTATTGTACTGCATGCATGTATAGACTATGGTCTAGAGTGATGTTATCTTTCTTCCGAATTTTAAGTGTTAAAATAACCTTTTAAGACGAGCAGCAGGGAACTGTCTAATGCATGTACGCTATATTATATACAAGAACTATTCTAAAATATTAGAGAAAATTCATTAGGAGAAGTCTGTACAGATTACTGGAAATTTTTAACCCTTTTGCGGACATCTAAGTCCACAAAATGTCTGTTATTAATCTCGTAAATAATGCAATGCCATTGTCCGGCTGAGTATATGGCCACAATCGCAGACATTTTAATTTACAAATAACTTAAAGCCAATATATAAGACTTCAGTTTTGAAATCTACAAAGGGTCCGAAATTCCTACTGGGATATGCACCAATATAACGAAGCAATATAAGCTATATCTACAAGTATAAATAGTGGTATCGTTCGGTATATTATATATACATTATTCTCAGAAACCGTTTGCATTTTGAAAAATATGAAAATATGTTAAAAGAGTTATGCACTTTCACGAGGGAACGTTCGAGCCTGTTGCTATTTTTTTGCACGTATCAAGCTACAGCTAGCTTATATATATGCAGACGAACCCGTTAAAAACTAAACAAATAGAATCTAAGGTGATGCAAGTACTCTTCGACGTATCCCTTGATCGGTGTTTAAATATATATATAATATGGCTGCATTCCTGTGGGTGATATCCGAGGAAGGTACATTATCTTGTTACGCCAAAAACACGCAACGAGCATGCAGTAACATTGGTCGACGTTCCGTAAAAACAGGGGTGTTGAGTGATCTTACAGTGTTTCCCATCGGGGCATGATTTTATGGACGTCGATCCTCGACGAGATTCGAACTAACATTTCACTTGTTTCCTTTAAATTGCATTTGAGGAATCAAGCAGTTCCATTAGTGAACATTTATCTCAGAGGCCGCCTCCAAATGGTTTGGCTTGAAATTTCGCATTTCGCCATCGAAAAAAGGGCCCGTGGAATTACGCTTTTGAGATGATATATGTATTATAGGGAAGGCTCAAAACTGACTTGAAATCATTTGATTTATATTAAGTAGAAAAAACTGGCGCTAGTGAATCGATTTTCCTATAATGAGAGCGCGTTTATGCTATAAAGACGAGTGCTATGTTTTGAGACGATTTGTGCGACTCCATTTGAATTAATATATGAAGACCATGTTAATTGTCAATATTTTTGAAGTTGACAGTATCATCTGCCAGCCTTTTAACACAGTTATTGAACCCGGCCCACGAGCGATATTAGTACACGCAAACACCTCCGCGGCGGCACTTCTATTCACACGCTTATCGATGAAATGTCTTTGGGAAATACCACCCGAAACAAATAGGCTTACAGCAAATTTCTAATATTCATCCAATCTATATTATTGCGAGAGCAAGAGAGCAGCTGATTGCTTGGCACGTCCGTTGGCGTGCGTCAAATGAAAGTGAATTATTTATAATATTCAGAATGCAGAAATTAAATTAAAGTTTGCACAGCGCAAATCAAACCTAAAATTGCTTTGACCATATAAAGTAAATACATAAGATGACAGCTCTTACAGCGTGATTATCCAGTAATGCACAGGCAGTGCGTATCTCATGTTTAGTCGCGAAGGTCTGTTTGATATTAAGAAATTAAAAAAAAACACGTTACCCGTTCAGTGTACGCGCGTTCGAAAGCGCATGATTCATTCCGCGTGATCCCGCCTCGTCTGAAAAATGTTCCCCAAAAATGGTGTATTAAAGAGTAATTAAAAGAATGGGCCAAAGTAGAAAATAAAAAGGTTTTAGGAGATTACCAAAGGTTATCTTTTGATTAATTGTCTTACATATGAACAGACTAAACAATTGCATGGACGCCTCGTTTTCATGTGTCAAAAGTGAACAGGCAGTTAGGTCGATCTATATATTGATTATCATGTTATGAGATAACCGCGACAAAAGCGACTCAAAGCCTGTTTTCATTTATAGTCGTTGTTTTCGTAAACATGTAATGGCGGTTGGTTTAATAGAGTGTTGCTTCGTGTTTGTGGTCAAGAATGACCGAATTCGAGGAAAAGCAATGACAAATTCCATCTATTCGAGACTATTTCTCATCAGTTAAAACGACTTGTTCTCGACAATTACGTTAAAAGGGAAACTAGCCTTGAGGAGATCGAATCTATCTTCAGTCGACAAACGTCGACATGGTTCAAAACAAACTCCTTGAATTCAGTGTTGGTAAATTTTGTCGTCTGTCAGATGCTTTATGTAATACATTATATAATACAGAATAAGACGTTAGAAACATGAACTGGTTAGAAAATGCAACTTTAGAAATGCAGCATTAATCGCACGCAAACAAAGTTTTGCAGTAGTATAAACACAACGCGGTCGACGACTAAAACTCTCTTATAGATCTTTAACTATTCATTTCGTTTCAATGACTTGTTGTATAACATTGATAGCCATGCGGTGTCGTCCCCAAGCTGCAACTGATACGGCGCGGCTGCGTGGGCTACTGGAGGAAACGAAATGCCACTGCTTTGACGTTGACGAATGACGACCTGTGCCTTTAAATGCTTATACTAATCACGAGCAATGGATTTTATCATAAAACCCGTACTGTGGATAATGAAACAGTGGCTTTTGGGATGTAACTGGATTTTGTCGCGACACGTTTTGTAACGAAGGAGTGCCATTTCTGGTTCGTTTTATTGTTTTTCTGTGTGTCAATGTCGACGATGTGTTGTTTACCGACCTAAACTCATCTCTGATACGGGCAGGCTTCGACGCGTTTTTTGGGAAGATAATACCAGCAGGCCTAAGTTTCCGGTCTTTATCAACACCCTATTTCCAATAAGTTCACTTTGCCTCTTGTTTTGCGCGTGTTCATACAGAACCAACATAATAAATGATGACTTGTACTTTCTAATTATGCCAATAAGTTAATTAGCATTTCGAAATTTAAAACATGGTAGATATATTTGAATTTTATTGTTGAAGTTTGCCGTCGAAGTATAAACTATGAACTTCCGGACTTTAACACCCAATAACTATACAACGAGCTATCATCGCCTTTGCTTTAGAATACGCTGGACTATTTTGTCATTGACAACAAAAATATCGACTCTAGAGTATCGTAATCAGATGATATCACTTGTATACTTACATGAAAACCTTGAGATACATATCATTATTTGTGATGAGCCAGGAGAAAAAGTTTCATTAACATGGTAATCTTGCTTGTTTGTAGTGTGTTGGCCTGTGATTGAATCTATACGCAGGCTCATTAACCTGAACAAACAAAAAGAAAAATATTTAAATTATCACAGGTAGTATATTTGTACGTTAAACATGTCTTACCACAAAGACATTAAACATGTCTTACGTTAAACATGCTTTCAACATATTTTACCACAAATGTCGTTGACTTATATATCAAACGTGCTCGGGGAATGCAGACTAAAGCTTTATTAGTTTCAAACTGTTCATCCTGTGTTTATCTTTTCAACTAACGTCATAGTTCGTATTTGTAGCCTTTTTGCTATTTTAGGTGGAAATTAATAAATACATGCAGTTATTTAAAAGCAAACACGAAATGCAACTGAGAACTGTAGCAATGTAATAATTGTGTCTGTATAATATTTCAGAGGCTCTTATAGTTGCCAGGGTTTGTAGCAATCGGTTAAATAACTGATCTGAAAACTACTCGATCACTCATCCTTTTGAATTTGACCGGCTAATTTTGAAGTCTGAATATTTATAGTGAGACAACATTTCTAATGTTTCTAAATTCTTTACAAACCTAATTGTTAGTTAACTAAATTAGCTTTTTTGTCAAGTAAATGTCTCTTCTTATGTCGTTGTAGCGATAAACAACTCCTCGAACAAGCTTTGAAGGTAATCAGACGTTCTCGAGGCAGCCATATTGGTTTGACCTCATTAGCATTAACAGGCAGACTTAAAGCAAAAGGAAGAAAATCAGCGACAAATTTGAATGTGCGATTCAGGGATACGTTTTCTTTCTAATTATGCATACCAGATGCGCGACCCAGTAGTTTTCAGATCAGTGCTTGTGGGATAGTCGAAATACAATAGCCTAATAAAAGCCCTGTAGGCAAACAAATTTCGTACCAGCCGAATACGATAGGTTTTGGAACCAGATAACTAAATCGAAATAATGTCCAACAGAAGTCACGATACTTCTACAAATTGTTTTTACAGACTCAGGTTGAACACGAGAGAGTGGGGCGAGAATACCACCGATGACGTCATTCGCAAACAAACATCGCGCGATCGGCATGACGGTGAAAATGTATTCTTGGCAGTTTGTCCAAAAATAATTTGAAAATCCTATTTATACACAAAGGAATGATTAAAGTTTGTGTTGAGAGCGTAAAAGGCTTAAAACTATTCTCGTTGCTGCCAATTTCGAGAACAAAACAAACATAAATAGGAGCTAATTGTCCTTTACAGATCATCCCGTCCATTATTCTACCGCCGTCGGTGGCGGTTTAATTAAATAAGCTTGAAATAAACGACATGCATCATGCACTTAGGATTGAAACTTCAAAAATTCATGATTGATATAAAACATTAACTGAAAGGTGCTAAAAGTACTGGATATATATAGTTAGAGATTGTTTTTTGAGAAATTATTTGCTATATTGATAACGTTGAAAAAAATTCGATTCCAAAAGCAAGGAAATTCTTAATAATTTCGTCCTAGAGCGCCTGCGGCCATTTATCGCAACGGCATGCTTCAAAAGGTGCAATTTCATCGCAGAAAGATGAGCTTTGTTTGTGCAAAAAATTAGGTTTATCAACTGTGTTCCCCACGATGATGACGGTTAAGTTACCTTTCTATGTACGCACTTGCATTAGTTCGATAGATTTTTCCTACACAGCATGGGTCTGATGTCAACGTCCCCAATATTTTCTTTATGCTGTATAATAAGAGAAAACATAACTGAACTAATAACTTCATTTAAACAAGTGACAAAATATTTTCACTGGTCAATACCCAACCAGGCAGAAGTTTATTCAGGCCGGGTATTACTTCTACCAACGAAGATAATTCAACCCATGGTCCTTATATATTATATATACACCTTGTGGAACCATCCAATGATTTCTAAAACGTCAGTTCTAAACGGATCATTTCTAATTAACTTTAACTATATCTACGACAGTGAAGAAGTTAACCTAACCTAACTATTATTCCTGATACTGATGCCTAAATCAATCTATAGAGCTATAAGCCATCACTTTCACCAATTTTACATATATATATATGCTATATAACATTCACTAATTTTACTATAATATCACTATATTTATATGCTATAACATTTACTAATTTTACTATAGCATTCACCAATTATTATATAGCATTTACCAATTTTACTATTCCATACTAGGAGAAATCAAACTAAAGTCTAAATCAGGTCTTTAAATTAATGTTCTATATATACAGTATCCTACTCCTGCTATCTAAAGTTCTAAACTACTTGATTTCGTATCGCATAGGGCCAAGTAGGAATCATCTTGGATAGCTCTATCATATCTAAAACGCTCTTCCAAAGGCTCGCTAATAGTGGTCTTTTTTACCCGAAGAGCTAAAACACGGTTGTTAATGACGTCAAACTGATAGCGTTCTTATAATTCTTAGATGTCATTGCGGGATTTATGCAAAGCAATAAAATTCTAAGTACTGCAGTATGGTAAACAATTCAAATCCGTCCAAGTGGTACAGCCGATATTATCATTTCAGCAGCGAAAATATTCGAAACCATTTTCATGCATTTGGGAAAGTTATCAACCAGAGTGCCAAAACTGCTCTCCCGCGTACAGCATTCCAATCAAATCTCTACAAGAGGTTTTAGCCTTGTTTAAACACACGACGTGGGGGTAAAATTTCGATACGCTGAACAAACGACATTTCCTACTGATTACAAAGCCATATTTACCAAGATCTGGCAACTTAATCCTTAATTTCCATAAATGTGTTCCAAAACAGAACGATATGATATGGTATAGTAGCTATAAACGCGATAACTTGTCGGATTGCTAGCTCGTGCGTAATAAGGAAAGTGATCAAGGACCGTGGTTAGATTACCTGATAACGAATTTGACGTAGTCGAAAAAAACGTTTGTGAGTTATTCAAGGTATGAAAATTTCGATTGGCTTGTATTAGACGGCTATAATTGCTTTTATTTTGGCACGTGTATCTCTAAACGGTGGTTTATGCATGGTTGTTCAATGTATATGGTTTTACAAATTTCATATCTCATTTTGCAACACAACACTATCTGTGTTTCCTTCACCGCGAAACCTCTTTAATGTCGTAACGATAAATATATTAATGGACCTCTTAGAAAAACATTTTGAATCTGATATCACACAATAGACGTATCACTGACAAAATGTTAGCTCAACACAGGATTATTATAGAGATGATTACGTGCTGTTCTCTGCCCATAAGGAGAACACTTAGAACCGATGATTATAGCATTATTGAGGTATACAGTTAACAGTTTCGTTTAAGATAGTCTGAATCAGCAATATCACATTGCTTTATATACTTGATAACAAGGATGAATTTCATCAGATCTTATAGAGGAATAGATTAGAAATGACATGGCTACAGTTTTAGACATATAACTTGTGCATGCGAGATTGGAAAATTTGCATATTATACATTTCCCATAAAAGCAGCTTTTTTGACGTTATAGCTAGAACCTCTCGTAACATCATGGGATGAAGAGATGCATGAGGTTATGCATGAAAATGTATACAACACAAATTTATTTTTTAACACAGTAACAATTATAATTTCAGTCAATGAATCTTATAGACTCAGTGATTATATTCATGCAGTATATAATGTATACATTCTGAGACAGACTGAGCCGCTTGAGAACCATACAATTAGAGAACAATTATATAGAGATCTCTAAGAAGAAAAGTTTGGGACTGCATAGTTAGGTTAGTACAGATTTAGGAAAACGATATTAGTAGCTTTATCCTAATCAACTATATTTTATACTTGTATATGAAGCTTCATCAGGAAATATTTAAAAACAAGTATGCGACACCTCCGCAAATTCTAGAGCAATGCCAATAACTCCAACCGCCAACTGACGCCAAATTCGACAAGGCATTTTGTATTTGGTTTTCAGCCGGAAAAATTCTCGGTAAAACTGTCATGCTCTTATCAACTTATTCAGGGATGTTTACCCAGCTTCTATAGTCAAACACGCTAGACAAATTGAACGCATGACAGGCAGCCATAACGGCATAAGGTGCAATAACATGCATTTGTCGAACAAATATATGGGCGCTAAGAAATATCACACTCGCAACTTCCATTAGGCGCACTGAAATAATAACGATACGGACAGCAGAATAAACAATATGTACACGCATTGATATGCAATAGTATTATGTTATGGTTGGATTCGGATACCAAACGACAGCTAGTATCGTGCAACAGCGAGATATTAGTTAACTCTCTCGATTACAGCGTCGTATTTATCTTTAATGGAAAATCGCGTCTGAGAGCTATATATAGTTTGATTTGCTTGTTTTTCATTTTTGAAGTTCACCAAACCATCTGTTCGCCTGCTCAAACGAAATACGATGAAACCTTAGCAACGACATTAGAAATTTGCCTTCGCATTTCATACAAACATATAGCGTGTGGGCCTTTTAACGCTAATGTGTAATAGGTGCTAATAGTTTGATTGAGTTTAATGGTGTATTTATAAATTTAAGCGTAATTTCCAAGATTTTTAAGCAGACTTAAAAAACGCCAAAGAGCAGCTGCGGAAAAGTTGACCATTTCCTGGTCAACACAACTGACGAGTTGTGTATTTTTCCTCGCAGATCACAGAGAAAGACTTGTTTATCTGCCGTTAGCATCGAACAGAATTTTCGTCTACGTCTGGCGTAGTGGCATCATACTTCACAGTTGTTGACAGAAGAGGTAAGAGATAGTTTGAAAGCAATATTTCAGAACAGAATGAGATAAGCTTTAATTTAAGACGTGACCCTTCGACCCTAGACCGCCGCAAAGGAACGAGAGTTGTGTACATATAAGGTGCTATACGGGAAAGAGAAAAACAGACTTTAGAGGAAACATTGGCGAACCTGTGCTTGGGGAGAAGACACGACGAGAAGGTAAGGGGAGTTTTGGGATTATTATACATAGGAATACACAAATGAAATAATTGATTTGCGCTTTGCATCACGGGAGGAACATGCATGATCAGAATATACAGAGGTGTGCGGCATAGCACAAACTGTAGTCACGACATCAATCTTCCATACAGGACATACAGGAATCGTGTACATACATCGCATATATAGCATGCAGATACGATAGAATAATAAGTCTTGGATATAAAAGCGTTGAATTGCAACCCCATGGAAGGTAATCGTTGCAAATATAGAGATCATTAGAAGGATATATGTACGTAAAGCAAGTGCTTAGTTCTCTAAACAAGATTCATATATATCCTATATTATATATAGGATACACATTCTGTCCATGCATGCAATCTCATGATTCCGTCTAAAAATGAATTTGAAGCAACATGCACGTTTAAAATTCATTGACTTTAGCCTGCATGTGTCTATAATTCTTGTGAATCTGGACTATTGTACTCTCAAGATGTTTTGACAGTTTTGTCTATTCGGAATTTGCCAATTTGCTTCCAACTTTATTCAAACTTTGATGTTTTCATGGCCACATACGTCATGAGCGCACAAGTTTATACCAAAATGTTTTTACTCGTCACGTTTTAAACCAACCAAGCAAGGGCATATGCCGCGTATAGGTAGAAAATTCTCTGTAACAACTATAAAATACTTCACTCCACTGAAGCCGAATGCTGTCGAGATTGAAATTGTCCTTGGCTTTGGCCTTTAGGAAGCATGCAAGTTTTCTAATAATCATATTATATTTCGAAAGTTGCCGTAAGTCGAACTTTGTCAGAATTTAGGCGCGGAATTTTGAATAGCGCAGAGCCCAACAAAATTAGCAGATCAGTGGCAGAGCCCAACGATTTCGCCAAATATCTGCACACGTAGCCATGTAGGCACCGTACTTGTACCTCTTTCCCGGCTATACGCTTTTGAAGGCTAAACTTTCGACAATCATGTTTCTATTTTGCTACGTGCAGTATTGCCTTGTTTCCATTTGGTCGTGAGTGTCGTGAACTTGCCAAGGTGGCTGATGTGATAAAATATTTCTATGTGTGTGCAGTCAACAATGACCGATTTGAATACAGAAATAAAGACTAATTTACACTCGGACTATTTCTCATCGGCGAAAATGACTTGTTCACGACAACTACGACTGAATGGAAACCATGCAGGGTTAAGAAGACAGCAGAGCAAGAGAAGATGCTTTATGCATGCAAGGAAATGTGTTTAGATTGGAATATCAGCTAGGACCTGGTCAGTGCTAATGTTTAATTAAACAATCAACGCTCCTTTATATCAGACGGGGGGTTGATTCTCTCAGTCACAACGTCCTATCTCCTGATACATTCCTTAGCCGAGTCTGTCACACCACATCAGGTTTCCACGATGTAGAGGCAGTAGAGCTGAGATCACACATCTCCTATATGCATAGAATACGTCTCCAACTAAATGGCTTCACGAGATCATCTCAACATCCTGTTATATCATTCGTAGCTATCCTAATATTGGCTTATTTTCTGCAGACAATGCGTACATAGGAGCTATGACATGTAAATGTTTATACAAAAATAAAGAATTTCGCAAAGACATAGCAATAAATCAAAGTTAGTTTATTTAGAACGATGATATGTCCGGTGTTGTTTCAGGGCTGTTCAAATACCTAATAATGTGATAAACGCTTGCAAAATTACGGCAATTCATCCAAGAGATTAGCGCATGACACTTGACATGTAAGAGCGTTAAAAATAATCGCCCTTGTCATGAGGACAACCCTTGAGTTGAGAATCAAGGAATTATTCATAATGTAACCTACGTTGAATGTAACGATAGTATATTAGGGTTTATGATATCTTTGGTTTATGCACTTGAATTAATGGACCTCGATCTTTGGTTCCTAAATGTTTTCATAGTCGTAAAGCAAACGATAGCTTTGCCAAAAATTCAGTCCACGAAGGTTTCACCAACTTTTGTGTCAGTATAACTTATAGCAGGTTATGATCAGGTCAGTCCAGTGATTTCCCAATGAGTAGAAGAAATAACCAGTTGTCCTGAAATTTATCATAATAAAAACGATGGGTTGGTATATACCGAATCGACCGCAATGACGATTCTGAAATGTTTGGGGACTGACTTCGGTTTGTTTTGACGAGTTTTGTTCTTCGTGTGCAGTCTTATCTTTTGTTGCAAACGGAAAACAAAAACCAAGCCAACAGGAGACTGATAAATTCCTTGCACACATCAAAGTTCAACCTCTTGAACTTGATTTTGCATCGCAAACAATTTAAAATTTTTATCGTAATCGTTTTATGATTTGTTCAAGGTCGACATTCTATCATTTTTTTCAATACGAGGAATTTGAAATAGCTTTGATGATAATGCGGGACAGTCATGGACAGTCAGGTGTGAGGGAAAGTTACGAACGAGTCTCGTTATAGGTCTGTTCATTCGATCATTCAATCTATAATCTCCGCGCGCGCTGACATGGTTGCTAATAATGTGGTGCACGCATTCACAACTCTGAAATAATAAGGACCAGGCAATGTCAATTCACTTTGCAGTTTTGTTTCGAGACATTTGTTTAATAACAATGCCCTGTCTTTACTTTTAGGTTGAAAAATTCTTGGTTGCGTCAAAGTAAACATTTGAATATCTTGGTATTCCTGGTCGGCATTCCTCTCAAAGATTTCACAATACCTTTTCCTGTTGCTCAAGTGGGAGGACAACTTCAAAGTTAACGACGACTACAAAAATAACAACAATCAAAGCCCTGTCTTCAGCAAGTATACTCCATTTCTACGAATAGCGAACATCAACCTCAAAACAGAGCAACAAGGCAACTTTATTCGCTTTACTATACGTGGACTAAACTCGAGCCTACCGCGAGGAGATACCAGAATTGACCTACGAACCTTGGGAGAATTTGACAATCGGTTTTACAACGTCAACAACTGAACAATTGCAAAAATTACTGGCGTGTAAAAGGACCTGACAAAGCACATGATGAGGAATCTGACATTATCGACACTATCCACGGCAGTGTTTAATAAAACCCTACCAAACCTGACCTGCTCAGAAGAGTTGGAATCTACGACTGAGGAAGCGATGCGATACTTCATCTCAGTTTGTCTAGCAATCATTATAACTATCTCCATTGCGGGAAATTTGATGGTAGTAATCGCATTCAAAGTGAACAAACACTTGCAAACCGTCTCGAATTCCTTCATTCTGAGCCTAGCCGCGAGTGACCTGATAACAACGATTTTCGTGATGCCTTACGACCTACATATCATACTAACGAAGCACGTCTGGGAATACGGAGAAACATTGTGCAAATTTTATACAACAGTCTACCTCATCTCGGCACCGGCATCCACTCTGAACCTGTTGGCAGTCAGTATAGACCGATTTCGACTCATTCGCGACCCGTTCGCATATAAGAGACAGACCACGCCCTTTAGGGCATTACTGGTGGTCATGTTCATATGGGTTTACTCAACGATTATCGCCTTGCTTCCACTAATGGGCTGGCAGGATTCGACACCCTGGCCAGATGATACCAATCCTAATTGTACCGTACGCGATAATAAAAACACAAAATGCTACTTCGCTATCGCCTGGCACTACTCCGTGATGGTGTCAGTTTTGAACTTTGTTATTCCGCCTCTGATAATGAGCGTTATATATTTCAGAATTTACCTAATAGCCAAGGGGCATATCGAAAGAATACATCGCCTGGAAAGTGCAACTCCGAACGGCAGAGCCTCTTTAACAGGAATGACGCATTCAGCAAATAATAGTCGCCGATCGTCGCGGGCTGGTTCGTGCTCGCCTATTCAAATAGAAATGCATTTCAACGGTTCGAACTATTTGACAGTTCCGCACGCGAATGGTAATTTTCCGCCCGTTGGTGAGAAAGATGTGCACGCGAATCATAAAAATGGACACGAACACAGAAACTCCCTGCTCGCGAGTACGGATTTTAAGCACGCGCGAGTACAAGATGAACACGCAAAAGCGGCAACGGAACACGCTAAAATGGATACTGAACACGAGGAAATAGCTTTAATGCACGAAAGAAAGAATTCCACCAACGGGCAAATAGTAACTGCGCACGAAAGAAAGAACTCCACGATGGGAACCACGGAACAAGTTCACGTTACCCGCAGAAACAATAATGGAAAACGCAAATCACGCTTGTTCTCAATAAACGGCACCTCGATGCTACGAAAAAACTTAAAGGCAGCGAAATCGCTCGCCATTATCGTTGGCGCGTTTTTCCTATGCTGGTATCCACACACAATCGTTAGCATGGTAGTAAATTCTTGCATCAGATTAGAATTACCCTGCACGTTGCCACCGGTGTACGTTGAGAATCTGCTGCTTATAATTGGATTCGTGAACAGCATGATAAATCCTTTTCTTTATGGGTTACATAATAAAGAGTTCAAGAAAACGTACAAACGAATTTTACGATGGAAATGAGAAACACTATATGGGGTATAAATGCTATGAATTATAACCGATTTCCGACAAGAGGTGTATAACTTATATGGTATATGTAAAAATATATTCACATAATTTAGATGCTTTGAAGTCTGCTTTCTTTTGAGTGCATAGCTCGTAACAGGTTTGTCACAAGTTGCTTATAGCCGTAAAGAAGTTCCACTCCCCTCCCTAGCCCGGCAACTCATGGGTTTGGTTCTATACGATACACTAGCTGCACAGCAAATATAGTCGCAAGTCCAAATGTCATTTTCCATATGACAAAATATATGTTAACATGTCACTATAGATACGTCTGCACATGGTACCGAACTACTCCATTGTCCCGTAAGTTAAGCAGATTTTTTTGCAATTTTTTTATTCCGACTAAGTCTACTTCTGTGGTATAATTGAGAAATTTAGAAAGTCTTTGGACAAGTAGACAAAACAACCCCGTCCCCCCCCCTTGCCCCCTAATCAATGTAACCAAAACAAAAGGGGAAAACCACAACAGAAAAACCTGACCAAATCAACTAAAATCAGCAGTTTCCAAATTCAGTAGAATTGTTTCAGTAGAAAAGCGTGTTGCGAGGTCACTGTAAAATAAAGAAAGCATTCATAGGCGTATCGCCCGACATCTTTGGGACGTCAACTGTTACTTGTAAAATCTTACCATACCAATTTCGTACGTAAATGCGCGTGCGAGAAATACAGGGTGTCTCAAAAATAAAACGAAGTTGCGAAATTGCTCTTTAACATCCGTAATTTAGAGTGCAACGATTTTATTTTTACATAGCAAAAAAGAAGTTAGTTAGCTTTCTAAGAATATCATATTTATGTCATAATGTCTAGAAATGACCAAATAATCGTTATGTTAAAAATTGCTGATCGAAAACCACTAAAGAAATGCATAATTTGAAAGCTAAACAACTGCTCTTTCATACTGCATAAGGATTAAATCATTCACCATTATCATTATCATAAATCATTCACCGTTATCCTTTGTAAAAGTCTGTTGACTTCGTTGCTGTTTCTATTATACTCCCTGTACATAACTGGAGCATATACGAGTAACCAATTATACAAAAACTTAAATTTAGTTAACTTCTTTCATTGTTTCTCTTGCATTTCATCTTAATAATCTTGCGAATCCGAATTTCCACGTTTACGAGCCTTGATAAGCAATGACCCATCAATTTTTGCCCTCTTGGAGTTCCATGTGAAAATATAGGAACGAGGTTAAAATTATAGCTGTCAAATTCATAGAAAAATGTCTATCATTCGCGAACCTTTTTATCAGAAACTGGGGTGAAACTGCCTTTAGGTGCTGTTTAAACATTTAATTTATGACGTTATCCCTCATCGAGTATTATGACGTTATCCCTCATCGAGTATTATGACGTTACATGTGGTTACATCGACGTCCATGTGTGTCCCTTTTAAACTATAATGACGTACACAATTTTAGGACAATTATAAACAGATTAAACTAAGGTGATCTATGCCAAAAAAGAGATTTTCTCATAACGTGTAGGCAAAAATGAAAGATTTGGCTCAGCTGACAGAAAATTTGCAACTCTTGTTGTTGCCAATTGAAAGATACCACTCAAAATTGGGTAAAATATAGGGTTTGGGTGGGACTTAATAATAGGCGCAAGATTATATTATGACGGGTGATACACTAACGACTTTAATTGATACCTAATGGCTACACCAGTCTCTGTCGTAAACTCAAAAAATACACATCTATGTACCCAGCTATGGAAGATTCATCGTTTACCTTGTTAATAAATACCGGAAAAGAAGACAAGACTCCAAAAAAGTATTCTGGTATCAAAGAAACAGCTTGTACGCAAGATATATAATATAGGTTCACAAATCACGAATATAGCTCTCGTATTGACAGACACTGGAAATGTTAGACTAAAACATGTATAGCGTTGAAAAAATACCCATATATATAAGATTGAAAACGTGTAAGTTTCTGATATGAATGACTTATGACTGGCCTAAAAAACATTGAATATCACAGATAAAAGCCACTTGACGTCAAACAATACAGAACTTTGTGTATGTACCCCATACCCCATATCCCATCCCATTAGGAAAGTAGTACACCGGGGATTCGAGCCTCTGAAATTCACCGATGTGGGATGTTTCCGCATACGTTGGTGAACACATCGAAAAGATTTTTCTCCGTTACATTTACAATTATATACATCTTACAAGAAGATATTCAAAGATGCTGCCACGCAGTAGCGTAGCCAGCCACACGATTTGTCCCGCTATATATGCTAATTTTTTGGTGTTTATTTACTGTGAAAACAATAAATTTCCAAAGACATAATTAATTATGACTTGAAATTTACATAGCGGGACAAAATCGTCAGGCTGGATACACCACTGGTGCCACGATGCTCCTTGGTTGCATGTATACTTTATTAACCTTAAAATCAGTTAAAGTAACGGAACTCAATATACTCAGACGGTGAATATACGAAGAGTATGCCCAGGTGAGATTCTCCCTGGGGGTAATTTACGAACAATGTCAATCAATGTTATGTATAATTCAAGGTCACAACCTAAGTTGTGGCGAGAAATAAACAATCTTATTATTTATGGACATGCAGGGAATGTGTATTCTAAGAAGTATTTCCATTTTGCTTGCCAACTAATTAGAGCAAAATCACAGGAATTACTAGAAACGAACGCATCTTTCAGGGCCGATACAAGACCAACTGTTTTGAATATGTATGTGCGTGACACTTTAATCCAACAATAATTAAATTTCCGTCTCAAACCCCTGTGCTGATATAAAGCATACTTAAAAATAAATTCCTACAGGGCGAAACTGGTCTTGTTCAACCAGTTTGACAAAACTTGTGTGGCTGATGAAAACACATGACTTTGCTTGATAAACAACAACTTATAAACTTTCCCGCAGTAGATATAAATTGCAATTACTGTCCAACCGTGAATTGTTCGTAGTCGTCGCGTAAGCTAGTGAGTGAGAAAAATCTGTTAAAAACAAAATTTTTTCTTGCTGATCCTGGCAACATGAATTTCGTTGAAAATAAGACGGTGGATTCGAGGCGGTCTTGGTGTATTCTTAGTATCGTATTTTTCTCGCTGTTTGGCGCGGGAGGACTACAAATGTCGTTCGGGACCATCCTGGGCGCTTTAGTTGACGAGTTTGGTGAATCCACTAGTAAAATAGGTTTGTGCAGGGCGTTTTGTGTGCTCTATGGGTTATTCTATACAAAATCAACCCATATTTATACAATCTAACGCCAGACGATTTTATTATTGTAACGTCTACGTGGCGCTCAATATAGAACTAGACTCGTGACTGATTCACTTTCATTTAATGGCTAAATATATTGTAAGATAATTAGAAATGCCATCTCGCTAGAATATGGCTGAAGCCGTCCGCAAATGATTTGTTATAACATCGTTAGAAGTGGTTGTATTTAGTGTAACCTCGCAAACAGTTTTTGAACTTATATTGATAACAGAGTAAAGGTAGTTTTATGCTGCGACACGAAATAATGATGGCAGGTGAAGGTTTCGATACCCCGCAAGTTCTGCCTGTTGCACACAGGACAAAATTCATCTCTCTCATATAGCATATAAAATCTATCGATACAACAATTTTAAATAATGCCGGCTTTCCGTGTTGAACGCGTTTTATGCTCGCTCATTAATTCAAGCGTCGTTTATTTCGGAGTGTCGGTTGTAGCTATACGAAAGGCATTTATAGCTTAAAGTCCTTAAACCGTTAAACGTTGGCTACCTCGAACTTCAAGGCTTAATTGTCGTCACAGATATAACTATTCTATAAAGTTGTAATAAAATATTTTAGCTTGTTGGTGTGATGAACTAGTGTATAATCATGATTGATATTTTTGTCTAATCCAATGCTTAGCTGTCTATATCAATCCAACAGTGATACCCAGCGTTTAAACATGCAGGTATCAAACAACAGGCCCCAGAAACCATTTGAAAAAAATAAACGATAGCGTTTTTGGATTTCAATCTAAAGATAGATTCACCGTTGTTTTAAAACTTTGTAAATGGATTATGAACGTCGCCTTTGCATAAGCTGCAAATTGCAAGTCCGCAAAACAAGAGATATACATCTGCGTTTGCTCAAGAGATTGTGGTAACAGGGCGGGCTTAAGATAAAACCTTATGTTTTAGTTTGGATCGGCAGTTTGGTCACGCTATTCAACTGTATATTATCCCCTCTGACAATATTCCTGGCCCAGCGTCACGGCATGAGAATAACGCAGCTGATTGGTGGAATTATTTTAACCTTGGGCATCCTCGCCACCTCTGTTGTCAACTCGGTAAACCTGATGTTCCTTACCTACGGGACCCTGGTCGGCATTGGCTCGGCCCTGGTCTATTCCCCAGCGTTCGCGGCGATCCCAGAATACTTCACGAAGTATGTTTCCATAGCGACGGGTATAGGATCATCTGGAATGACCTTGGGATTAATCTTCTTCTCCTTTACCCTCCCCATACTGCTTCCGGAAATTGGTTGGCGCAAGACGCTGTGGGGGGTTGCCGCGATCGGACCGCTGATCAGTGTGTGCGGGCTTGCGTTTTCGACGCCCAAGGCAGAACCAACCAGCGACGTGAGCCCCGAGAAAGCGGCACAAGGGGCAAATACAGATAAAGAGTCATGGAAGGGTTTATTGAAGAAGAAGTCATTCATCCTATGGTGCATTGCCTGTTTTATTTTTGCTTCTGTCGAATACGTTCCGCTTTTCCTTGTGGTAATGACATCCATGATACATGATAGAACGCCACCAAACTATCACACATTTAAAGCAGAATGCACAGATCTGTAGCCTACAGCGTAGACTCTATATAATGGTTTATAAAATTTTCGCTGCAGGCTTACAAATCTGTATACTGCAATTTTATTCAGAAATTATTCTTTCCTGTGTTCACAACAATGAAACCTTATGTATATGATTGTTATTAGTTTGGCCGTTTAAATTGAATCACAAGCCATAAATTTTACTGTTCGGTTATTTGTTATGTTCTGTTTGCTTATTTTTTGTTAATTCGCTAATTTCGCTCGTTCATTTGTTTGTTTCTTTTGCTCAACTGTTTTCCCGATTAGCTTGTTAATTTTTATATGTTTGTTTCTTTCTTTCTTTTTCCTTTTTTTTTTGTTTGTTTGTCCGTTCGTTGTTGACTCGTTTGTTTGTCAGTCTTGGCAAACCATCAATGCATGTACTAAAACCACATCTCTCTCCTTTCCTTCATAGGCACAATGCGCTAAAGACTCTGGCATCCCAGCAACCGAAACCAAATGGCTGAACATTGTGTTCGGATTTGGCTGCTTCGTTGGCAAGGTCGTCTCTGGTTCTTTGGCTGCGCCGCTACTTCGACGAGACATGTGCAAACACTTATACACCATAACCATCTTTGCATACAGCCTCTCCTCTTTTCTCGTGTCTTTACACCCCGCATACGAGAGTCTTATAGCGTACATGGTGTTTGTCGGCTTCCTTCAGGGATTAGTCGAAAGTCTCTTCTTTTTGGTGAATCTTGAAATTGCAGGGATGAACGCCTATAGGACAGCTTGTGGGTTTACGTTGGCGTTGACGTCAGTTTCTATGACGACAGGCCCACCTCTTGCAGGTTTGTAGTTTAGAATAATTGTTAGGTTTCAACCTCTCTGGGCATTGCCTTTCCAGAAAATTTTAGATGCGATTTCCCTCTTTATGATATAGAATGGATAATTTATGGATGTGAGCAAATCATTACACTAATTTACTCATTCACATCCATCAGAAGAAATCCACACGTAAAATCGTTGTAAGATTCGCCCTTGTGTCTCGTGCACTAGCTTTGATGCTGACTGATACTTATCACATGTTTTATCTTTTTTAGGTTTACTTTACGAGGCATTTTCCCACATTCGTTATCTCCTATTAGCAATCTCAGCCACAAGTTTCGTCGCCAGCCTCTTCATTTCTGTCATCCCGTGCGCAACCCCGAGACGTAGCTACACACTTAACCACGGTTTCCTTGAAAACCCGGACTACTGGCGTGTGTATTGTCACAATGTTTCTCCCCAACCTCCTCGCCGTCCGGCTGCATTCGTGATCGCAAACGAAGCTGCTGTTGTTGCCGACGTTAGCGGGCACCGAGTGAACAGCAAAACAACCGCAAGTCATTTACCGAAGACAATATCAAAAGCCGAGCTCATACAAGTGGTGTAGAAGCGATTACAGCTTACGATATTGGGCGTAGTCATAGAGACGACTCTCTGCTCGCCTTTGGGTGCCATGAGGCTCAAATCTCAGATTTAGAACTTCCGTAAATTCCCAAAGCGCGCCTACGCTGAAGGTTTGCAAAGTTAGCTGGAAATTTGACGTTTCCTCGTTAAAGCGTAGTCTCTCGGTCATTTTTATTGTTGACCATAAAGTTAGGTAGAATTAGTACCGCAGTCTAGCAATAGCACGGGAGGGATGATTTATAGGTGGTTGTGGATAACTGAATGGAGATATCTATTTTTGTCCGGAAAGGGTAAAATGTGTTAAAGAATCACGAAATACCCTTTTAAAGCATTTATAGTTTGGAGAGCTTATGAGAGAGGGCAATTAGAAAGGGGGTAAGCTGAAGGGGGGGGGGTATATCACAGTGTACCCATGAGATGAATAATTTTTACATTAACAGACATGTCAAAAACTTAGCTTTCTATGTTAGATAACATGACCGTGACACGATTTATTCTCTGTAATACCGTAAAATGGTCTATATGTGGTCTACGATTCAGGTTCTTGGCTAAGTATGTACGAGTTCTTTATTGATATTACCCACTCGGTGTTTAGTTATTTATTGTCATTGTACATCGCATCATATCGAATCCTGGCTTCATTCCAAACCCATTTGGTTAATCCACGGCAAAGCCGAAACGAGGATATCAAAGTTGATTCATGATACACGGCTTACTTGAAGTATATCTATCGATCCTCTGATACATTCCCTGCACTTTTTTGCGCGGCTTGGCAAATACATTTTTAATTCCGAAACCGTTTTCAATGTCGCTTTTTCAAATTTTTATAGTTTGTATGGCATGTGGGAGAATTTTTTCAAAATGAATTTAGTGAATATGTTGATTTCCACAAGCTTTCGCTGTATTAAAATATAATCTGCTCTGTGAAACAAATTCATTTTCCAACGAAACTGACATTTAAATTGACTTCGAATGACTAAAGCGAAGTGGGCAATATTTTGAAATATGAATGCCAATGTTTGAAATGCGATTATCGACGTGAATAGCCCATGCAACATGACGTACGTTGAGTTAACAACATACGCGTATACAAAAACAACTTCTATAGGCCCGTTTACACTTGCAATTTTTAGTGCGTTTTTATGTGTGGTTTTCTTCTTTTGGTAGATGTGAACGAGTAATTAATTACGAATGCTCTGATGTATAAGGTTTTATTTGAACATCCGTAATTAATTCACTCGTTCACATCTGTCAAAAGAAGAAAATCGCACATAAAATCGCAGCAAAAATTGTTAGTGTAAACGGGCCTTATCATGCAATGTCGGTTGCTCGTAATATTTATTTGGCTTTTTCACTAATTTTCAAAACAAGTTAGCTAATGTACTTACCAAGATCGCGCAAAAAAAGCCTGGAACGATCATCTTGGAATAGGTTTATTCAAACCATCGTTAATCATCCAATAATTAATATCTATATTGTCATTGAGGCACGATTGAATATGATTACGCGCACTGATTCTCCATATACTTGTAATTCTCCCACTCCCAGGTTATACTGTTTTTACATGACACGAGTGTCCTGTAATGAAAAACAGACCACATTAGTGATGGAACTAGATGAAACTTTACAGTTTACACGTGGAGGTTTTACTTAATTAAATTTTGCCCGGTAACATTACGCGGCCACATGCGGAGTTTTCCGCAGCGAGGGCCGTGGACTGGAGCGTGGGTATAGAAAAGTCTTTGCGAGGTTGTTTGTCTATAAGCGAGCATGCATTCATGTTTAAATTTCAGCGAAAATTTGCATGATTCTTTCGCCAAAAAGTCAAATTGTTTATACGACAGTCACACCGCGCGACCAAAGGGTCGAAAAATGAAAAAGATCGTAACAATTTTGTACGTCTCTCGCACACCAAACACACAAAACGAGGCCATTGCCATTTGGTCAAAACCAAAGGTGGACAAACGGTTCGAAGCGAACCAATCGTTGGAAAAATGCCAATCAGCTTATATATATCTACACTGAAAATTGAATAAATATGCTCTACAGTATATTCCTTACAATAAACCTGCCCAATATTATCCGTGGTACATTCACATTACTCTCAATAGAAAACATATATATGCATGCTAAATACATAATGCGCTTTCGTGATGAAAATTTTTGAGACGTCGAGAAGTTTTTTACGTCTATTTTAGGCATTTGACATTCAACATAAGGGCAAATTTAATATGACACTATAAAAAAATATTGTACACAGATAGCACTAAAAACCTGTCCCACAATTTTCTTGCCACAAATATATGACATAAAAACATCACATATAATGGTGACTTATATCCGCTCTTCAACCAACTCAGCTGTCGTCGAAAAACCGGACCTTATATGACGATACTTTTTGCACTATAGGCTCAGCCGGGGGTTTTTTCACATAAACACGGCAGTCAATGCCAGTCATGAATCATACACCGAAAATCTTGATAAACATTAACTTGGATTGGATTCACCAAGCCCAGTCTTTGAATACTCGCTTATTGCTTTCACATGGCGAACACCATTACACCATGCTGCAGGAACATTCGCTTTACACGTGAATAAAAACAACAGTCATATAATACAGCCTGCGCTCGACTGAGTGAACGACTGAGTTGTCCTATATTATTCAAGGCATTATTGTGGCCAAGGAAAGAATGGAATTTTTGTTGTTTAAATCAGGCATGCAGACGAGTCGACGACTCCCGTATAAACATCCACGCATTCTTAATTCAGTCACAGCAGTATACAACACTTCAAACATGCAGATAAATGAAGTCGAACTGTCCTCAATAACGTGATAGTGATGCATGATACTTCAATATAAATCATCATTACATCATATAAATAATTAAGGGCAAGAAAAAGTTCCCCAAAGACAACATATAACTATTTTAAGGAATGATTTTTCTGCGGATTGCAGAATGTTCTATGAAGCGCGCGCACGCGAGGTCGCGTGCACTTCAAAAAGAACCAAGAACAGAACCAAGTTAGACCGGTTTTCGCAGCATCAAAAACAACTCGTATATCTTGCACAAAAATGCCTGGGAAAATTCAACACCGGCTTTTGCTGATATTGCAGATACATATACATATTTTAGCCACACAAATTTCTCATTTTGCCGTGTGTCTTGCATTGCTAGTATGGGAAGTAAGAAAAAGATCGTCCCTGATTCAAGACGCGCATGGATGACACTGTGTGCGGTGATATTTTCGTTATTCGCGAGCGGTGGATTACAGATGTCTTTTGGGACGATTCTTGGCGCGCTCGTACGAGAATTTGGCGAGTCTAAAAGCAAGACAGGTAGGACGTAATACATAGTGTCTAGACTTGCTTTTCACCGCGTGCCCGAAGTATATGGGAGAGAAAACAGTCGAGTTCCTTCAGCACCGAACAATACCGTGCATGGGAAACGTATTTCATTATAGTGGACTAGCTAATGTCGAGTTTGATAGGGATTTAAAAAAAAATTGGTAGTGGTACTGTGTGTATTATATAGTCAATGGCTGATGTAAAATTATGTTCCGAACTGTTGTACAGAATCAGTAGAAGTATAACATTGATTGTATAGTAAAACGTTGTCTAGTTAAATTTTTGCGCAAATGGTATTACATTGGTGATGCTGCCAGTACATAGCGCGTGACGCAGTAAATTCAAATCACTACTAGCGCTCCACTTTTAATATGCCTGACGTTGATAAAATATTAATTCAGGTCAAAAGGTTAATGCCATGCGACACTTCAAAGGACTAACGATTCAACATTTAACTTCTACAGTGATCTACGTGCACTATCTGTTTGACCGTTCTAAGTGGCCAAGCAATGTAAAACACGGCTGGTTAATGTCGTTTGTGCGTCACAGAAATAGATAAAGCGGATAAAAGCCAGTACAGATATACACTGAAAAATGTACATCATCGCGATACTGTCAAATTATCACATAGCACAACCCCGGTCACAACCCTTCCGATCGAAGTCACGAGATCGTCTAGGGGAGTTACTGGAACCGAGTAAAATGCGGTTAGGTTAAACTTGTATGTGCAATGTTTTTGAATTCAGGATTATGACCAGCCCTTAAGCAATAAGATACCTGGTGAACTTGATCAATATGAACATGCACATGACATGCCCCTTGTGACGCGACGAAGGATGAAAAAAGATCTAGACAATATCAGCTTTCCCGACATCTGCAAGACTATGATGCCCATATGCTTTAAACCGGGCTACCAACTTATAAGTTATAATATTAACGATCGAAGTATTTCATACAAACGGAGGGTCTTTCACGCCTAACTTATAAAGACATTTGTGCGACTTAAAGCGGGAATTTTTTCTTTTGACTTTTGATTAAGGAAATTATTCTAGGTCCTTTTTACACTGTCTATACATTCTCTATATGTATAAATCGTTTACCCGTTTTAAGGATTTGTTAGATTTAGATTTGAGAGAACGAAAAAGTAGCTAAGTAACACAGAGCTTTTCACTTTGTTATGTTTGTTACAAATCCTTATCAGTTCGGCAAGGCTTTTTAGTTTTTGCTAAACTTTGACAGTATAAACCTGCCGTGATCCATATGTTAGTAATATTACGTTATGTTAGTGATTTTACTAAATTAGAAAGCCTAGCTTATCGACTGTTCACTCCTTCACATCTATCAAAAGAAAAAACTTAGAGCAACATAATATAAAAAAAAGTTGGTACACCGACCGATTATAGCCCCCTTTACAGAATTTACAGAGCCAATTCAGTTTTTGGCATCCAAACAAATTTACTTTAGCATTCGATTTTTCGAGTAGTGATAAAATTTTGCAATCTGACATATATTGTCCCATGAAAATTGTCTATTACATAGAATGTAAACTCCACCTCCTGAATAAAATATTATGAATGCAGTATTGGACCATATCAGATGAATCGTCTAGCGAGCTCTAGACGGAGGTTCAACCATACATAGTTAACTATGCTTCAACACTTAACTCACTTTTATTTGGGTTTCGAGAACAAATTGAACAATGCCAGTGTTATTTCAACTGCATGACATATATATGAAACTAGGTTGTTTACTTAACAGATTCCTATTAATATTTTTGTAGATTCGGAATGTGTTTGTAAATTAACATTTCTCATATAACTATAGTACAGGAAATACTGCATGTTTGCGCGCATTGCGCTGATTATGCAAAAACAATATCATTTTGGCCATGGTCATATTCCCAAGACTCGACGGTGCTGACTGATATTTTGACTACCAATAAAACGGAAACAGACCTAAAGGATTTAGAAATATAAAAACAGAGCTGCGTGAACATACCGACCTGTTGTTTTCTCACCAAAACAAGTTTTGAACTTCGGATGGCTAATCCTGTATCATTAATGACAGACAATCACCGAAGCCAATGTAAAAGTCATTCAGGGGCAGACTAATGCAAACCTGATTTGTATAACCTTTTCGCCCGCCTAATTTCATCAGTTTTGCTACAACGTCGGTAAAAAATGTCGCGAAATGAAAAGACGAATTCGGATATTCATACATACATGGTCGCATGGGATTTTAACAATTGGGCTTTAGTGTTCTTTATGGCCTCGTATCTCATATAATATATATAGCTGTATATTAAATACCAAAACAACAGATAAACGATCAGTGAAAACAGGTTAATATGTTTGAATGCGGACTGGTTACAGCTGCCACAAAACATTTGCTAATATCTTGTATCAAAACAGGCTGAGGATTGAGGGTCTATAGATTGTTGATTCACTGTAATATTAATACGTTCGACAATAGCGTTGACAGCTCCCTTGGGAGAAAAATGTTTAGTTAAATCAAAATCGCAACACCGCGACGTGGTGATTACGCATTACAGAAATTCCATTTTAGGAACAAAGATCAGTTTAATCGATTCTGTTACAATCCGGTAAGACCATTTGAGAACCGGTTCTCTAAAAACCTGCATTGCTGAAGGTCATCGGTTGCTGGCCGTTTGGGCAGCGATGCAATACTGGGGGAAACTCTTTATTCACACTAACATAAATTTATCAGTTTCACACGTAACCCTTTTCTTTAGAACCCAAGGTAAACGTTAAATACTTATCCATGACTGGAAATCGCTTAGAGTCATATGGTCTATGGTTTAGACATGGGTCTGAGTACTGAGACCTAGTACGAGACTCATTCATTCAACTCCGCTTCAAGTTTGAATGGTGTGAATTTGAAGAATCCGAATTGCATATTATAGTAACTTTTCGGGTATTACCGTGTATTTTGAGGGCATAAAGGAATAATTTTCCGGGATTAAAATTAAATGTATTTTATCCGGATCCTAAAAAAATTCCATTTGTTTGTAAACCATTTCGACCTTCAAAATGATGATAATGATACAGCCAATGTTCTTGGGCATAAATATGTTGGTACTCTCTTCAAAACTCATTTAATTCCTTTCAATCAAATCAAAGAAATACAAAATATCTATTCGGCATAAACTCCATTGAACAAACTGACCGTTCATCAAATTCCCCGTCAGTGAATTGTCCGTTCGGGCAAAATAGCCCTCGACGAAATGTTTCTTCGACGAAATGTTTCTTCGGCAAAATATCCGGCCACCCTTTTGACGTCACTTCATGTTTTTGCAGCTTGGGTTGGAACACTGGCAACATTCTTTAGCAGTGCCCTATCGCCAATAACCATCTTCCTGGCACAAAAACATGGAACCCATATTACACACTTTGTTGGAGGCGCCTTTCTAACTGTTGGAGCAGTGGCTACATCTTTGGTGACCACAATCAACTACATGTATCTCACATACGGAGTTCTAATTGGCATAAGCGGCGCGTTAGTCTACGCCCCAGCTATGTCATCCATCCCAGAAATCTTTGCAAAACACGTTTCCATAGCAACAGGTATCGGTTCTGCGGGCTCAATGATGGGGTTAATATTCTTCTCGTTTGTATTACCCGAGCTGCTCGACGGTCTTGGGTGGCGCAAAACATTGTGGTGCTTGTCCGCTATAGGACCGCTGATCAGCGTGATCGGGTTTGCTCTTCCGAGGACCGCAATTGCAACGGGTAGCGGTAGCCAGGATGAGAATGTGGAACAAATGACCCAAGATCCTTGGTGGAAATCAATTAAAAAGAAAGCGTATATATTGTTAAATATTTCTGTCGTTCTGTTCACTTTGATCGATTTTGTTCCATTATTCATTGTGGTAAGTTTGCTACATGTGTCTCCAAGCTCATTTATCTGGAGACGTTTTACGTTTATCAGCAGCATACTCCATCCCCAGTATTGGACCCATGCAATACCTAAATCTCAATTCAATGTCTATATTTTGCAGCCTTTATGCGCAACGGAATCAGGAATGCCGGTGGAACAAACGAAATGGTTTAACATCGTTTATGGCGTCGGCAGCCTTATTGCCAGACTATTCTCTGGGCCCATGACGGAACCGTTGTTACGTCGAGACAGGTGTAAATACCTCCAACTCTTTTGTCTATTCGTCTACAGTTTGTTATCGTTCCTTGCGTCTCTGACCATCAAGTTCGAATACTTGATGTTGTACATGATCCTCATTGGGCTACTGAACGGTATTATGGCCAACCTGTTCTTCCTTGTTATCCTGGAGGTGGTCGGTCTCGCTGGATATCCGGCAGCGTGTGGGATAAACTTGGCGATGTGCAGTGTCTCGTACACAACAGGACCACCGCTAGCAGGTATATAAGTTGTATACTACATTTCCAACCTTGAACTCAACTCGTCTTTGAAGTATGTCCGATCATCCTCTGTAAATACAGAAGGAATAACTGAGCTAAACTAACTTCATTAATACTCGATAACTAAAAGATTATTTCTAGGAAAACAGCCTGGCCGAAACTCGATCGATTATTTCCTTTAATACGAGAGCCTTGATATGTGATCTGACAATGCCCTCAATTGTTCACAGCTCAATATACTACTCCTAACAAGAAAAACTTTTATAGTCTTAACATTTGGAGGAATATCATATTCTGTGTGTACACTAAATTATATTGCACAGTCTTCTCCATGTTATCTTCAACATGTAGAGTTGCATAAAGCATAAAAAAAATAATAATGAATTCATGAGTTTACATAATAACCTAAAGCATTTTTGCTGTTGCGCCCTGTTTGGGTCAGGTTTTTCCACCAGTTCTTTCTCAAAATGGTATATTAAAATTTTAAACTATAAACACTATATACCGTAAAAATTTCCCCTGCTATAGAGGCATAGCGACAGTAAGGGTTCCTGCTCAAACAACTGTTGGTACAAAAAATCGTTGAATATTAAATCTATATTACAGGTCTCCTTTATGAAAGTGTTAACGATGTCAAATACCTTTTGCTAACCGTATCAGGAGTAACATTTTTGGCCGCGGTTGTCATGGCGATGGTACCGTGCGCGACACCACGTCGGACATATGCCCTACATCAAAGTGACTATGACTTTTGGCGAGTATATTGTCATAATCCCAACATAAGTCCCAGAGTTCCGAGACAAAGTAAGGTGTTTACAGTAAGCGAGTCGGCGGTCGAATGTCGGGAGAACTTTGGGTATCAGGCAGACAAACAACAAATGAAGGTGAAAACATTGGCAGAATCTGTATCAAGGACGGAGCTTCTTGGATCGAACGCAAACTTTGCTTGACCATGATTGTCACTTTTCAAGTTCGTATTTAACTCCCGGCTCTATTTTTATTACACTCGGCGGTTTATGGATTCAGAACTTTAGAAATTGACTTCCAAAAGTCACACCCAAGCACGAAAATTAACGGAATTCTGAAGTAATCCTGGTTGGAAACTGCATGTCACAGCTGCGAGTAACTTAGCTGGTTCAGCTGAAAGCTGTGGCCTAACATATAGAATGCAAGCAGGTCACACTTTTAGCTGTAGAAAGATGCCATTGAGCTTTATCCTTCAGTAAAAGCTGCAGATCTACTAATGAAAGTCTTTCGAGAAAGGCACAGAGAGACAGTAGCAATCAAATACCTCAATTTAATAGGCCTAGCTGCTGATAGGCATATAAGGAAAGAGTGGAGAATACAAAAAAAACAAAACTGCAAGCTCTACCAAACTCGGTTTATTGGTAGGATTGCCATGTGTGATAGAGCATGTAAGGGAAAGGAAATCTGAACAATCAACTGCTTTTCTGTTGATTTCCTATTACATGCTTCTTATGAAGGGACTGCTTATAATTTAATCAGTGGTAGAGTAATATTATTATTTTTGGACCTGTGTGTGAAGCTAGTTTCTCTTTCTAGGGTATGTTATTGAGTGTATTATGTACACAGCTGTATAAACTTGGGGAATTGAAGTTATCTACTCTGTTAAATTTATTCAAAAACATACACCAGAAGTAGAAATCAGCTTTATGAGATATCAATCAATATGTTAACATTATTTAATTTATCTGGTAAGGATATTTCAGGCATGTAATGCATCTGTAATCATCACTGTCCAAAGTGTATATATAATTAGCTATAAAACCCAGCAAAACCTTTACTTTTACTAATTCTAAAATGTGACGCTACAATACCTACACGCCTAAAAACACTGAGCCTGCGGTTTATCAGCACGCTCGTTTTTAGGCGTGTAGAACCACAGATTACCTATATATGGTAGAACTGTGGTAGAACTGTGTAGTGCAGAAGTGAGGCAGATCTCTGATTGGGAACACCTTTCTGAGTTCTGACTCTGAATAAGGTTCTTGGGCAGAAAGCTTTTAAAATAACATTTCGGTATGGCCATACAAAATTCATCAACAACATTGGCCTGGGAAAGCTTAATATTTCCATTGGTTTAACTGCACTGTCGTGTACACTGAGTCTGCGAGTCACTGAAAAAAAAACCTATTAAACATTCGTGGTCTGCTTGGCAAACTGTGGCTTGGCCTACCACAGTATTCGTATCAAGCGACAAGCGGTATATGTCAATCTGTTTCCTAGAAACTTAGCAGGTTTTCTGGAAACTTTCGGCCTGTATACAACTAATAGAAATTACAAAAGTGTAAATGTCGAAACCGGTACCTGTTTAATCAATATTTAATTGGATTCAAAAGCACCTCACCTCATTCCTCTTCTCCACAACTTGTGCGTCTTTAAAGTTCAATATCTTTTCCATAATATTCCTACAAGCCCCAAAATAAAACAAACTTTGGCAACGAAAAATATTGACAGGACTGCCAGAAACGACATATTGGATTTTTATCACAGTACTTCATGTACGGACCATTGTAGACTTGTAGCTCACCTAGCTAATGCATGCTTTTGAAATACCTTGAAGTATTGTACATTTAAAATATTTTGTAACAATATATACTATTAAATTATAAAAGCTCTTTAAATTTTCACTTACTTAACTTTCATTTCATTAGCATTCACTTTAACAATCTTCATATTGTACTTAAAAAAATACTTGGTTCTTGCAAATTTAGTTTGCTGTCTTGATAGTGTCACTACCACTCCATTGGCACCACATGTCCATACTCCATGTAAACAATACCCAGTGACAATACCACTCATAAATCCGTCACTCAGAGCCACTGATCTCTTTATACTTTTGGGGGCTATTTGTTCTCAGCTATTACTCTTAGGTAATATATATAAACTGCAGTATTCATGGCAAAATCAGTAAATGGAAAATACTAATCTTTATGGAGCTGAATGTTTTTGGCAGTTTTCTAATTCAACAGTTATTCCTGTTAGGCACATATCAAATATCAACTAAAAATATTAATCATTGAACATTTAATTAACAAAAATAATTCAACATGAACAGAACAATTATGCTCTGATGCTAATGTACATTGTACATAAAAATCATGTTTAGTCCTTAACAAAATGAGTGAATTTGTGTTTACGTTAACTCACTTCATATCAATATACAGATCGGCATATTCAGTCAAATGGGGGTTACATTAATTACATTCTGAAATGCTATATTTCTTAGAAAATAACTCAAACATTGTTTCGCTATACTTGTATTGAAAGATTAACTTATGCTTATGTCTAGACATGAAAAATTCTATTTGCAAATTTCCTAATAACTTAAACAAAACCAGTGTGCAGATGTTGTGGGACCCTTGTAATAAATGGCAAATTTCACACCACAAGCATGCTTAAAACAAAACATTTTTCTATAGAGTTCAAAAATTTATCAAATTCCAGCTTTAAAAAACATTGTTAATTGTAAGAAACAACACACAAGCAGAACTGTGAAAAAGTTTATTTACATTTCACTATGTCTATTATTGTTGCACAAAGTTGCTCCAAGCAAAGAAATTGAGAAACTACATCCTTTTATTAATACAATTTCTGAGGCCGCGAAAAATAGTATGATGAGAAAGACAAATAATGGGATGGATTGCGGACATATTGATATTTCTCAAAAACACAAAACACAATTGTAAAATTAACTTCATTCAAATTGTCTTTTATTAATTACAAGTTACTTCTCTGTTGGCCCTCCTATTTCACTGCCACACTCTTTCTAAATTGGTTTGGTTAGTCTACATAATACACAGACAGTTTAATTGTAACAACAAATATGTGTGCAAGGAAATGGAGGATAGTATTGATACAAAGTCGGAGGAAAAAAATAAAAATGGACACAGACGAAGAAGGCTGTTAAGCATATTCAAAAATAATACAAGAGAATTATACAACACCGGCAACAATATTAACTTCATTTCTCGAAAGTCTGAGATATTAAGATGGTGATCATACCGCAGAAACATCAATCTACAGGCCACTGTCACATTGCATACTTTCTCGTCCACTCTTTCGCCAACTCATTGTATTTTTGTCTATCAGTTTTGTAATTTCGTGCAACTTCAGGGACTAGTGGGTCATCTGGATTTGGGTCATTTAACAATGAACAAATTGAGAGAAGAACTAGTGGAGAAATAGTATAATAAGTTAACAAAAATGGACTTTTTGCAATCCTAAATTGGGTTGTTGGACATCATTTTTACTAGCTTAACTCATTGTCGACAAGTGGATATTCAACCCGACAATATTGTCGGGAAAAGCAAAACATTAAATATCTCAGCAAGTATTTGGACTAAAGACCCTGGAATACCACCAAACGATAGAGCTTGAAAAGACGATTTAAATAGTATTTTAAAACCTGCATATAGTAATAAACTGCATTTGTATTATAAGTCAAAACATGAATCAAATAATATGTTGCTTTGTTATCTCAAATTACTCCCCATAGCAACCATATTACTTTAGAAATTCAGTATTTTCTCGCTTTTTTTTGTGCTCTGTGTTCTTTAAAATGTCTGAATTTCACATACTATCATTCTGTTATAGTTCTGAGTAATTGTTAGGGTAGGATGTGCAAAAGAAGCGGAGAAAATAGCATTTTATAAGTTCTAAGCGATAATTGTTGCTAAGCGCATTCTTACCGCATGCTCGGAATGTTGTCATGCGGTTGGAAAATGTGACAAAACTCCCTAATGCCTTCCCCCTAGGGTAAATTTGACCCCGGAAATCGATTTCTGACGTAAAATTGGACCTAGGGGGCAGATTTTCGGCTTTTTTTGCCCGAATTTTTTTTCGATATTTTTATTATTGTGAAATATTATTGCCGGTGACGCGAAATTCATATCATCAATGTATGTTTATATAAAAAAACGGCAAAAATCTTCTAATGGCTCGATTTTGACGCTAAAGATATCAAAATAATCCTGAATATGTGAACTAAACCACTGCAACCCGTGTTCGTTTGCATTTTGGGCAATATTTTAAGGATTAGGCCGCTTTGATGTGCAATATTGAATAATATAAAAAGCACATGCTCTTTAAAGTGAATATCTTAGCGAATTGACAACATATTGATATAAAAAAAACATGTATCTACTGAGGACAATTTCTTCTTTAAAGTGTGCCTATTTTTGTTAAAATCGGTCAAGTATTCGAACAGGAATCGCAAGTTATAATCAGCAAACCACTTCGAAATGTCATCTGATATGTCGACAGTGAGTTAACAGCCAATATAATAAGACTATTAAAATTATGATTAAACTAAAAATCCAATGATAATGATGAACAATATACCTTTTGAAATTGTTAAAGCTGGACTCCACTGCGATCTCAAAATATCCAGGCAAATACTGCCATTACTGTTTATATTTGGGTGATATATTTTTGTTGTAAATGCCACCTACAAATGATGTGAAATTTAATGTCCCTACTCAGAATGTCCAAAATAATTTAAGGGAAAAGGTAATTAAGTAGTTCCTTAAAAGATAAATTTGCAAATCATTGGAAAGTTTAATTGGGTGATGCATTTGACAGAAGAAACATCAATTTTATATGTCTCTGAATTGAACAAATTGCAACAAATCTACTGCTGATACATTGTTTTTTACAAATAAATAAAAATCTGCAACTTATCAATGTATAGTAGTACAATCAACTCAAAAATTCTATTGATGAATGCCAAATACAGTTGATTTCAGCCAACGTCTTAGGACCTCTTAGTTCCATTTTTACCAGTTCTTCATAGTAAAAGAGATTTTACAATAAAAAAATACAGGTTAAAATTTTTTGAGTCAGCATTTTTTGCAGAAAAAGTCTGCCCAAACATGATGGGCATGCACCCAAACATGGTGGGCATTCAAGAACCCACCTTTTACCTAGAAACAAAGTCTGCAGATTTCTATCAATTCTCTTTGAAAGGGCACCACATCATTCAGGAGTAAAACCGTCAGAAGGTAGTGGGGTATGCAAGGTTGGGGGTTTTTATCAACCACAAAAGTGACAAAACACTATATACCAATGCTTCATTCATAGTGACTATATGTCAATAGTAAATTAGATATTAAGTTATATCACATGTTATTGATGTGCTTAAAATACATAGTTTTGTTTAAGTTCCGCTTACCTTCGGTGGCTTGAACGGGTAGTCTGTAGGAAAGTGAATTGTCAGAAAAAAGACGCCCCCTTGGTATGGCGTTTCAGGCTGTTGCATAACAAAGAATGAACATTAATATACACGCGAAAAAATGTTGTAAAACATTTGTACATTTGTTCATTGGTTCGGGAAACATGCGTATCTACTCACCGGACCCATTATCGTCGCCTGCCAGTGAAATACTGAAAGGGAAGAGCAGTTTTGTATGTGACAAACGTCATTGGCCATACCGAAGTTGTCGTAAAATGCAACAACATTATTATGAAAAAGAAACGAACTTTTAAAAGCAGTGAATAAAATAAAATAAAGCCACAAAAGCTACGGACAATAATTGTGGGATTTTCATGTTATATTTCAGCTCATTTACACTATGCTAAGGCTTTTGTATGTCTTTCTCAAATTTGAGAAACTCACGGTCGTCGCCAACAGGGCCGGCTGAACATTGGGCAGGAGGATCTCGTCCTAAGTCTTGTAATTCCTACAAAAAGATGAAAAACGACTAAAAAACATATTCATTAATACATCAATAAGAGTAGGTGGTACGCTAAAATCCACAGTGAGTGCAACGATCTGTGCCGATTTACTGATGCAAAAACACTGTTTAGCGTCGACATAAAATCACACAACACACTTTCATAAGCTCCGCGGAAGTACAAACTGTTCATCCCTGTGAGCGTATTTCAGTACCTTGTTTATTCTTTTCAAAGCCATAAAAGCATTAAGGATTAGGAACTACTCTCCAACCCGTAAAATATAACAGAAATTATGTTTAGCCGGCACTTCTCCCTCACTTTTGCGTTTTAACTACCCAAACTTTGGGCCAAAAAATGGTGACTACACGAAACGTGCCTCCGTATGCGGGGTGGACAAGAGAAACAGATATAATCACACGGGCTTCCACGAAAAATATGCCCGACCGGGTAATTAATAGCATAGCAGCCTCACCTTCAATGACCTTCAGTTCGTTCTGATCAAGTGAAAGTAATAGCAAAAGTGATAGGTAATACCACCACCGGGTTCACTTTTCGTTAGAATGGATTAGGGACGGGTATTAGTGACATTTTGTTAAAGAAATCAACTGGTCACCATAACACAACACAACGACAACATATTCAGATATTCCATATTATGTAAACCAAAAGGCGTTTAGTGAGCGTTATATGGAGAGGTACAAAAATAATAATCATAAAAATAATTGGGACAATTTGTCCTCAGAGAGTCGGGTGCTTCTTGCTGAAATAGCCAGCTTAATAGAATAAATTTTACCCCAAAAATAATAGGCATAGGACAATGCCATATGTATTGTCTGATTTGTCTCTCTAACAATGCGACTTTTTACGACTCGCCTCACGACTTTGAACTGAACTAGCTGACAAATTGCAGGGCTAATGAAATGGTATAAAAACAGGGCGCTGTTATAGGTAATTATATCGGTTTTTACAACCGCACTCTCTCACAAAAGTTTCGTTGTTCCCAAATATACATCTTTCAAAAATAGAATTGCATTCCAAGTTGCAAGAAAACTTGCATCGCGGATCACGTAGATGTTTAAAGGGGATTTGCCAGCGCAATTTTGCAATAGTTAACACAATAAGGCCTAGGCGTGCCTGAGCTTCATTCCCATCTCATTAATTGCATTCGACGCGACGAGAATGCGACGTATAACCACAGTTCACTGTGGTATAACCTAGGCCTAATATTAACAGTGACATGAATAGGTGAATTCAATAGTTTCGAGTATTTTTAGGACCCGTAGTAGAATTTTTAGATGTACTTTTTCCGCCTGTCTGTTAGCCAGCCTAAAGATTTTGTGATTTTTGTCCTGCTGTGCAAGTTTCAAGTTATTATAATTATTCAATTATATGGAAATGTTGTTTTCACAGCTAATACACACCAGATTCAGAATATTAGCATTGCGGGGACTAAATCGTCAGACTGGCAAGGCTATAGCCTATACCGATCTGTTGTAGCAACTATATTTTTACCAATGTAAGCTAATGTCTAGACAATTGTACGGCAATCTAAATAAAACGATATGCGAATTCCGTCGCTTCTTCCGTGCTTTAAGGTACAGTTCCCTTCAAACTGATTTTACTACATGCGATGCAATCACGGGTGAATAGTATACAGTAACAGTATTATACGTATTTTTAGTATACAGTAACAGTATTATACGTATAGACTATAGATTGGTTTATTACTGATTGATTTATGATATTTGACATTTTGAAGTAAAATTTATTTAGCAAAATGTGCGTTGTTTCTGCTGCACGCAGTCTATACTTTATAATAGGAGTTTGTCTGTAGTTTCATAGGTGACCGGCAGGCCCAGGCATAAGACAGAGTGAGGTGGCGACGGAACATGTTGTCAAAGTAGAAAGAAAATGAAAACACCACTCCAGGCAAAAAGACCTGACAGAGAAAGGTTTGATACCGTACAAACCTCAGACAGAGACAGACATAATCAGTTCGTAGTTTGGCTGGTAGTTACCACAGTCCACAGGCACAGGTAGTCAGCCAGTCAGGCCACATGTTTCGAGTTAATAGACACCTTTCATACTAAAAATTGCAGCGAACTTATGACCGAGCTTATGACTAGCCTAATTTGCAGTTAACTACAGTTTTATTATAAGGGAACTAGATTTATTTTTAATATTACTTGTGTTTTCGTAACTCTTACCACAGAGGAATATATACTGTATTCTTCCTCTGTGCTCTTACCTTAGAAATAATAGACATGTCTATTATTTCTATGGCTCTTACAATAACAGTACAACCTCGACATGCAACTTTGATAAATATCTGATTTCAAAGAGTTTGCAATTTTTGTTTGCATATGAGGGGCATAGGTTTTGTGGTTTTGTGGTTTTCAGTTTTCTTCTCTCACCCAGTACTAATGACCTTAGCCATGAAATACCGATTTTGTTAATAATTGACTTTATTAATGAGACGACGACACTTGACGATCTTCACATAGCGTATCCTTTTTAAAAACGTTCTGATTGGTAACCAATAACCATAATCACCATATATATTGAGCAATCGAGTGATCGAGGTTGCGTCGATTTTGCCTGAAACCGCCTTATACTTTCAACTTGCAAAACTTTCTGATAAAATATGAGGTATGGGTATGTAAGAAACGGACTGCTTCATATAATGAATACTGAATATAGCATCAATAGCGTAGAACGGGTAATACGAAACAGGCAGGGCAGCCAGGAGTGTTAAAAAATAGGGGTGTTTATAGTTCATATTATAATATTAATTAATAGGCCTGGTTTCACGTGTAATGTTGAACTAGGATTTACTCCATATAATATAGTTGTGCACGTTTGCATGTATAGAAAATCAGTGTAGGCTGTAGGGTGCATTTAATGTGGACACGTGGAAAATTGATTAACTTCTGTCAATACATGCCCTTTCAATTCAGCAGTTAATTACTTGAGATTTCCAGAGCCCTTCTGAACACTCCAAACTTAAGGTATTTTGCCCCCTCTTGCTGACTGTGATGCTTATGCAAACAATTTTTGCATAAGCCATACTTTACTATACACAATTATGCCCCTAACTTCCTCTCCCCCCCCCCCCTATCACTTAATCTTTGTGATTCAAATTTGTATTACCTTGAAATTACCTTTACAATCACAGTATCAGAGAAGGTGTTCTCTTGGGTATGGGTAATCCACTCTTGGATATAAGTGCAGTTGTCAATAACGACTTCTTGACAAAATACGGCTTGAAGTCAAATGATGCCATACTTGCAGGAGACCAACACAAACCAATGTGAGTCAATTCAAAGGGGCCATTCATAATAATATAAGGGCTGTTGAATAATTTTTGTGGATCTGGACAATTTTGCAGGTATCATGAAATGGTTGAGTTGTATGATGTGGATTATATGGCAGGAGGTGCAACACAGAATACTATAAGAGTTGCACAGGTAAATTAGAACAAGTTCACATCCAGGATAATTTTATGCTATTATATTCATTTCACATACACCTGTCATAAACCTACAAACCCTGCATCTTTATAGTGGATGATGCAACTGCCGAAGGCATCCTCATACATTGGATGTGTAGGTAAATGTAATTGGTTGCTGCTAAGTCATATAGCCCAGGTTACTGAGCTGCTTAAAAAGGTGCTCTTCATGCATTACCTCATATATCATGATAGGAAAAGATGAGTTTGGTAACATTCTTCAACAAAAAGCAGAAGAAGCAGGTGTTGCTGTGAAATATTTGTATAGTGGTGATCAAGACACCGGTACATGTGCTGTATGTATAAGTAATAACAATACTGCAAGGTAATGTGATAAAAACTGATAGATAATTTAATTTAAAGTCAGGATGTGGCTGTTTAGTTAGATGCACAGTGCACTGATGTACCAAGACCAGCTTGTTGATGTGTGATAAAATTCTAAGGTGTTTGAAAGAATTAAACTGGAAACAACTGTGTTAATATTTTTCAGATCACTTGTAGCAAATCTGGCAGCTGCAAATCATTATAAGAAGGAGCATTTACTTGAAAATTGGGAGACTGTTGAAAATGCTGAAATTTACTATATATCAGTAAGAAACCAGTACTATCATGATGAATGCAATATATTATAAACATTATAACAGTAAGGTTTTTTCTTACTATAACAGTAAGGTATTTGGTTTTTTAGTCATATATGTAGGCTGTCTGAAGTTAAACTTTTTTGTTGCAGGGTTTCTTTTTGACAGTTTCACCAGAAGCAATAATGTTGGTTGCAAAACATGCAACAGAAAAAAACAAAGTATTTACTGCCACTTGTACACTAGTGTTAGAGCAGTCAGATGAAACTATAATGCTGGACTAATCTTCCTGAAAATTAAACCTAAACATTTTGTCCTGTTATATTTTTTTACTGTTTTAGTGTTTTACAATGAATTTGTCAGCACCATTCATAACTCAGTTTTTCAAAGGACCTTTGATGGATGCAATGCCACATGTTGATGTGTTATTTGGAAATGAGTCTGTATGTCATCGAAATAGTATCTCTTTTTCTTTGATAAATTATCAAATGTTTGCATGCCTTTTAAACCTAATAGACTAGCTGTTTAAGCAGGTAGCATGAATTTCATTGTCTATTTCCTACACAAGTTTGTTGATCAACTCTCTGATTCAGCACTGCACTCAACCTTGTACATGAAAGGTGAGAAAACTACAACTGCAATGAAAATGAAGGTTAAAGGTTAATGTATGATGACTATTGTATTATTAAATTATATAAATTTAGTACATACTGTATTGTCTGTATTAGTATTTTCTTTGTTGTAGGAAGCTTTGCAATTTGCAAAGGAGCAAGGATTCAATGTATGTGATGCATATAAACTTTTCCTAGTTTAATTACTACTTTTCACCATCTATCTGCTTTTTTAAATTGGGTCCTTGCTGTACATTTATTTCATAAACATTTTTATTTTAGACTGAAGACATAAAAGAAATAGCTATCAAGATTTCCAACTTGCCACAAGCAGAAAACAAAAAGTCTCGAACTGTTGTTATCACCCAAGGAAAAGATCCAACCCTTGTTGTGCAAGGTACTACTATTCCAGCATGGATGTCTATAGTCATATTGTTTAAGCTTTTTGTGAACTCCCTGAAAAGGAAGATCTTAAACATTTAATAGGTCCAGAATATTTTATTACAACTGGTACAGTTTAAATGAATGAAAATATAATCAAAGTGTGTGATGTGATTGCCTGCCATGACAAACATAAGCAAAACCTAATTTTATTTGTGTTTGAATTTAAAATCTTCAAGATGGCAAACTTACAGAGTATCCAGTAGCTTTGATAAAACAAGAATCCATTGTTGATACAAATGGTGCTGGAGATGCATTTGTTGGAGGTAAGACAAATCATTTTCCTATGTATTTATCCTACCACCATACATTGCCTGTACGTGACAGACACATCTTGAATAATATAGTAGCTAACTATGCCACAACCATTTACAGGTTTTTTGGTGCAATATCTACAAGGCAAGCCAATGGAAGAATGCATACGTTGTGGACAATACACAGCCAAGCTAATCCTCCAAGTGTCTGGTGTTACATTAGCTGGAAAGCCTGATTATTAACAAGACTTGCTTTGTGTCATTTTAGATAGTAATTATAATTATTATATATTATAATTATTTTTGAATGCACTTGAATTAAAATGAAATTATCAGTAATATTGGCATTGGTTAAATGTGAATTGTTAAGAAACAACCCAAAATGTTATGTTGAAATGCTTTATAAATGTCGTTTCAGTGTTACTATGAAAAAGATTTTTGATGGTGGATTAGCTGTGACCAATACCTCCTTTCATTGGTTCATCTGTTATCAGCTTCCAAGCTGAAATGACTACTTTCCTGAGTTAAATGATAGCCATTCAGGCTTTCAAAACAACACATAAATCTTATAACACAAACTGTGTTTTTCCCAGATATTCAACAGTTCTACCCTCAACTTAGTGCATGTTTAGTGCAGTGCAAGGCACTATATTTTTTAAAAATTACTTTTTTATCAAGATAAGTCAAAGTACTTTAGTACTGTTGCCGATGAAGCTGCATCAGTGACAAATGAGCACAAAATATCAAATTTCATACATACAAAAATAATTTTTACTCACATTAACACAGAATGATAAATTATTTGTCTAAAGTACACAGTCACTTATCTCTCAGGTTTAAGACACTGTACTGTACATTCATTTTGTTGTCTTGATAACAAGAGGTCCAACATTATCTCCAGTGCATTTGTTATGCTCATTATGACTTCCATCACAATACGGCCACTAGAAAGTAATATGATTATTTTAAGCAGTGCAAATTAAACAAAGCATGTGATTGTAATTTATTACTTTTTGACTAAAACAAGACCTGTAAAATATTGTCTAACATTGTAGGTCCGATTAAGCCATGAAAAAGCTTCAAAACAAAGTTGAAGATGATCTCATTTTAGCCAGCATGCAGTGTTCAAACAAAGACAACAATTTCCACCAAATGGTGAACCATATTAAATCATAGAGTATAGTATAGGAGAAACAAAGACTTAATTGAAAAGAGTGTAAGAAACCTGTTGGGTTATGCAACCACAAGGCTGGTGAGATTTTCCTCGGGAAACATTTTGCTACATTTGTACTAGCTATACAGGATGTTTTTCATTTAAAAATTTAAAAGGAATAAATTATTTTGAAAGTTTGAGTTTTTAAAAGAAAATTTGACTGGCCTTGTTTTTGCAAGTTACAAGTTTTTTTCTTTAAAAGGTCTATATATCCTGGTACAAGGGGTCCCCTTGTAATGGGGTATTTAGTAATTCAGCAATCAGCATGGAGGATATGTTGAATCTTGAATCTTGATGGCATGAAATCTATATGATGATGGCATGAAATCCATCAATTGTTTTTTAATCATAAATTTATGAATACTATTATTTGATCACAATACTGATGCACAAATTATATAATGAAAATATTAAACAAAATATACACAAAATATTATAAAAACACCAGACAAACTCAACAGTGACAATACACAAATATGTACAACACACCTTTTTAGTTCGCCAACAACGACAGAAAGCTGTCTTCTCTCCCAGATCCTCGATGTCACATACCGTGGCCACTTTTGGTACGTCCTTCTGTATTGATTTGTTCACCCATTCAGAACTCTTGTCTTTTCTAAAAACCTGATATATTACATACACTCCTAGTAAGGCTGTGCTCACCCAGGGAATGTATTTTGTCCATTCGCAGTCGCTGTGACGTGCAGACATCGTAAATGCAAAGGAAATCGCAGCAAAACTAGAACAAAATTTTGACTTTCGATTTCAAGTGTACTATAAAATAAAGGTAGCCTGCCAGATTTTCTGCCTGAAAATTTAAAGGGTGAAACCCGCAGAACAGTATACGTCGACCAGTGACGTCAACACCTCTCGCCTTTCTCGCCTCTTGCCCAGAAAACTGTAAAATGGTTTTATTATGTTCAACGCGCAATATCAAAATGCAAAAAATGGGTTTATTACAGTTCACTCAACCTTACTGCTAGCTAGACTGGTACTTTGGCTTAGGGCCGGTGTCACAGCGGATTTGGGTCCATATCCACTAGCGGATTTGAACCCCCCGAACGGCCCGAAGTTTGAAAATTTGGGCAATAGTAATGACGAAAACAAGTTATTGGGATGCTAATTTTATAAAAATGTATAGGGTTCAATGTACAGACAAAAATTATATCTCAATTCTATTTTCGTTGTGCAGGGCCGGATTAACCTTTCGCGGGGCCCGTGGCATTTTTTCAGCGCGGGGCCCCTTAATCCCGTAAAGCATCAAAGCCTTTACTCACGGCCGGCCACAGAATTTTTGGGGCTCGGGTAAAATTCTCGTTAGGGGAGTAAAATCCGAAAAAATTAGCAATTTGTGCTACTGTAGCGAGATCATGCATGACCAGAACATTGGTGTAGAAAATACTATAGCTATAGCAGTTTTAGGGGGGTTTGGGGGCATCCTCCCCCAAGAAAATTTTGAGTTTTAGAGTGCAGCAAATGCGATTTCCTGCGTTTGGGGGTGAGATTTCCGCATAATCGAGTATAATATTGCATTACCTAAACTATAAACAACCTAAGACGTTTTCTGAAAGAGGACTATATATTCCAACAACATGCAGTTTAATTTTGTTCTTGTAGGTTTTTGGGGACCTTACAACCCTGGGCTCAGGGCTAATTTCCCCCTTTGACCACCCCTCTAGGTGGCTCTGCCTTTACTTGAAGTTTTAATTTCTAAATTTTCCCATTACCCTAAAATTTTCTTGGCAGAATCTGGTTGCAGGGGTGCCTAATTGGACCTCGACTTTTGATTTCTAAGGCTTCGCGTTATTTATTTCGCTCCGATAGCTTAATATAAGCTTTAAAGGCATTTTTATTTATTTATGGGGCCTCGCTTTTTGGAGTCACTTTATTTTATTTTGTGGCCATGAGGCTTTGTGGCCCTTTTTCCATCTCCCACGCACCGAAAAAAAAATTGAACTGAGTAAAGCGCGGGGCCCCCCAAACCGCGGGGCCCGTGGCATATGCCGCTTCTGCCATATGGTTAATCCGGCCCTGTCGTTGTGCCGAAAAGAGACTAAGGGGTTATCAGTGAAAATGGAAGATGTCTCGGGATCATTCTTCAGGATATGAAAATTCCTAAGTAAGATATCCCTAACAGCAAAATTGACGGGATGATGTGTTAGAACTAAAGGAGTAGAATTAATGTTAGGGGTGTTAGAGACAGAGTCTCTAAGATAAGGCAGTGTCAATAAGTGGGGCGGGATAGCCGCGCCCGACAAAGAATGTTTTCATCTCCAGACATTTGGACTGGAAGTCATTATATTAACCTCGCGTCTTAGATGTAATTCTTAGATATAATACGCGTCTTACATGCAAGACGGGCTTGGCAGCATCGTTTAAACGCACAGCTCGCGTCTTATTCAAGTCGCGTCTTATACAAGTTGCGACTTATTTTCCCTCGAATAAATGAGCCTAATTTCCGACTAATTCGGTTATTTGACTGTTTCCATGATTTTTTTTGAATGTTTGAAATTAGAAATTTGATCTGGTGATCCTGACGTGATAATATCTCGGTCAACTAATGCATACTAGAATATGCTTTTACGTGTGTGTACTTGCGTATGAAAAACGCGTAAGTGGAAAGTCCACTTACGCGTTTTTCATACGCAAGTACACGCGCGTAAAAGTCTAAATCCTTATACATGTTACCATGGATAATAAAATCACAAGGGCAAGCAGCAAGCTATATCGTGCGTTACGTCACGATTTTCAACAAGGTTAAAATGCTGACGCCATGAGTTTCCTATCCAGTCTTTTAACTATCCATGATGTTACCTTTGAAGGAGCTAAGTGAATAAATCGAAGGAACTTAGTACTTGATATTTTAGTATGCATTAGTTGACCTAGACGTCAAATAATAAAAATTTAAAAGCAATTAAATTTTTCCTTACGTGTACGTGCGTATAAAAATTAAAAACGCGTAAGTGGAAAGCAGCCTTAAGTGGAGTTTCTGAAAACACTAAACTTATATCTCGTCTACAGCTTGGAAATCAGCGATCGCGTGTCGCTGTAGGGGTCCGCGTATTGCGAGACGTTTTTATTGCAGACGTATCTGTCGCATAGAAATGTTGAAATCTTTATATTTTATTTATGATTGTGTGAAAAAACCGCATTACAGTTTTTTACATTATATATGACGTATTTAGACATCATTAGATCTATAAGCACCATATTTGCGTGCATGTTACGCGTGTATTAAAACGTTCAAATCAAAAGCAGCTCGAAGGACTTTGGCAACCATTTTTTATGGTTGCATTTCAAACGTCAGGTGTGCGTGCATGGGGAACCCCCCCAACTGAAGCCCTAGCCATGCATCGTTTCTCAATAAGGACCGATTTGAATACAGAAATAAAGACAATTTTAAATCTATATAAGGGCCTTTTTTAACTATATAGCTGTATATATAGTGCAATATATATGTCCCTCTCAATCATGACAAAAGGTCCCTTTTGTTATTTAGCTGACTCATTTCGCTCCCCCCCCCCACTAAGAAAATCTTAAGAAAGACCATCAGTGTTACATCTGGGCAATTTCACATCGTCATCGGTGAAAATGACTTTAATAATTGTTCACGACAATTATGACTATAATTTTTCACGACAATTATGACTATGATCATGCTAGTTTCAATTTAGTCATGAGTCGTAACCAAGCTTAAATATTCAGTGAATTCGTTTTTCATTTAAGGTGTGACTATCAGTGATAAACATTTGTATAAGCACGTACCCGAGCCTCATGCAGATGCAGGTATTTAACAATTGGTTGCATAGATATATAAACACAAAATCTGAAATAAAAAATGATATCCTGCTTTAATTCACAAGTGGAGGTTTACGTATCTACTATGATACGGCTAAGGATTTTCTTTAAAGCCATGTCTTGACCTTTTGTCATGAATAAACGTCACGGGCATGATCTTTGTTTTATAAAGGAACATTCCACTCAAGAGTTTCAGTCATGCTGTTATAAAAGGATTTCATGTTCTTGGCAAAGTATTCTTGCTCCTTCAACTTAAAACATCAAAGAAAAGCAAGTTTATAGAAGAGACTACGAAGTTTCAAAGAGTCGATACAACTGAAACGGTTTCAAAGAGTTAATATAAAGTTAGTATCTTACAAATTCTTTTTCAATACATGCAGTATACACTCCGTCATCAAACATCCTCTTAACTGACTATCTTCCTAGGACTCGCGATGTTTTGCGCACAAGCTCGAGTTTGGAATATCGCTGGCAGGTCGACATCAATGAGACTTCTTCGATTGAGGACTCTTTTTACTCACGGATCACAAGCCACGTACATTGACGAAATTAGAGAAAGCGTAATTGGAAAACAGACGAAGAGAACCCAAGAATCCACGTCGCCCGAAAATGCACTGAATGTTGTCTTTTTCGCAAATAAACACAATAGTATGAGCCAAAGATTGTGTTTGGAACTCGAAAAGCGAAACCATCACGTTAAGGTAATGTTTTGCGCCTTTGTTTCCAGAGTATATATCTCCGTCCATCTCTTTTGGTCTGCTTGATAAATGCATGTTGATAAATGCATGCCTCAGAGCTCTGCTGAAGCGCGTATGCATAGCATCAATTATTATTATTCCGCTGTTTCACTTTTATGTCGTTTATTTGCCTGTCGAGAATTGAATTTTATGCCGGTGTTGTAACTAGTGTTGATGAGAATCCGTCGAGGCTTGCAAATATTCAGCATGCTGAATATTTCGGTGCTTATAAATGAACGTTTCCGGCTAGCTTTAAGTTTAAGTGCTCGTGTGCGAAAAGCCGTTGCGCGTGTACGAGAGTAATTTTGAGTGGCAATCCTCGATCATAAAGAGTGTGATTTAATTGTTTGATCTACAGGGAGTTGCATAACTGCCTTGACGACTTAGTTCTTCTATGCCATCATTGACTGTGAAAGCAACCATTTCTAAATTTCAGGCTGGCTACACAACTGACTTTAGTACAAAATACATGACACAAAACACGTTTTTCCACCAAAAAATAAGGAACCCTATAAACCCCCTCCCACCCCAAATAAATAGTCAGGCTTGCTATATAATTGTCTTTAGTTACCAAGAGGCCGTCCACAAAATCCTTAAAGGCCTGAATCTATAACAATGTCAGCACATCCTGTATATATTTTCATTTTTCTCCCCCCCCCCCCATCTTTCAGGTTTTCGAAATCAACAACAGTTCTGAAATGAGCGAGGTAGCCAAAAATCAACAGGCAGATATAATATTGGCGCCGTTTTTGACAAAAACCGTCCCCGATGACGTGTGGAACAATTCCGGAGTGCCTTGCATCATTGTTCATCCGGGAATAGAAGGAGACCGCGGCCGACATTCCTTAGATTGGGCACTTAAACAGCAACAACCGGAGTGGGGCGTGACTCTTCTCCAGGCCGCCGAAGAGATGGATGCAGGTTGGACTAATGGTTACTTGGGTGGAAATTTCATGTTAATTAAGTACAAATCTAACAATCTCACGAGATGATTAGAGTCTGTTCTTTTGGCCGGAAAAAATCAAAACATTTTCTTTTTTTAGGCGACATTTGGAGCACCTTCAATTTTAAATTAAATCGCACGAACATCAACACTCTTACAAAATCAAGCTTGTATACAAATGAGGTAACAGACGCTGCTGTGAGGTGTCTGCTGGATACCGTGGAACGATTCAGAAACGGACAGTCCCCGCGACCTTTAAACTATGAAAATGCAAATGTTAAGGTGAGATTACACTTGTTCTTCGGATCGCAATACTTGATCCAACGGTTATAGACCGTCTCGTCTGAAACTTTTCACCTTACCGTCACCCTACCATACAAGGTACAGCCACTGTGAACACACAGGGCCATTTTAGGATTTTAACACCTTTAATTCCGGCAGGGAAAATTAATGGAGCCGCTGAAGAACGCTGACAGAACTGTAGACTGGAAACAACCCGCTGAGGAAGTTGCATGCCGAGTGCGCATGTCTGATTCGTCACCCGGTGCCATAGCAACGCTGTTGTTGAAAGATAATGGTAAAATGTAAGATTTCGAGATTGTCTTATTTTGTTTAATCAGTAACTGATTATTTTCATCGGCATTTCATAAATGTGTTACCTAATATTAATGGTATATGTGGTATTAATTGCAACCCCTGACTTTTGATAGGTTAAATGAAAAGTATCGGGTATTTGGAGCACATTTGGAACAAGCAGACTCGTTTAACTCTCCCAGTTATGAACCCGGACAGATTATCGCCCAGCGTCATGGGGCGATATTGGTGAAATGCGGTGAAGGCGCTATATGGTTGAGTCACCTTAAGAGAAATAAATTGAAACTACCAGCAACGTCATGGCTAAAACAAAATGGGATAAGTATCCCAAGCATGCCCGAACCAAACCTGGAAATATTCAACGAAGCATACCCTCGAACTTTCCAGGTACAATAGAGCTTCTTGTGCTATGAAAAAGATGAGTAAGGAAAAACAGAAGTTTTTTTCACTGAGGAATCGTGCAGTTTTCAATCAAAATTAAATGTTTCCATCAAAATAACTTCAAAAGTAACCTAATGTACTGCTAATATACCGTGGGGAAATACCGGCAGAGTTTTTTAGTAGTAGTCCTGAGTCCTCGTAAGAATTCAGCCAACAATATACATGTCCTTTGCAATGCTAAAAAATTTCATTATTACATATTCTATACATTTCAGGAAATTTGGACAAAGCAAACTCCAGATGGAGCGTGTTACGTTCATTTCAACTTTTACAACGGAGCAATGAACACAGATCAGTGCCAAAGATTATCAAATGCTCTGCGCAAAATTGCCCGTGACGAAAACACCAAGGTCGTAGTTCTCATGGGCGGACACAACTTCTTCAGCAATGGAATCCACCTCAACTGCATAGAAAACGCGGCGAACCCGTCTATAGAATCGTTGCATAACATCACTGCTATCAATGACCTAGTTAGGGATGTGTTTTCAATGCAGGATAAGATCACGATATCTGCTGTCCAAGGCAACGCGGGCGCTGGTGGAGTGATGATGGCATTAGCAAGCGATTTGGTTCTATCACGTGACGGTGTCGTCATAAATCCACATTATACAAACATGAGCTTATTTGGATCTGAATATCACACGTTTTTCTTAGAGAGAAGATTGGGGCGAGAAAAAATGCTCCAGGTATTAACTAAGTCTAAGATCTTGTTTCCCAATCCCGCGATCCTCTAGCGGGAAAACCTTTATTCTCGTTCCCAGGTTTTTCTGCTTTGTTATTAAACAGCCTTTTTAAATGTTCTTCGCAGTGATCCAAAGATCCGTTGCAGCATTACTGATCTATACATTGAATAGGTTACACTGAATAAATCCATCCGGTGCCTAACAGTATCCGGCAAAGGGCCAGTTGTTCAAAGCTGGGTTGGCGCTAATCCTGAGTAGATTTTTAATCCCCTGCTGGATAGCAGCTAAACACCGTTTAGCTTAAACGCCGTTGATACAACCGGCCCCTGTTCTGGTTTAAGTGCTTCTGAACCGCTGTTAGTTTTAAAACCTTTAGAAAAAATGGCTTTTGTCGGTCCAGAAAATAGTATAAAAAAAGATATTCAACTTTGCAAACAAGCGATTAAAAAAATACAGTTATACTACAAGAAACAATGAAACTAAACAGCTACATTTCATGACATCTAGATAACATCCGGAGCTAAAAGTATGTTGTCCTCAGAAGCGGTTTCAACTGGTCTTTTTGATTGTATCATTGGAGGAAATGTAACAGAATTCCAAAGCGAACTGGAACAAGTGGTGACAAAGGTAGTTTAAAAGTTTACATCCATTAGTTAGACTAGTTAGTCGACTTTCAGTATTTGACTGGACCAGCTGTAAACCTCTGTATTATACAAAGCATTTTACGGGCTTCTCTACTTTAGATTGCTACCGATCCTTCACTGGGGGGTATAATCGAAAGAAAGTTCGGCGCACACGATATGGCTTGGTACGAGCAGGCTGAATTCTGCCGACAAAATGAAATACAAAATATGACGAGAAACTTTCAAAGTCCCGAATACGACATGGCACGAAAAAATTTCGTGTTCCATTAGCATCAATTTTAACTCATCTATATTATCTATTTATGTCATTTATTACTTTATTACTACATTTTTAAATAAAGCAATGCATTTCAAAAATGTAAATCATGTTACTTTATATTAATAATTCCATATGTTGCCACATCCTATAAGGCTGTAAGTATAAACTTTGAATTTTTTTTATTATACAAAAATTATAACCATATAGCTTCAGTTATATGAATTTGAAATATATGAATTATTATTGATGAATAAATGGTATATATTTGCATTTAATCCAAAGCTTCTTCAAAAATAAGCAAATACGTTCTCATGCGTTTTTGTTAAAAATCATGGTGAAATCACATATTTTCACCTGTTTATATAATCTGGGTACCAGAAAAACCCCAGACCCCAAGACAACTTTACTGACGCGCTGGTAGAATGGAAAGAGTTGAAAAATGGAAGAAAGTCAGTTATATAGGAATCATGAATACTATGCATTATGAATAGGAATTAAACGAGTGCAGGGTCAATACAAAGGAATATAAGACCGAGGGTTTTTCTTGGTTTAGCACATTCAAGCGAACGGCAACAAATCAGCGTGCGCTATTTACCATTCGCCGTTGCAAGATACTCTCGGTAACTGTGGCGAAAACAAGCGGAAATTCTGTAAAAGTTTTTGGAGGCTAGCACTGCTGTATCAGTTCATTCTGTAGTATGTGTACATATAGTATAAGCATAGTTCCCCAAAAATGTGTTCGATCGTTATAATTTGCATTACATGAAGTAGCGCACGCACTCATAATTAAAAATGTGCATCACTGATTAATGCCATGAAAAAACACATTTTCGGGACTCGCCGACTTCGCCGACTCGGGTACCTGGATATGGTCAGCTATGGTATAAGTAATATTTTCGAGCAGAGAAAATAGCATATTAATTAAGGCTAAAGCGTACCTCCTTTCAGAAATTCCGCGTCATTCAAAAATGTGCATATTAATTAGGTGTTCTATACATTGACCAAGTAAACAGTCGCGAAGTTGATTAGGCGAAATTAGTCTCACTTTAATACTTTATCAATATCATAGCTATATATTCAACTTATTGTAAAGGCACTGTATAATATGTTATAGAACCATATTAACCAGGACCTCCAAAATGGACAGTGATGAGAAAACGCATATGGCTGCAAATGGTTGTGAGCAACATTGCCTTAATATAAGCAAATATCGGAAGCATGTACCAACCTTCATTGGCAGATGGGTAACTCGTGTGTTGGTTGGTTTTGTACTTTGGGCCACAGTGTGGTCAATTGTTGGCCAAGATGCCTTGCCTGGTGGAAATATATATGGCTTGTCTATTTTGCTAGCTGTTGCAGCATTAGTTGGTTTCCTGGTGCGACTTATACCATGGTTAAAGCTACCAAGTTTGTTGGGGATGCTGATTGCAGGGTTTGTGTTAAAGAATGTGGATGGAATAGATGTTGCAAAAGAGATAGATAACGAGTGGTCATTAACAATCAGGAATGTTGCATTGGTTGTAATATTGTTACGGTCAGGTCTTGGGCTTGATCAGAATGCACTCAAGAGGGCGAAGTGGACAATTGGTCGGCTAGCATTGTTACCATGCATTGCTGAAGCAATCACAGTTGCAGTCATGGGACATCTGTTGTTAGACATGGGATTCCTTTGGAGCTTTCAGCTAGGGTATGTCAGCCACTATATAGACGCAACCTCTTGTACCCAGGGTAATTTCGCTGTGTGTAGGGGGTCCAATTTAAACAGTGATTCCCTACTTGATTACATAGGACGCATATTGTACAAGTCCCAGCTCTATAGATAAGTGCTAAGCTTAGCTTCACTTTTAATATATATTAGTATATAGGACTAGGCCATGGCCAAAGGTGGCCAGGCCATGGAAAGTCTAAGAGATCATGTTTTATGCCTTGTACATGCGTTTCTTTTCAGTTTCCTAATTGCGGCAGTGTCACCTGCAGTCGTGGTACCGACCCTTCTAGAACTGCAAGAAAAAGGATATGGTGTTGACGAGGGAATACCAACATTAGGCGTGGCATCAGCCTCACTTGAGAATGTGTTTGCTATCAGTCTTGTGGGTGTGTTTTTAGGACTTGCATTTTCAGAAGGTAATTAAGTAGTTAGTTTTATGTGTTTGTAGTATCTCACAACATAACCTATAGTCTATAACACCACAATGTTAGTTTCTGAGGGTTTTTTTAAATTTAGGAAACCTAACTTATAATATATTTCGAGGGCCAATTGAGATTGTTTTGGGCCTTGCAATTGGCATAATTGTTGGACCTTTACTTTGGATTCTGCCATTTAATCATAAGGTATGCCACCTGATAATGCAATATGATTGATAGCTAGATTCACCACCATTATTACCATTTGTTAAGTATTAGTGTCTATTAATAAGTCAACTAACCGAAAGCCTTTTCCACAACAGAGCGATGCACCCCAGAAAAATAGATTTGTCCTGCTATCAAGCCTGGGTCTACTGTCATTATTTGGACTAAAAAGAGCAAATTTCTCTGGTGCTGGTGCCCTGGGGTGTTTGGTCCTGTCGTTTGTAGCTGGGCAGGGTTGGTCAGACTCAGACAAAGTAATTAAAGATCATTTTTATTTCATTTTTATTTAGCTGCCTCAAATCAAACCACAACAACATATTTACTTACTGCATACAAATTACTGTACTTTTAATGCTGCAGAAGCAAATTGGTGAGGCAATGTCAGTCGTTTGGGATTTGTTCATGCCATTATTGTTTGCACTTATTGGAGCTGAAGTCAATGTGGAATATATGGAGAGCAGGCTTATTGGTAAATAATATGAAACCTATGTATGTTAACAATAAACACAATTGTTGGAATGTTATAATTTGAGCAACAACCAGTATTATTGACTTATTTTAGGAAGAGGAATTGCAATATTGGTCATAGGAATGATTCCTAGATTGCTAATGGTTTATCTAGTTGTGTCTCGTAATAACTTCACAAGGAAAGAAAAGCTTTTCCTGACGTTATCCTGGATTCCAAAAGCCACAGTTCAGGTCAGGACAATTAGCCTATAAAGGTCGTATAGGTCCAGGTCATCCTGCAATGTTTAATCTATTAAGCTAACTGCTAAGATTGGATTGAGTCATTAGTATTAGTATTTTCAATCTAACTGGTTTTTTATAGGCTGCCATTGGATCAATTACCCTTGATGCTGCCCGTGACAAAGGGTTTATTGGAGAATATCAAGAGAGGCATGGTGTGGAGGTGAGATAAATATAACTAAATGTTAAAATAAACTAGATACTTAATATATTAGTTTCATAACTTTCAAATATGTTATTTAACAGAATTCAAGTAAGTTAAGTTTGCATATCTTGTATATCTATTGTAAGTTGTAACTACCAGGAGATTAACCCAATAACTTTTATTCCCTGTATATTACTAAAAAACTAGATTGTTCTATATTAACAAGTTTATTTGAGTTTGAATTTTAAAGGCAGTTCTTAGAAGAAAACATAATTACACCTAAAGAGGGTCATGATAAACCTATATAAGCTCAATGAGATTTATTATGTTTTTAGATTCTTACCCTGTCAGTTCTGTCCATTTTGATCACAGCACCAATTGGAGCCATAGCAATGACAGTCACAGGTCCAAAGTTGTTGCAGAAGTCAAAATTTGCATGTGATGATAACCCAGATGAAGCTGGTCAGAGTGAAAAAGTTGAGCTTAATAATGATATTGGTTATGTGTAAACAACTCACAATCAAGTCACAGTAATATAATCTAGATTTGAAACATGTTATGATATTTATACTAGCCAGAGTTTACTTTACTGCTCTTCACCAATTTTTTTTACAAATTAGTATAAACTCTTCACTCTACATATCAAAACACTACTTTTATTTTGTCTGGGCAGTTTGAATGGAGGGGCATAAGGATGAGGGTGGCCATATGCACCCCCACCGTGCAATGTGGCCATATGCACCCCCACCGTGCAATGTGGCCATCCAGGTGCCCTACTAGGCCGAGCCATGTCAAGGCTGATGGGTTGTTCGGCTTTGTTCCTGAAGGTGCCACCTAGAGAACAATGTAATGATCGACAGTAATCAAGTTTTCACAATTTATACAGTACACACTTCTAACCTAACCTAACCAAGTAAATGCGTCCAATTGTCCTACTTTTTTTTTAAACTGGCAAAAAAAATGCATTGGGGAATCACCGAAATGCTGTCAAAAAGAACAGCTTTGACTTTTCCATGTTGTTTATATAGCTTCCAATTTGTATAAATTTTTATTTGTCTTCAACAAAAACCTTTCGATTATTGCTTCTTTATCCACAGAGAATAAATAGAATCTCAAAGTTCAAGACTCAAATCTCAAATTATATGAGACCCAAATCAACCTCGTACCCAGGATTTTTCCACTTCTTTTCTTTTAAAAACTTTAGTGATTCCTTTGCAGTTTAGGTCCTTCTCGTACAACCGAGTACAACATTTGAAAACCCATTTCAAATTGATACACCATAAGTGTGGATATGTTAAGCAATCTGTCATAATTCCATACGATTTCGTTGCACGCGAATTCGGATAGCCGGGCTCCAAAAATTAGGATTTACCGAAAGATTTTATTTTAGCCTTATTCAGTGACAATGGTGAGGCCTCCTGACGATTAGTCCAGCAAAATTTCAAGTTATTATAATTATTTTCTAACTAATTTCATTATATTAATGTATATACACAATGAACGGTTTGCTCTTTAGACTAAATTTTGGTCTAGGTAAATAAACAAGGAATGTGACCCAATCTTAGACTAGGAGCATAATAAAATTCTTACAATTCACATCTACAACCACATGAGTTGAGTTGCAAAATTTTGTAAAATGCGGAAATATAGTCATGTGAAGTTGTAAAATGTGTACTAATTTGATCGCCCACCTTCCGTAACACAAATACAAAATTACCGGCTTTTCATGGCTGTGTTTTCTCTTCTTTAAAACATTTCGCTGCTAAACTTGTCAATTTTACTAATTTTAGTATGCTCGTTCCAAAATGAAATTTCCTTTTCAAAGTCCAAGATCAAAATTAGTCTAAAGCTCAAGTTCACAATAAAACTCCACAATAAGAGCACTACTTCTATGTGGGTGGTGGGGCAGTAGGAGGAGCATAGGGAGGAGGCTTGCCATATGCACTCCTACCACCATGGTGGGGATGTTGGTAGCCTTGGTAAGCAGGAGGACCATGATAAGGCTGGTAGACTGTTCCAGGAGGTGCCACCTGGAAAACATGATGATGAATGTAATAAGCTGTTGAATCAGTGTTTAAATTTACACCCGATGCAAGCTATTTTAAGTAATTTTTGTTGAAATAGAAACAAGGGAAATCTCAATAAACAAAAAAATACAGCTCAAAATAAAATAACAGAAATTAAATATACCTAAGTACTGCTTGCAGAAATTGTTGCCATTTGGCAAAACATTTCCTGCCCAAATCTAGTAACAAACTACTGTATGTAAACATAAAAGTTGTGAACTTTGCAGATCTATATTTCCTATATTTTACAACATTTCACAACTAACATTGCAGTTTTGCTGATATTTGAAGGTTCTTTGGAGAAATATAAGTGTGTGGTAGTGAACCATCTTAGCAGTGGCATCATCAGTTCTCTGGGACACTTGCATTCCTCAATTGGAAGGTCAATCATTTAAAATATTCTATTGTTATCATACCTGTGCGATATGAGATTGGTTTGTTGTGACAACAGCCGTAGGTGCCACATTTCGACCTCGCACAACAACATAACCAGCTCTTTGTATTCGACGACGGCGACAACAAACAGCTATCAAAGTGCTGATGACACCAATGAACAAGATCATCAAAACCCAAAACCCTAAAACCAGATCTAAATCAACCAGAGATTCTAAAACATTATGCAAAATACAAGCAAGCATGAGCAAGCTTGTTTTGGTGATTAAGTTCCCTAAACTTCTAGATTTCTGGTGACCAATCATGTTGCGTGAACGGATAAAGTGGCCTAATAAAGAATAAATTTTAGGTCTGGTTTCAATATTATCCTAAGGCCAGGGAGTTCTACTGTTGGTGATTTCTAATAAGTAAATCTTTTGTCTTCTTGAAATCATTTACTTCTTGAAAGATATATACAGACTGAAATCAGGACAAATCAGTCTAATATACAAAGAAGGCTTTATGCAGTTTAGACACGCCAGGTGATCTTCCTTATGTGAGTCATTTTCCCATTTACTTACACCAGATCGTGGCGACGTCTGTATCATAACAGCAATTCGCATCGTTAACGCCACAACAATAAGCCTCCTGATACGAATGTGGATTACAATATTCTCCATAGGTACTAAATTCACCACAATACAGATTTGCTCTCTAGATTTAAAAAAGGGGATAAGGACTTATAATTTTTTGAGCAGAACACAAATAAATAACAAATTTACATACATATATTCAAATTTTAACATTGCATGTATTTTGAAATTGTAGCTATGTTATGGCAAGTACGTATACACAAAGTATTAAATTGATGAACACTGTTCCATTTTCGCGTTTTAAAAATTAGCCACTTACCATAAACGGGAGGAATGTTAAGACGCCAAAAGAAACCAAAAACAAGGAAAACATCGCAAAAATTAGTCCCAGAAAATTCGGAAAAATGAAACACTTTTCCTGAAGATGTCTCGTGATTCTCGAATCTCGAATTTGCAAATAAATTACGTCATTGGGATCGAGCACTGAGCTATAGCACTGGAGCTATGGGAAGGAGCCTCAAAGAGGCAGCGCACTAATTTGTCAAAAGTTTCTCGAGACTTATTTTATGTCAAAAAACACAATACAAAAATACAGTACCATACTAAAAAACCCAGCAATCATTAAGGACATTTCACAGAAAGCTACTTTCCCTAAAAGTTGTAATACTTATAATCCATGAAGTGGTGAACAAAATATTTGTTTTATCGCAATTGATCGAAGGCGCCACGGGCACCAGCCCTGGCACGGCGTCGACGATACCGAACAAAAAGCACTATCCCGGCGATGATACCAACCACAACTAGCACAACAATCACCCAGACATCTGAAAAAGGAGAACAGTGCTGTCATTGCATTGTTTATCATCGAGATGCGTCCCCCCCCCCCCTTTTTAGAAGGCACTGAGATGTGTCCTTTTTTCGAGAGAACGACAAAAGGCTGGTTGGGCCAGATCATTAGGACCAACACAACCCGAAGACACGTTGCCGGAACATGTCGGGGGAAAGGATATTTAAATGTGTACATTCCAACCAAGAGGAAGGAAGCGTTTCGGCTATATTCATTTTCTACTAAAAAACACCCAAATAAACCCCTTTGCTTTTGGACAAGTTGCCCTGTTCTCTGTTGAGTTCTAATACTACATGTAGAAGTAGTCCTTACACCAAATGTTCACCGAGGATGAAGATTCCCTGCAGCATTTTCGTTTGTCCTCTCCACAACACCATGCTCTGTCATATTCACCCCGTGTGCAATTTATACTGCCACATATTATTCCATTCTAGAAAATCATGTGGAAAGGCAACTGAATTGTTTTACAATTTTTTTCCTAGCGGTGATATCGAACTAAGTGACTCAAATGGGAATTTGATGTTTGATTTGAATGATTTCACGCCAAATGGTGCTGCCTAGAGCCGTGCGATGGGGTACTGAACAGCCTCGTACCCAGGCGCTTTAATAATAAAATCATAGTAAAATATATAACGTTGCATTCAGTTATTATACAGAGGTGGTTTTGACAAAAGAAGCTGAATGCAAAGTTATTTTTTACTATTAAAGCGCCTGGGTACGAGGCTGGACACTGAGGGTCCCACAAAGATGGCTCCTGCTGCGCGGTCGCGAAGTCTCGCGATCTTGATCGCACGTCAATCGCACGTTTGATTTCTCACAAAATTGTACTTCATTAAAACACATCAACCTTTGACAGCTATTAAAAGCCTAAATATCCGTGCAAAGCTGTCAGAGAATGGCACCGGCATCATAAAAGCGTAAATTCTAACCCTCTTGAAATAATGAAATTGCCTTACATCCAGTGAAGAAGTGACGTAAAAGCTTCGTAGTTAGTATTTTTTATCTTCACTCCGTTTTAATGTAGGAAGTAGACTCAAATAGTCAAGTACATCTTAAATAATAATGATTTTCACTGTGTTGAAGGTGCGTGAAGCTGCGAGAATAACTGAATAAGGACAGTCTTCCTTGACGTTTTCCGTAGCAGATAGATTTAGTCCTGTCCTATCGCTAATATTAATGTGCCAAGTTTTTGTTTTGACGCGACATTAATCAAATAGCTAGCTCTACATACTTTAAATTATGCTCGAAGTGCCCTCGGCCCATCGTTACAGCTAGCGCTATAGGTGACTCTACGTTATAACTTAGTTATAATTGTTAGTAGCAAGTAAATTGTACACTTTTATAACGGATTTGTCGGGCAGATTTGTAGTTGATGTTGCGGAATGCAAAATGCTCTGAGCAAACGTCGTACTTAATAACAGAAATACCATGATTTAATACTGTTGTGTTAATGGCTATCTTTAAAACAGGGAACGGGGAATGGGGGAATGGAACGGGGAATGGAAGGGAATGGAATGGCTTCGGGGAATGAGCCGGGGAATGAGCCGGGGAATGAGCCGGGGAATGAGCCGGGGAATGGAATGGCTTCGGGGAATGAGCCGGGGAATGAGCCGGGGAATGGAATGGCTTCGGGGAATGAGCCGGGGAATGGAATGGCTTCGGGGAATGAGCCGGGGAATGGATGGAATGGCTTCGGGCAATGTGCAGCTTGTGCGTCAGTGCGAGTTTGTTTGGCCCATTTGGCGTGATTAAAACCTGTAAACGCTTCCATGTCACGAATCATGAGACAGCTACTCACAGTTTGAATTCCTTGAGGTAAAAGACAAAGCGATTACAAGCTCATAGTATAAATGCGATGTTTGCATTGTCATTGTGATGTACATTGATGTACATTATATAGATAGAATTTGGGTAGGTGGTTCAATGTAAATCCTCCAAAATCTGAAGGCAAGTATAATACTGTAATAGTATTTTTTGCAGAAATCTTTTGGCTATCTTTAAAACAGGGAACGGGGAATAGGGGAATGGAACGGGGAATGGAAGGGAATGGAATGGCTTCGGGGAATGAGCCGGGGAATGAGCCGGGGAATGGAATGGCTTCGGGGAATGAGCCGGGGAATGGAATGGCTTCGGGGAATGAGCCGGGGAATGGAATGGCTTCGGGGAATGAGCCGGGGAATGGAATGGCTTCGGGGAATGAGCCGGGGAATGAATGGAATGGCTTCGGGCAATGTGCAGCTTGTGCGTCAGTGCGAGTTTGTTTGGCCCATTTGGCGTGATTAAAACCTGTAAACGCTTCCATGTCACGAATCATGAGACAGCTACTCACAGTTTGAATTCCTTGAGGTAAAAGACAAAGCGATTACAAGCTCATAGTATAAATGCGATGTTTGCATTGTCATTGTGATGTACATTGATGTACATTATATAGATAGAATTTGGGTAGGTGGTTCAATGTAAATCCTCCAAAATCTGAAGGCAAGTATAATACTGTAATAGTATTTTTTGCAGAAATCTTTTTAGTTCTTAATATGCCTTATAAAGCTCAATGTGTGTGATTAAAAGGTCAATAAAGATACTGACACAGTGTCACTTGTTTGTTTTTTATTTCAGGCTATGTGAACAAGACCTCTGGACAGTTTTGTTTAAGCAGGAATAATGGTTGTGGTGGAAATGTGGTGAATGCATTCTTGACAAGTTAATGGGGGTTTGCTTCCAAGAATACACTGAAACTTGGAGCAACAATGACTTTGAATATAATTATGTAATTAATATATTATTTATTAATCTTAATTTATATGACTTTTTACCTCACATAATTCAAATAATGTTCAGATAAAGAGGTAAATATTTCACTGTTAATGGTGTAATAAATATTTTATAAGTGGATTATATTCATAATGAATTATTTGTCCTGCTCCATACTTTGGCAATTCTGTTTAAGAAATCCCACCATAGTAGATCTTTTTTGAAATAGTTACAGTCAAGTTGTTGTCTAGTTTTAGTACAAAATAATACAAGTGCTACAATTAAACAAGGGAAAATAATAAAAATTAATTACATAAGCAAGCACGTACATTTTCTATTTTAAAAAGGTCTATGAATTGAGATGACATGTACTAACAATTTTGTGCATTAATTAAAGACAATTATATTATTACTGTGGGTTCTTTAATATTGTCCAATACTCCCAGTGACATCCCACTGAAATTCCTGCAGGTGTCTCAATCCATCAAACCAGTTTATCTTTTATTTCTTATATTTAAGTCAGAATCAATGTATTCAATATCAATATGTTATCTTTTTGGAGACCGGCCCCCAAGAAGAAATCCAGAAATTTTTCAACACCCCCCTTCTCATTTTGTACCATAATCATCCTGCCAAGGAGGGGGTTTGGCTTCAAGAACATGGTTCTCAATTCTGATGAAGAGAAAAAATTGCTTTTCTCCTTTAACAGACTTGTCAAAATAATGTTGTAGAACTTAGATATTATTTTTACATATTGATATTGAATACATTGATTCTGACTTAAATATAAGAAATAAAATGATGGATTGAGACACCTGCAGGAATTTCAGTGGGATGTCACTGGGAGTATTGGACAATATTAAAGAACCCACAGTAATAATACAATTGTCTTTAATTAATGCACAAAATTGTTAGTACATGTCATCTCAATTCATAGACCTTTTTAAAATAGAAAATGTACGTGCTTGCTTATGTAATTAATTTTTATTATTTTCCCTTGTTTAATTGTAGCACTTGTATTATTTTGTACTAAAACTAGACAACAACTTGACTGTAACTATTTCAAAAAAGATCTACTATGGTGAGATTTCTTAAACAGAATTGCCAAAGTATGGAGCAGGACAAATAATTCATTATGAATATAATCCACTTATAAAATATTTATTACACCATTAACAGTGAAATATTTACCTCTTTATCTGAACATTATTTGAATTATGTGAGGTAAAAAGTCATATAAATTAAGATTAATAAATAATATATTAATTACATAATTATATTCAAAGTCATTGTTGCTCCAAGTTTCAGTGTATTCTTGGAAGCAAACCCCCATTAACTTGTCAAGAATGCATTCACCACATTTCCACCACAACCATTATTCCTGCTTAAACAAAACTGTCCAGAGGTCTTGTTCACATAGCCTGAAATAAAAAACAAACAAGTGACACTGTGTCAGTATCTTATTGACCTTTTAATCACACACATTGAGCTTTATAAGGCATATTAAGAACTAAAAAGATTTCTGCAAAAAATACTATTACAGTATTATACTTGCCTTCAGATTTTGGAGGATTTACATTGAACCACCTACCCAAATTCTATCTATAGTACATCAATGTACATCACAATGACAATGCAAACATCGCATTTATACTATGAGCTTGTAATCGCTTTGTCTTTTACCTCAAGGAATTCAAACTGTGAGTAGCTGTCTCATGATTCGTGACATGGAAGCGTTTACAGGTTTTAATCACGCCAAATGGGCCAAACAAACTCGCACTGACGCACAAGCTGCACATTGCCCGAAGCCATTCCATTCATTCCCCGGCTCATTCCCCGAAGCCATTCCATTCCCCGGCTCATTCCCCGAAGCCATTCCATTCCCCGGCTCATTCCCCGAAGCCATTCCATTCCCCGGCTCATTCCCCGAAGCCATTCCATTCCCCGGCTCATTCCCCGGCTCATTCCCCGAAGCCATTCCATTCCCTTCCATTCCCCGTTCCATTCCCCTATTCCCCGTTCCCTGTTTTAAAGATAGCCTTGTGTTAATCCCGTATAGGTTAAGTCAAAATATACCTACCGCATAACTAAGACAGTAATTGAGAAGGAAAAAGACGGCCCCAAACAAGAACATAGTGAAATGAATCAGGATTCAGATTTTTCAACGTCCGAAAAGACAGTTCCACGACGAATGTGATCGAGATTTGCGACATTCATGCGCAAGGTCACAAAAGGTCGAATGGTCAATTTATTGCCATTCAATATCAGTTATATCACGACCCCGGAACTGAAAAAAGGATGTAAATACCGTAAAAAAGTATACTGGCATGAAAAGGAGATAAATTGTATTTTAGTTGCCATATTCTGTGAGTCATTGAGACAAAAACAAAACGTTTGGTCACAAAAGGTCGAATGGTCAATTTATTGCCATTCAATATCAGTTATATCACGACCCCGGAACTGAAAAAAGGATGTAAATACCGTAAAAAAGTATACTGGCATGAAAAGGAGATAAGTTGTATTTTAGTTGCCATATTCTGTGAGTCATTGAGACAAAAACAAAACGTTTGTTAAAACATTGGTGCTTATGGTGGTGCTTATGGAAAAGTTGGGAATTTCGATTTTAGAGTTGGTCGATATCGCATGACGCCCTCATGATGACGCAACCCAAACCTGACTTAAAGGATTACAGCGGCCTCTGCGCTTCAGCTGGTAACTTGAGTGTATCATAATCAATGTATAATATGTTTCACAAAAATTGATATATTAAAAGGTAGAGTCAAAGGCACTGATATTTAACTCAACAAATTAATCGCGTCTAAACCTCGCAGCAATCCCCCTCCTGCCAAAATCATGTCCAAAATAGACCAAAATACATACTGATAAAAAGAAATGCACAGTACAAAAATCGTAAAGGTATTATTCACAAATGTTATTATCACAGCAAGTCATAGTATTTATAATTAATGAATTCATTGGTGGACGAGAAGTTTCTTTACTGAATTTGATTGTAGACACCACGGCGTCGACGATACCGAACGAAAAACACTATACCAATAAAGATGCCGACTAGAACTAACGCAACAATCACCCAGACATCTAAGAAGAGAAAACAGTGCGTTCATTTATGAGTTAAGCGTGATTACTATACCAAGAAGTGGTTTTTGATGGTCGTCATTCGCAAAATGCAAATCGCTTGGACAAGTGAGAACAGAAACGCCGGAACTGGGGGGGGGCTTCCCCTCTTGCCCTTTACGAGTAAGGAAAGGGGGCAAAGAAACCCGGCTGATTAACTACTGGGGCATTTACCCAGGTCTTCTTGTAGAATGAGCCCTTTTGTCATTGTGAAAAACCTAAAAGATCATTTCCATTAAATCGTGTAGCCGCGTTCAATGTATCATATAACAGTCTTGACTGTTAAAATATAGTCAGCTATATGTAACAATGCAACTTAGCTGCTCGCAGGCTAATTCTTACTTATAAATTCAAAGCAAGAACTAGCTGATATACGGTGTTACTACGTTATGTTACTCCTACACGCCGGAATGGTTCTAATAACGTATAAAAGAAAACAAGATGTTCAAGTCAACTGCCACTGATTTGCAAACACTCTTCAGTATGTGTCAGTGCCCTTTGAAAAAACTTGTCCCCCTTCGCCCTCGCATCGTTCCGGCGTCTACGAGTTTTCAACAGCCACACAAATCATTTTGAATCCACAAGTTACCCTACCCCCGTTGGGATATAATGCTATGTGAAATAGTAAGTGGAAATTTCTTACACCAATGACTCGACGAATTCGATTCCTTGCAGCATGAATGCTTGTGTTCCCCACAACACCATGCTCTGTCATACCCATCTAACGTGCAATTTGAAAAGCCACATATTAGTCCATTCTACAAGAATCACAAAAAGAAAATGCAACTCGAATTATTAAAGTAAATTAGTGTTTGATGATACTCATTTGTTGCTAAAAAGACGGTCGTGAAATCCATGCAAACGAGGTCTTAGATTGAAGTGCCCATGTCATAAAATGGGAATTTAAATTTTTAGAATCTTTGTTTGAAATGAGTTAGTAAGTTAGCTATAAATCAAAATTGAAATTGGATTTTTATTTTTCGCGTTATTGCCATCTAAACATTGATTTTACTGGTGTGAAAACTTTGAAAGCCGCGCAAATGAGACTGGTGCGAAACAAGGTGTTAACGTCACAACAGGAACTTGTTCGACGCGATAACGTCTCAACAGATGCGAGTTCGCACATTTTAGTAAGGACAGCTAAAGAATGTTGTTAACTGAAAAATGCTACATGAAAGCGAAATGTTCTGGGTTATATTCACATTCACACAATTTGATTTGTTTCTTTCGCTCGAGACGTGTTAGATAATTTCAACTCACTTAAAATATCGATAACTTTCACTGAACTAATTTTTTTGAAAGCGCATGGGAACTCTATTGCTATTTTCGTAATCTACGTTTCACGGTGATTCTAATGATATACAGTCCAATTTTATGACATGCATGGGCACTTTAATGAAGATTGATCATTGTCAAACTCAAAGATTGATAAGGGTCTCATGTCATGCGAGGAAATGTCTAACAGTTGGTGGGAAGAATGAATATCTTCATGGAGGAAAAACTTTCTGTTCAAATGTTTCCTTGGCGGCGGAAAAATGCTCAAGCCTGTCATCGCAATTATCGCTACTCAAAGAAAGATTGACCACAGAATATTAATACCTGGTTGCCGTGAACTTATTATAACTTCAATTCCTTGATTAACTGCTGTTAACAATTCATTTTTACCGAATTTAAATTTGTTTTTAATAGTTTTCTGTATTTCAATAGGTCAATGTTGAGAGTTGATTATAGTCTCAGACATGTACAATTAATTACAAATAAATGGGAATGGCTTAAAGGCTTTAAAAGTGTCGTAAACTGAATAATTCTTCATCAACACGCCAAGATATCTCGTTTAGAATTCTACGAAGAACCATTTTACTGTGCATTTATTAATATCATTATTTGCTCAAATTGTTGCGGACAAGTGGAATCGCAAACCCAGTGCCGTAGCCTGGCTGCACGGGGGGGAGTTAACCTCCAAGACTCAACAACCAACACGTGGCACTTTATAGATACACAGAGTGTATCTAGAGAAAGCATATAGCGTCAGTTTTAGAATTTATTCGCGCGAACTGATAAAAATTGATAAAAAGTACGGAAGGGTTTTCCTTTTTTGCTTGCAATGTTTCGAACCTCCGCAGGGGGTCCACGCGTCACGCATGTTTGCGACTACCAGTCGTTTCGACTTTCGATGCCCTATCATACAACCGCACTACTTATAGAGCATTAAAAAAATGATATACGGATGTAAGAGCCGCACGGAAGGAACGCACTTCAGTTCTTATGCGCCGAATGCATACATTGAAAACAATGAAGAAGTATTGTTAATGCGTTCGGCGAATGAGAGGTGCGACGTCTTAATTAACCGTTTGACCTAGACTATATAACACCTAGACCTAAGCAGAAAGCAGGTCTGGCTCACTGATCGCAATTATTGTTTGACTTCACTTGACTTCCGGTATTAAAATAGCGTGTTCTTATCATTGGTTCTTGCACACACTTTATATTTGTATTTAAAAGGTGAATGTGTTCTTCTAAATTAAAGTGGGTATGTAAATATAGTAGACAATTGTTTAATACATTTTCAATTTGAGAAATTAAAATGCTTTTAATTGTTTTAAGTACATAAACTATGAAATGCTTATGTAGGCTTCATGTATAAGTTATTAAAAGTTATACCTACCGCATAATGAAGATGGTGGGTGAAAAAGAAAAGAACGGCGCCCAGCAAGAACATAGTGATTCCAATGTTTTCACCCTTCTCAATATATCCACCTGAGTCGGTCTGACGAATGTGAGTTTTACTAAATATGACACTGAACACCGCCTACGCAAGGTCACATGACAGAAAAATCAAAAGGTCGATTCGAGTCGTGAAACTGAATGCGAAAACAGAAAACGCTGAAATGGAAAAAAAGCGTCGATGTCGGGCGCTTTCTAGACTTTCTAGAAATGTTCTCCCCGTGATAGCACGTGAAGAAAGCCCGAGTTTATTCGCGATTGGTATGCGAAAAAAGTAGAATCGCTTCCTACATTTTATCAGTTCGCGTAGTGGAAAACGGGCTTCACTATTTCACTCTCGCGCGCAACTTCGTACCCAGGGTCTTTACTTGCCCTCCCGCTTTATCGCATCTGACCTCTATCTCTTATAAAGCGCCTTGATACACTTTTTGAACTCAAGTACATACTCGCGATGTTATTAATAACACAGTTGTCAAGCCCGCATCACACGTGCGCTATTAGCTGAGCTAAGGACCACGCGTGGCTGTTAGCTCAGCAAGTTACTCTCTTGTGCGGATAGTTTTTGTGAAAAATTCGCCTCGAAAGGCAAGTTTCTGTGTGAAAGAGAAAGAGTAGAACAACAAGTGAAAGAGTAGAACAACAGCGTCCAAGCTATTCTCCAAAGTCCAAAATTGCGGATAAACGTATTTCCAGGGGAGATAACCCCTGGAATTTTTGGAACCCTATTCCTCTTCAGAAAAACATAAAAATCTGTCTTTGACTTTTTCAGTGACAAAACAATAAGCTCGCAAAACTAACAAAGGGTTCGATTACGAGTTCATTCAGTGGAAAACACAAGCAAGAGAAATGATGTGCATGTAAACCCTTTATTCAAGTCAACTGTACGTGCAGACAGGACAGTTGGTTGTGATATACAGCAACAAAATAAAATTGATAAACTTAGTTCATGTACATATATAAGCAGCCTATTTCGCCTCCATTTCGACGTCCAAAGACAGACCAACTCTATGTCCACCTTGGTCCAAATTCTTGGCATCAACTAGAGCAGAGAGTCCAAGTTTCACGGAGGGACTGAGTTTGTGCAAATAGGATACGCCAATGTGACTACTATTGTTCACTTTCACCTGCGTGACAAAAAAGTGTACAGGGTTGGGTTACATATGAGAAAGGGAAAAAATTTGCCCATGACAAGAGAGGAAAAGAGTTTGCAAAATTCTTTCCTGCGCCCTACTTTTTTGTGGAAAAGTTTGCTCCTGAAATTACTTTGTAAGCACACAGTGTTCTCATACCTTGACAGATGAGATTGGATCAATAATATACTTCATGCCAACTTGGAAGTTCACACTTTCATTTCCTGTTGCCCAGTTCATCAGAGCTGCAGCCTCAAGTTTGGGGTTGATCTAAGAGAAAACACTCCAAATTGAAACTAGCGTCTTTCCAAGTTCTTAACATAGAGACATTCACAATTTCAAGAAATTGCTAAGATTACATGACAAAAAACAACAGGAAAAATACCTTGTGATGCACAGAGCCAGCAAACTTTGATGCATCAGTTCTAAAGACAATGTAAAAGATCATACTTTACAACAAAAACTGTAAATAATTCCCGAGAACTAAAATTTATCCATGGGCTAAGATCTAGAAAGACTAATGATTTATATATGCTAATGTGAATAATCTTTTTTGCTCTTTACTTTCAGTAATTTGGAAAGTTTTATTTCAAAAACAAGATCATGTTTGGATTATTAGTAAATTACAACTCACACAGAGGAGTGGAGGACAAAGTCAGATGATCTGTAACCAATGGCAATATTGGTGTTGGTCATCTTGGATTTGCCTGTATCAAATGCACCATGAAGACCACATACCCAGCCATTGTATCTGTAGAAAAGCAGACACATGTGAGAAATCCTGGTAGTAGCTGTAATCATCTATTTATATGTGTATCCTACCCAAAAACAGATGCTGCAGTCACCATTGGTCCTGAACTATCAAAGTCCACCTCAGCAGTTGGGTGAAAGTAATCTCTCTTGTAGTCAGCCTTGATCTTCGCTGCTTTTTTCCTACATGAACAAACATAGATCAAAATACACTTCCTGGCCTGCAATAAACTGGCTTACAATAAACAAGTCTGTAAATAATAAAATGCTGCAGAACAATTAATGCTAATTAATGTGCAGGCGCATCAAAATCACAGATTGATGCTGTCCAGTAAGACAAAATGAAACCATGGCTGTAAATACACTCTCTCCTCACCCTGTTCCAGGTGCAAACATGGTATCAAATGACAGTTTCAGTCCTTGAACAAGTTGATCTTCAATTGTAATATCAGTGCTGAGCACATTATCAGTGGTCCATTTCTCAGAGAGTGTCAAACCTAAAAGGAAAAAGTGTTAATCTGTAAAACAAAACAAGAAATAGTCTTAGTTTCCCTTGATCAATGGTGATGTGTGACCGTTTTTAAACACTTGTTTTAGTCAAAATCTTATGGCAATCACACTGCTGTCATTCATCCTAATGAAGATATGATAGAAATATATTTTTTATTTTGCTGGCAGTACAAAATCTCCAAGGTGAGGCAAGAAACCTTTCTATGAAGGAAGTAAAAAATAAATGGGAAGGTGGAGGGGTTTTTTACACAATATTCAAGAGTTTAGCCTGTTCTCATCTTACCATGTTTTGCATTTTTGTATTTAGTCTCTAAGTTTCCAGTTACTTTTCCTGTCTCATTACTTGAGGACAATGCTGTAGTAAAGTCCTTTAAGTTAAATTAAACAAAAATCACTTCAAGTTATCATTTTACTTATTAACAGCTTTTACATAGTGTGTAACTGTTATATTAAAAAGGAATATAGAGGCACCTTCCAACAATCAAATACTCACCACTCCTTTCTTTGAAATTGTTTTGGCATCAAGTTTGAAAAAGCCATAACCAAATTCTTTTCCAAAAACATCTCTGGCTTCTTTGCCAAGATCATCAAATTTGGGAGGAGCTGCAAGATTGATTTACCTCACACTTAGCTCAAACAATCAGACAACCAATTTATTGTCTGAATTGGAAATAATTATTTTCACTTTCACTTCCAAAATTACTAAATGCCCAGTTATCACAAAACAAAACCAGAAATTTTTCAAAAATCTTTGAACTGCTGTTAAATTAGCTCATGATGATGAATATTTGTAAATTTTTTGGTACTTTCTAATGCTGAAATACAGACAGAAAATTTTCTCCAGCAGTGGTGTTACTTGATGCTCTTAAATACACTTGCCCCACACCAAAGTCAGGTCCTGTCTATTGACTTCACTTAATTGACCTCACTCAATTACTCCCTCCCTCCTTTAGGCTTCTAACATGTTAAACTTTTTCATATTATGTACACAATTGTCCAATTTGTGTCTGATTTTCGGGTAATTTGAGGAAACCAAAATCCCATTATTTCAGGCAGTTTTTGTATCCTTTTTTTTACACTATGTGTGAAGTAAAGAAGCAATAAAAAAAATTGAGGCCATTTTTTGCTGACTCATGGGGAAAAGAGTAAACTGACATGCATTTTCAGATTATACTGGCACAGCCTAGGTAGAGGGGAATTTGTGAGGGGAATGATATTTTTGATCTAAAATGGTGCCTAACTTGATAATTGCACCATCAAATCGTGCTTGAAACTCTACCTTAGCCACACCCACATTTAGAACTATAACCCCCAACACACCCACTAATTTAATCTATGCAACTGAAAGGATCAGAAATATTTACATATACTTATTTTTATACAACTGCTTGATCAATCTTCAAATCACAAGCTAACATAAGTTCACCACCCCATGATTCATTTCATTTAGAAAAGGAAGAGATTTTATCAACATACAAATTTGTTTCTGCAATTGAAAATCTTGCATTAAATCAGTAACAAATATTATGAAACAAGAATCCTATATTCTGTTCCTTATACGAGGTTGGTTTTAACCAAAGAATGTGTCTAAATGCTGCATAAATTATATTGGACAAATCACAAATGTTAATTTCGTAGGAAATAGCAAGAATGCAATAAAATCGAAAACTTTAAAAACTGAGTAATTGAATATCAGTAAAAAAGAAAGAATCAAGTATTGAAATTTCATCAGACGCTTAGGTTCTTTGTTTGAAATCAATTGTATTTGAGTGCATATGCAAAAGATGTCATGCCAAAAATGGCCGGTCAAATTGCAAAATCTTGCACGGAATATTCTTACAAGCAATTTCAAGTAAAAGCGCTGAAATTTATGCTTGAAAGATTGTTGACCGGACTAAATATGTTCAAAGCATTTGATGCCTACATCAATGCTTGTATACTGATCAATTTTGCATGAAAAAATCTTCTCAATTTCCTATAATTGAGATGCCAAACCCACTGGTATATTTGTACATTTTACACAAGAAAAACGTACATTTATCGACGGCGAAGCACGACATACAAGCATCGCATCCAACTAAACATAATGTCAAGGTAATTTAAGTACAAAAACGAAGAAGAAGCGACAGACAATTCGTTTTTAGACTCACCTTTTGACGCCATGTTACTCGATGTTGAACGCTGGAAGATGAGAGAATTTGCGTGACACCCACGCGCGATATATCACACACGATATATCACGTGTGATTGTTTCGTGTAATTTATTCTAATCGCGCAGGAACGTCAGGGTGCGAGCGGTTGCTGAGCAACGGCGTTAATTGCAACAATTAGAAAACTAAAACAATAAACAAAATCGTAAAAAATACTAGACAAATTATGGCCGCGGTAAATTATTTGGGTTTCCGATGGAATCAGTCGCATAAGTACTATAACCCAATCTATAACCCTTATGTCGGAAAAGGAGCAGTTTTATTCACAGGTACAATTGGTATTCGGTCTCTAATTAATGCTAATTGGAATTCCTTCTTGAACCTACTCGTATGACCTTCATTACTCCGTTTAATAATTAACCTATGCAACTTGCAATGAGTGCGAAGGTATCGTTTTACATTTAAGCAAGGTCTGAGCAAGGATGTTGCCATGTTCTCCTAGGTCCAGATGCAATCAAAGATCACAAGACAAAGATATTAAATGCAACAGCAACAGGGATAGGGACACTCTCACCTGAGGGGACAAGTGACCTTGAATACGTCTTACGAGCAGCTAGGGTATGAATTGTCATTCATGTACCAGTGCTGTGTGGTGAAGTACTGCTAGTTGATTAATATGTTGATTAGCTATTAATTAACTTGGATTAATTTAATTTAAAAAATCGCCACTAATTTGCCTCTTTCAGGGTTGTCCACATCCAAGACCAAAATCAGTAAAGGTGATGAAAATAAACGACAAGTTAAACCATTATGACTAAGGAGCACTTTATCAGTAGCTTCATTAGTATTTTAGGCAATTTTAATACATTGTTTTGGTGAATTAAATTAATTAAATCATTTGGGAGTATTTATTGCCAACCAATAGGTTAAATCCATTTCTTATAGGTTGGTGAAATAGGATGGGATGTAGCATCAATAAGAGAAGATCATACTAAGCTTTGGAGAAGCGGGCATCAAATAAAGGTACATAAGTGCTTTGAGTGTTAAAATTTTTTAATCCATTGCAACATAGTTGCATACATTCATTTGCAAAATGTAAGCTAGGCCATTTCTCGATTGTTTATACTCTTTGCAGCTTGGGGAATTCCGTTTAGCGTGTGAGCTTCGACATACACATTTGTACCAGAACCCATGGTAATTGAAGTTATTTATTTGATTGCAGCATTATGCAGCTCATTTTTACCAACTACATTTTTTGCACACTCATTATTCAAAATTTGGTACATTAGGTACCCACCACCAAGGTCAAAGGAGCAAGTAACCAGAATTAATTTAAGAAAAGGTGAGAGTTTCTGATAAAATACAGTTCAAAAAATGTTTGCTGATCAACTTCATGTGATTCATTTGCCAATTGCATGTATATATGCTTTATTTTTTGCAGCAAATGAAAATAGATGCAAAACACAGCCTAATCCTTACAAACATTCACCGTCAGCCTGGCCTAGTTCAACAGACAGTTCATTAACTAACATACGCTTACGACATAAACAGAAGCCGATAACATTGGTGCGGTAAAAAATTGATATGCGGTTTGCAATTGTGTGGTTTGTGTGTGTATGTCGTTTCATTTAAATGCAGCCAATATGCAGGTGTGAATTCTTTCAGAATGTTACAACGAGCACATTCTGTTTTTATTAGTTTATGACTTGTTTTTATAAGTATATTGTACATTTGTACTAGTTTTTTAAGTGATTCCTAACATCTAAGTGGTGAAACTATAGAAAAATATATTCAGGACCAACAGATAGAATTATTAAATAGTTCAATTGGTATGTAATGCTTGGTCAGTTGTGTCACTTGTGTGTGGGTATAAAGTACTAACTACTGAGCTTATTTATTTTTTTTATGCAAAACAAACACTATTGTGCAGTTTTGGAAGCATTTTCAGCTTATGAATAATTGGCCAATAAAAATCGACTTTAGGTTTACATAAGTTAAGTCTTCAATTTTTAATCTTTGATAAAAGTTAAGTCATCAACTTTTATTTGCTTTTACACTTTAATGTAATAACACACCATCTAATTTTGATCCTTCCAAGTTTTTCTAATCTTTCGTGATTGATGTTTGTACAGCAAACCAGTGTTTTTTTTTGTGTTTTGAACAAAATTTAAATATCCCTAACTATGATATACTCCATGCTATTTATCTCATATATACAAACCACATCTTACATTTGCAAATGCACACCAGTTATTGGTTTGGTATTTCCACATGTATAAAGGATGTCCTCAGAAATGCAACTGGAAAACTACCAAAGCAATGGCAAAATTTGGAAACATTGTTAAAATGAATTTTGGTATCCCTTAAATGGCCTACATTTCTGTAAGAAACATAAGGTCACTAGGCACAATGTTTCCAAATTTTCCCATAACTTACAAAACACTATACAAAAATATGTTCTGGTACACACACATCTCAATGAATGAAAACTTGTGTAATATACTATATATTCATACCATTTCAATACAGAAGTTATATTCTAATAATTGGCCTACTTTGTGGTCAAATTTTTGGTAGTTTGGGTGCAACAACCAGTGGGTTACTCTGTTCCAGAAGTTTCCTGCCTTCTGTTTTATAATCATAGTTGCAATTGTGAGTCTCAGCATAGCGATGAGTAGCACAGAATGAGTTGCCACAGCTAAAGCGAAAACAATTGAAAACAGTTGACAATGTGTGCAATAAGTAAAATTAACAGACCCAAAAGTACTACTCACCGACAAGCATATGTTGTCGCTAGACCAGTTTTCTTTCTACAATATGTACATCTGGTTTTCTTCCCAGACACCAGCTGGGGTGGAGGGGGTGGTCGACTCCGCTTCACATCAGTTGTGGAATAAACTGAGGATGAAAACAAAGGCTGATTCAGTCAGTGTCAGGTTATTGAGAAACTTTACTGTGAAATCAAAACTTACGTGTGCCAGCACTACTTTGTTGGGTTCTGTGCACTCTGGATAATGAGTCATTCTGTGAGAAAAATAAAAGCTATTTACATTACATGCTAAAACTTCTATAGCTGCTTTCAAAAGTACAGGAGGGAGCAGTGAGAAAACCAGCTGCCTCCATATACATTGTCATACAGTTCTATCTGTTTCAAGTTACCAACAAGCCACCTACCAACAGACCAGATCGAAGCCTTTCAACAGAAGTCTTTCTTTCTTTCAAAGGTCCAATACTTTTACCACCACTTGTGGTATATCCCTTGCTTTGAGGACCCATATAGGACGCTAACCTTGCTTCTAGTGCGTTATCAGAATGATCATGCTTGCCACCACCATCACAAGACTCTACTGAATTGTTTGATTGTTTTCCAACATTAGGCAAAGGTTTATGTCCATGACTGGTACTTAAGCCATTACTTAAACTCAGTCCATGACTCTTGTTCGATGTATGACCTGTGTTGAATTTATGGTTCATATTCAATCCCCTTTTACTACCACTTTCATGTTCAAAGTGCTTTGAAAGGGTTTTGCTTCGAAATGGAGTATCCTCCGGTGGATTTCGGACAAGCTCAGAAATGTCAATATTGTTAGACTTTTTGTTTTTGTTTACAGGTGGTAAGGTTTTGCCTAAGGAGGATGAAGATTCATGGAGATGAATACTAGTGTTGTTAGCTGTTTGGTGAATGTATGTTGTGCTTGAATTTTCATGAATGTCTTGATGATCACGAAGACTTGAACTTGTACGGTGTAAACTGCAAATAAAAGCAAAAACATTCTGATTTCAAGACTATGCAAACATTTGTATAAAAACCAATATAAAAATTATGGAGAATTTACAACAATTGCAGGTGCTGACTCCCTTTCAACATGATTCTACTGATGGTTTTATTAAAGACGTATTTATCACAGTCACTTAATGTAAACAAGGCATGCCCAAAAACACAGAGCAATTTATTTGTTTACATTTATTGGTTGATTCACGGAGTTCATAAAATATTTTAGTAAACTCTTTGAAAAATGCATAGTTCTAGCTCATTGTCTAATAAAAATTGTAAAATTTGATTGGCGAATTAAAAAACCTCTTGTTTTAAGGACCACTTAAAATTCATGATAATAATATTTCATTGCCCAGCAAAACCATGGTTACAGGAAGTTGGGAGTCTTTCAAGAAGTTTCCTATATTATTTGACAAACCCTATAAATCAACCATTATTACTTGATGTTTTTCTTGAAATGATTCTATTGCTATGACTGCAACATTATATTACATTGCTGACTCACCGTCTCCTGCTTGCTAATGCTGAAGTTGGCTTCTCGCCGGATGGTGGTCGTGGTTGATACTTTGGATGTTTCTCCTTAGATGGAGGGCGGGGCTGATACATTATCCGGGATGCAGGGGGAGGGGAGTGAGGTTGAAATGATACTTGTTCCACAGATGTCCCTCCACCCCGGGACTACAGCAAACAAAATCAATTTAAACATTCATTAGTGAAATGATTAAACATAAAGCTGTGACTTATGCAATCATTACATCATTATGAATAATAATCATAATTACCTTTTTGCTCATATTTAGTGATTGCATTTTACTTTTTAATAGCTTCATTTTGTTCATGGTGACATTATTCTCCTGGATTGTTTCTTGAGGGACTGTCACAGAAGCCTCCTCATCTTCATCATCATAAAGATTGTACAGTGATGTACCACTAAAAAACCCCAGCAAATTTACTACTCAACTTTTTTGCATGGTTGATATTAATATTTTTCGATACTGAACATTCCTACAATCTTGGCCAAAAGTTAATAGGACGGCGCACGCTATCGCGATATCACAACTACTGTGACCAGCTACACTTGCATTTTCGCCGATTCCCCCCCTCTCCCTTTTCAATGTTTGTCCCTAATTAATATATTAATTGTTGTAATGTCGTAAAAATGAAAGTGCATCAGAATTCAACATTGAATGAGGGGAGGAGAGGGGGAGAACGTATTTTTAGAGAAAAAAATGCAATCGTCCCAACCCTTTGGCCAAGATTGTAGTTTAATTCAACAGAACAATGCTGCATCCACCAAGGGAATAAACCTACCTTAGAGAATCAGACAATGGTGTCATTGTACCATCACCTCTGTCAACCACCCTAAACACATTATATTGCTCACCATCCCTAAAATAAAATTTACACATATTAAATTATATATATGACAGTTTTAACAGTATATATATTTGATATTTCAACATGCAGGTTTTGTAAGAATTAATGCCATACCTAAATACTAAGAAGGTCACTTGTCTGTTGTCTTTTGGCAACTTGTCCCAAATCTCATCCCTAAAATATGAATGTTAGTATACAATAAGTACCTAAGCTCAAGCTGTTGCGGTATATTGAAATATAGATAAATATTGTTTTTTCAAAATATTGGTTTATTGATACTGATTTTTTCGGTTTATCAATATTTTAATATACCGGAGATATATCTATTTTTAGTGAAAATCAAAATTTTTAGTGTTAGAAAATCGCCCCAAGTTATTAATGGGTTTTTAACAGTAATTTAATGAATTTAATAATAATTTATTAATGATTTTTTAAGCCCAATTGCACATGCATGGCAATTGTTGGCTGTTGTTTAGTTTCAATACAATGCATTTCATGCATTTTTTATGTTTGTAGTACCAATTTCTAAAATTCTATTTTCTATGCATTTTTCATAAATAGGGGAAAAAATAATGAAATAATGATATTTATCAATACTTTTTTTCAATATATGGATATCTGTTTTTTTAATATCGCAACAGCCTAAGTTTATGTGATGAAACAGCTTTAGTCCATTTTAGGAAAAAAATTTTAGTTGCAACCATTTCCATGCCAATTCAATTCTGTTAAAAATTGTAAAATCAAAATGTAAATCAATGTGAAGTGTACCTGTTTGCTTCAACATATTCTGCCATCTCTCGAAGAGAATTATCCTCAACAGGAACTAAAAACATATATCAACAAGGCATTGGAATATATCAAAAAGGCATTTACCTGGCATGTTTACATTACCAGCTGCACCTCAGGTTTAAAGGGGGGTTACAGTCGCTTCCGCTCATATAACAATGGGTAGTCTACTCGTTTCAAGATTGCTCAAATTTTGCATGTTTCATTACTTTCAAATATCTCTAAACATGAACTCTCTCGTATTCATTTAGAAGTATAGCAAACTAAAAGCATGTCAAATATTCTGAAAACTCTTGATATTTTAGGAAATATATGGATTCAAAATGTAAACATTGAAGCATTTATATTTACATTACGGAATGCAGCCCACCTATATAAAAAGCCCACCTATATAAAAACATTACCTCTTTTCATATTAATTGGTCCCCCTCGCATTGCCAGAACCAGCTGTAAAGTTGCACCATCATTTATACTGAAATAGATTATAATATATGTCAGCAATTATTTTGAAAATATGTTAAGTAAATATACAACAATATATTAAGTATGTCAAACATTTTAGTTTGGATAGGGAGGGAAGTTTTATGCTAAAATAGAGGAAAAATATCAAAACTCACTCATAATCATGAAGGCAGTAATCATCTTCAAGTTCAACAGATCTCCAAATCAAATGCTGTTGAGATATTGGAATACCTAAACATACAAAAAGCCAAAAAGTTGAATGAAACTGCTGCCTTCCTTGCCCGCAACAAGTGCTTAGAATGCAACAAGAGATGCAAACATGTTTGGGGCAAGAAGCAGCAGAGAGAAGATATCCACAAGAATGGAATCCAGGTTACAAAAACAGTACTTAGTTATATATTCAATAATATGATTAGTCTAATGAGACAAAGAGTCTGCCTACATGAGAGCATTTCTTGATGTTTTCACTGCACTTTCATAGAATATGGCTTTTAATTAGGATGTGCTTAACAATATGTGATGTGGAGTTAATTGTAATGGGAATCCATTTTGAATTTGATAATAGTTGTGACTGTTTACACCAACATTCTTGATCTGCAAAACTTTTAATTATCAAATGTTTCTCAATCCATGGAAATTTGAATTTATCTAGTGTTTCTCATCATGTCTGCATATTAGACTGAACTGAGCAATTCTGTCACAAGCACATGGAAATTTTTTTTGTCTATGGTGAACATTTACATTAAAACTTTATTATTATTTGGATTTTTAGGTGATTTTTAAAAATATCATCAGTTTGCATAATAATGAGGCACTGAGCAATATAAAATGTCTTTGTCACATTCCTGGCCTAAAGCCAAGATGTGGTTCACTGATATTGTAAACAATGTCAATACTTGGCAATAACTTAATATAATGTATATAATGTATATAAGGCAACCTCAAAACACTCAATATAACCATATGATAAAAATATTATGAGAAATGAAAAGTGATCATGGTAACTACTTTCAAGAAACTTATGTTTCAATGGTAGTGTACAGAAAACCTAATTCTTAAGCCATGATTTCCCAGTAGATCTTTGTTTAACAAGAAATTTACAAAATCATGTCAATTTGAACAGTATAAATTATGGTTTGATCAATGCTGAATTAAGGCAGGATGCAAGAGCTTGGTATGTAAAAACAACAACAGACAACATAGTTATGCAATAACCAAATAACTTTTTAATATATACTTTTTAACATATAAACATATGGCACACATATAGAGTTTCGATGAATGATTTGTAACATATACCAATCCTACTGTATTTTATTTGCAAAAGGTTTCCCAACACACTCAGTGTATTTGTCTGCAGGTTGTAAAAACTACATTGTTTGTCACACAGTGCAAGGTGGAAAGGTGAAATGTACCATTTTTTCTTAATTGTCATATTCATTTTGTTGGGGGTTTTTATATTGCCTGTCTCCAAAGAAAAAGTACCCATTTTTTTGCTTGATTTCTTAAAAAAATACCATATAGATAATCTAAGATTTCTGCAATATATCATAAAGGAACTAGCTGCCTACATTGTTTTTGCACTGTGACATTTCCAGTTTACTGTATTAATTAATTTGCTCCTATATAACCCTCAAGCTGATATAGTTTTGAAGTCAACTACAGCCTTGATCACCATTTCCTACCCAAAATAAGCACTTGGATTCACCAATGTTGGTACAATTACAAAAAGCAATCGCCATTATAACACTATTATTTTTAAGCAGATGCAAAACATTGCACAAAGCAACAATTTGATATTGTATAACTTGTAAACATGTTGTGGTCAAAGGATAATAAAATTGAGAATTAACAAATTATGAAAACATCTCTTGTTTTAAACAAAGTTATACTCCTTATTCCACTTCATTCTATAGGGTTTAATAAAGCCCATAAAATCCCTATGACTCGATTGGAAACAGTTACATTTTATACTGAAGTAGGTTTAATAATTAAAAGACAAATTATAAATATGCTATACATAAAGGGCAAAGCAAGCTTAGTAGTTCTAATGCCAACCCTTTTGTTTACTATGTAAAATAATTCAGATCAAATTTATATCGGTGCAAATTTCGAACGGCAAAAGATGGGAATTATATTAAAATATGACGGTCAATTGAATTTTGTATTAGGCTCTGATAATAGGCTGTTTCTAAAAACCTTAAAATACAAAATTCTGAGGTATATTTTAATACAGTCATTAAGACAATATCTCGAAAGCTATGTAATATCTATCCTTTTGCGAACGAAATACTGGGAAAACACAATGGAAGTCCTGTTTTTATAGCGAGAAAGTGTCGCAAAAGTTTGTAAAACACTAAACAATTGCACCGACATATTTACGAAATTATTGAGGCATCAATTCGATTTTCAACTCACCTTCCAGTCGTTGGATCTTGGCTTTAACGTTCATTATCGTCTCAAAAGGATTCACGCGTAGTTCAAATGCCGTTCCAGTGAGTGTTTCGATAAACAGGTCCATGAAGGGGACCAAAATTAGCCGTGTTTTAGGGCGATCGATTAGATCACAACACAAACTCGGCTTAAAATGTTCGCCGTTTCGCGGCCTATATATTCTTCCTTTTACGTCATATTTGCCAGGAATACAACCTCAGCCATTTGATATTGCTCTCGAAATTACGTTTCCCACATAACGTGAAGAAAGACGGAAAAGAATGCAGCAAAAACAACACGTTTTCAAGTCAAGTACACTTCGCAATAAAATTCGCCACAAAATTATGTAGTTCCAATCCCCAGTGACGTCACGTTACTATGACAACAAAACCCTTAAAAGAGAGAATCTAGAAAACATTGACCCGCCTTCGCGCGCGAAATTTGCCATTTTTAGGCACAAAATCCCCCCCCCCCTTTTTGCGTGAGTTGTTAAGCTAGTTTAACTACAAACGATGTAGCAGGTAAATAGTTTCAATGTGCAAATTTAAGTTAAGCGAAAGCAGTTCACAATGCGTGCTCACAGGCCTAAATTGAGCTATAATTTCCTGGTAAATTGCCGTAACGTCACAGAGATTCATTGCCGTCCGTTTCCTTTTCGTGTTTCGCCTAAGTCTGTAAGTCACGAAATCCTTTGAGCGTACAAAACTCACGAAAGAAAACAAAGAGACACTGTTCAACAGCTTAACGCAGCCTGGCTTGTCTCGTGCAAGTAATATTCCCACAGTTCAGACATTCTTCACTTTAAGCTTCTAGTTTTCAGTTTTTATAAAAAGGTAGCTAATGCCCAAGATGCGGGAATGCGTTATGCGGTTTTGTTAGACATTAGAATTATTATTAAAAATTACTATTATGTATAAAGGGTTTGAATTACATCAGTAATACGGGCCAATAAGGTATACTATAAACTACTTTATTGGTTATTTTAATGACATATTGTAGTAAAAATGAGTCTTACAGAGGACAAAAGCACAAAAATTACCAAAACGTACATGTTTTTATTTAAAACCATACTTAGAGTTAAAAAATTATAAACGACTATCCAGCGGCAATTAATGTTATATGATTATAGTAGATTAACAAGCAGATTAACTACAAGAGTTTACAACAACATCAAAACGTTAGAAAACTTAATCCTAATTCAAGTCAAAATGCAATGTAAGCTAGCAGTATTTCAATACTGATCGTAAAAAAGACCCCATCTCATGCGACATCCGCCCCCTCTGTTGTCGGTGTCATCTCTGTAGTAAGGGGTCCAGTTGTTAGCTTTGGCGCAAAGCTTTCGAGCAGCCCCACCGCCACACTGACCACCATTGCCGTCTGGATACCATTCGTAGCACAGCTTGATATTCCTTGCCCATCCATCATGCACTGATGGCAATTTGAGTTGCCAAGACATTCTGCACCCCCCTGAGCGACTATCAGTGTCATCCACATAGACCGGCGTATGATAACCCACCCGAGCACAGAGCAGGCGAGCTGCCCCACCACCACACTGACCTCCGTCACCATCCGGATACCATCTATAGCAGATTTGCACGCTCTTGAACCACGATGGACTGTAAGGTGATTTGATAGCCCAGCTCATAAAACATCCTCCCCCTCTGTTGTCCGTGTCGTCTCGGTAATATTGTGTGGCTGCATTGACGTTCGCGCAAAGATCAGTGGGTTCGCCAGCACCGCACTGGCCATTGTTGCTTGGGGACCATTTGTAACACAGCTTAGTGTGGGCCAAGAACCAGACAGGAACCTTGGGTGTCTTGCAGTCGAATCCACCAGAACCACAGAGGTATTTGGCTGACTTGCACGAGTGTTTACAGCAATCGCCTCCATCGAATTTGTAAGTGGCACTGTTGCACGCGAAATCACACCACCCATCGCTGCTCCAACTGTTGTAACACACTGAACGTTTTGCGCGTAAATGAACTGAAAAACGAAAGAAAAACATACTGTTGGAATACGGTTGGTTTCCGTTGGCAACTTGCAAATAGATAAACAGGACAGCAAGACAAAGGCACAAAGCGGTCTTTGGCTCTGGCTGAAATTAATTAATTACTCCGCCTGCGTATGCGCAGCGGAGTCTTAAAATGCCATGGTCTTTTTTCCTTTTCGTCGTCGTAGTTGTCGTAGTTTTGGGCGACAAAGTTGGCATATCTACAGGTAACCCAAAACATTTTGACCGAGAAGCCCTGGGTTACACGGATGAATTATGTACATCAGTTAGCATTTAGGGAGGTTTGGGGGTGATTTTGTGCAATGTTTATTTTTGATTTTTCTTCGTGTCCTTGTGCCTCGTGTTTGAATCGACGTTCTTCCCTTGTGAAAAATTGAAAAATATGAATGTCGAATTGAAAGAGCTTTCAGAACCATGTTCAACAACTACAAAGGTAAGTTGTTAAGATTTAGATCGTATTCATATGCTGTGGCGGTAATTGCATATTAGTAAACCCAAGATTTTCTGTTTTATAGTTGATTTAGTGATTCACGTTGACGTAGTGTTTTAATACAAAGTACAAACTAGGTATATACAAAGTACTGTTTGCTCTCAGAAATTATACATACTACAAGTTTAGCGACCCTGCATGCTTAAGAATTCGATATTTCTATTTACTAGAGTCTATTAATTTTAAATGTATAAATGATTACAAAGCCTAGTCGAATTGTAATCAGGACCCAACATTTTGACAATCCAGTCTTTGGCAGGTGACATCATCCCTTGGGTATCTAAGAAGCTTTGATTCCAGCTTTAGATCACCCCTGATGAAGACAGTAGACTGGACTGTCGAAACATTAGGTCCTGATTACAATTTGACCAGGCTTTGTGATCATTTATATAAACCAGAGTAGCGAGCGATAACAGGGTTAAAAGGGGGTATTAAAACTGTTCCTATTATAGGATTGATTTGCCAAACTTATAAAACTTTATTTTTGTTCTAATTTACAGGTTTTGGTGCTCATTTGCAGGAAGTTGCAAAAAAAATTAATGTCCCTGAGTGTGAATTCCATGAATGCACATTAGAATACCAAGTCACATTTGAATACCAAGTCACATTTGAACTTTAAATGCCAACTTACCTTTGAATGCCAACAATGAAGTTACAATGAATAAAGTTATATTAATTAATGAAGTTACATCAGTAAACAAAGTTAAGCAACTGAATGAAGTTATATCATTAAATAAAGTTACATCAATGAATAAAGATGCATTAATAAATAATTTCATATTAATGAATACAAAATGTATAACAAAAAATCCCAAAAGTATGACAGACAACAGTTTGACAGGCAACAGTACAAAAAGCACCTCATTTTGTCACCTGTAGTGTTTCCTCACCTGCAGGCGGAGTAACGCCTTGAGCAGGCGTCTTGTTTGAAAACGTCTTACCTACATGCCCTTCATTAGCGGCTCTGGCGTTCTGATGAAAAATTAAAAGAAGGCAATTATACATCGCAAGGATTAAGAAGGAGAGAATTTAGTCGCGTATAGCGCATTCAGTGGATTATTCTCTACGAATCAAGATTATTCTCTACGAATACGCATTAAATCTATGGGATTTCACGGGCATGGAATTAGGTTCATCCATAGGCGTACGGGCATATTTTTTTTAGGGGGGCTGCGCTCAATTTGCCCGAATGACATGACGTCATAGATTTTGTGACGTCATCATAAAATTATATAATCTGAGAAGACTACAAATGAAAGGATTTCCTTTGAAGATTGACAGACGTAATATAAAAAGAAATATCATCCCTAGCCATTTAAATTCTAAACTAAATATATTCATTACGATTTACAACGAAAGAAAAAGTGACTAACATAATAACATTTTATTTGATATATGAAATTCCGTCATGTTTTGCACTAGACATGCAAGGAATTTAGTTTTGTAAAACTATAATCTAGACTAGAAGAAATATGATTTACGATTACGTCGCTGTCCAAAAATGTCAATTATCTTTTCCATATCGTTCTTTAAAGTACTATTTGCATAAGCTCTCTCAATATTGATAAGGGCAATGCTGTTTAAGCGTTTTTGCCCCATTGTACTTCGAAGATAGGTTTTCAAGCGGCGAAGAGCGCTAAAAGATCTCTCAGCAGAGCAGGATGTTGCAGGGATCGTGGCCAGAATCGAAAATACTTTGTAAGCAACAGGAAGAACTTCATGAACACCATTTTCAAACATTTTCCTCACAATTTCAGCGGCGTTTTTTCTTTCAGGATCAGGGTTATCAGCATCAATATTCTCATAGACGTTTTTCTCACTGCCAAGAAGCTCACTGTCGATACTATAGAAGTCTGATACCAACTCAATATTCTTCATGGTCGGAGAGCTGCTGAAGACTATGTCTGCAAGTGCCAATAGCACCTCTTGATCATTACCTTCAAATCTATATTTCATCTCCGCGACAATCCTGTCAATGCTTAGGTAGTAACATGTGATACGATAGTGGTCTTCCACTGTTCGGTACTCCACTTCTGCATTCACTTCAGGCATTTCGCCGACAAGTGTCTGCAGCCGGCGTGATGGCTGTTTGAGTCTTGGTACCTTTGCATCTTTGAAATTGAAATCAGTACCCTCAATTTGTTCCTTGATTTTGTCTGCCATGATTTCAGCGCGCGACCACAAGAGATCAAAATTTTCCTGGGTACGACATTCACTTAGTGTTTTGATCACGCCATCAACACTCTTCTTTGCCGTTACGACATCCATCTGCTTTCCTTGTAGGTATCTGCTCAAACCATCGGTGTTGGACAAAACAACCTTTAATACCATCAAACCAAAAACGAATCGAAAGTCACAAATCGAGTTAAGTAGGGAATTGCTGTCATTGTACGTCTTCGGATCACGATCTTTTGAGAGTGAGAGAAGAGCCTCGATGATCTTAGGCATTTGGTTTACCACTGCCTTTACAGCTGCCCAGCGACAAGACCATCTAGTAGCGCTCTGCGATTTAATTGTCAGTTTAAAATCTTCGCCCTCATCTTCGACTTCGATATCCTTGAAGATAGCGTGGCGTTTGGGACTTCCTTCCAAAAAATTATGGAGACTCTGGATCACGCCTAAAGCTTTCTGAAGTGGCTCAATTGTGGTCATAGTATCTTGTAGCGCCAAGTTAAGCCGATGTCCATGGCAATGAACGTAGATACTAAGAGGTGAACACTCCTTCATACGTGCGGCAAGCCCTTTACGAGCGCCACTCATATTTGCAGCGCCATCAAAGCATTCTGCAACTATGTCTTCTAACTTCAACTCCAGCTTGCTAATGGCTGTCTTCACTAGCTCATATAATACTTCCCCTTCCGTGGATTTAGTTGAATAGAAACCAATAAATGTCTCTTTAGTTTCGCCATTGAAAACATATCTAAGGAAAATGGATACTTGCTCTGTTCGACTGATATCTGCTGTTTCGTCTACAACTATTCCGTAATAGTCGCTACTTCTCGCTTCAGCTGCTATCCTCTCAAGCATGACGTTTGCTACTATTTCTAGTAGTTCATTTTGAACAACAGGCGATGTCCACTGAGCATGTAACTGGAGCTGGCTTTGCAGTTTAGACCTCAGCCAAGGCAAATCGTTGCATCTTATGCAAAGTAACTCGAGAAAGTTCCCTCGATTTATGTCAGATACCTCCCATATATCATTCCGGGTCTCTTCATGACCTCTAATCGCAACATTCTGTTGCGCAGTATACATCAAGGATTGTATGATTACTTTTAAGTATTGTCTGTTACTGGCAACCTGGTCCTTGTGTGCAGTACTCAGCTGCTGTAGGACGGAAGTTTTGTTTCTCTGCATTGCTTTGAACTGAAGCCATCTTGCCATAGACCTGACATGGTTCTCGCTCTTGCCGTGTTTTGCTAGCTTTGCTGACTTCTTCCAATTCTTAAACACAAATGAAGTATCTTTCCCAAATTCCACGCAGGCAAAACACACGCATGCATCCTTATCCACTTCATAACTTATCCACGGATACTTCTTGTACCATTCAGATTGAAATCTTCGCACAAATGTTTCATTGCCGAATTTCTTGCAGGATACTCCGCTAATATAGGCTGTTTTGGGGCGTGAAGGGACGAAATCTGTTCTGTATTTTCACTGGGAATGGAAACCTTTTCAGGCTGTTCGTCTAGAATATGTGCTGGTGAACTAAGATCATCCATTGGTGTAGCTGCTAGAATACTAGACATCGTCATTGATTCTGGTGTAACATTTTCGCTATCTGTCACTGTATTCTGTTCACTATTTTCTCTGAGCTGTGACAATGCATTTAATTCAACATCATCAATGAACGCCGTTATTGGTTCTTTGCTCACGAGTTCCTTCACATTTTTGTCCGGCAGATCTTCATCAAAAGACACTGTGGCTGCAAAGTCTTTACTACCACTCGATTCAGTTCCAGGTTGGGTTATGTCATACTGCAGGTCATCGTCCTTGGTTGTCATGTTACTTTTTAGAAAGAAATTACTGATTTTCGACTGGGATGAGTCTGATGATTCCATTACTGGATGGCATTTTACTTTTTTACCATTATGAACCAATCGAGAATGCACCTCTTGATAATCACTATCGATTTCCTTATTGCATTCCTCGCACCGAACACGGTGTCGGTACCGCCTTTTACGAGATGCCATACGCTTTATTAGAGCTTGGTTATTGAGTTTTGTAATATTCCAGGCGATTATTTATATAGCGACGAAGCGGTCAAAAAAGATAAAGGCCTGAGGAAAGACTAGTGTAAGTTTACTTCACATGCACACACATGTGGTTTAGATCCAACTCTATTATTCAATATTTCGCATTTGGTATTTATGCTCTCGTTCCATAGGGCGTGTACGCTTCCTTTATTATCTAGAATGCTATATTTATTATCAACTGCTATATTTATATATTAATCTCGGACGCACTTGCAATTGGTGCATCCGCGGCAGCTTACTTTTCCTTATTCTATTAGTATTAGCCTATATTTACATTTAATCCATTATCCGATATCCGTTACACTAGTCTAAACCGTGTGGTATAAAATTACTTATCCGATTGTGATCAAAACCAAATCCGGTTAATTTATAGCACTTAACCTTTAATAAAGGTTAATTTGACGCACATGCTTGAACCAGTTATGCGATCTATGCTAATATACACAACAGTTTCAGTTTAGCGTTATTGGGTGAATAGATTCCCCGTGTAATCACCAGACCGTCGTAACGTCTTTGCCCGAATGACAAGACTCTTTTTGCCCGAATAGATTAATTCCCCCAAAAAATTGGGGGGCTGCAGCCCCCCAGCCCCACCCCCCCGTACGCCTATGGGTTCATCCCACTAAAGGTAAAACGGCCTCTGCTTTCTTCTCGAAACGCGAGTAACAGAGGAGGTTGGACAAGCGGGCCGCAAATATATAATTCCACGCGCGAGTCGGGATCTCATTGACTCTGACTGTCGTGGAGAGAACATCTCTCTCACTAAAAATATCGAAGTATACGCAGTGGCAACCACCTTTTTAATTTAATAGAAAGTTCTGCTAATGTAACTTTTAATATAATCTATTAAGCGAGGCTGTTTATTCCATTCGGATGACGGATGTTATTCAAATTTCAACCATGATCAAAACAAGCGCTGTGACAGTTTAAATTACTATACTTATTATTCGGTAAAATTTCTTTGTTGTTCTCAGAATTGTACTTTCATACTGAATACGTACATTGTATATATTTAATTCGGCTATCAGGCTGTTTGTACCTTGTTTATAGCTGTTTGAATGTGCAAACTGTAGTTAAATATTTATTTTTTCATTTTACATAATTAGAGAGAACAGTGCATCAAATAAAAAAAATTCTTATGATTTTGTAGAAAGAGACCTAGTTACTTATATGGTTGGCTTACTTACTTATATGGTTGTGCAAATGAGATGGATCATTCCGAAGATACTGATTATCGCAGAATTTGTGGATATATAATTATTGGAACTGGGTATATGTTATCTACTAAGGAAAAAAGTAAACCACTGCAAACAATTTTCTAGTTAACCAAAATTGTAAATATTCCCTCAATAAACTTACTGCTGTTTGCAAGCTACCATGAGATGTTTTGCGAAACGTTGCTCGTTTCAAGGTCAAACGTTGATTGGTCATTTAGAAACGTCAACGATTTCCGGTCAAACCCGAATTTTTGAAACGTAAATAAACATGAAAAATTTAGCACGTCTCATGGTAACTTGCAAACAGCAGTATTAAATTAACAATAGAAAAATGTTTCTTTTTTATTGTTATTGCATTGATCAAAACTTCACAATTATTATATATGTTGAATGATGCATAGTAACACACACTAAAAAATTGGCCCATGTCAGAAACAATTGGCTTGTGATTTGTGCAAATCATGATTATCCTCACTCTAAGTATGAACATTTGAAAAAGGCTGTAGCATTGCCACATACGACATACCTTTGCATGTATATGATGCTTGTAGAAATGATATAGACACATAATTTTTATGATTATGCTTAATTATTAATTAAGAACAACAAACATGTATATAATTGATAATGTCAACAATATATGTCCAGTCCATGCAGTATTCTGTGAAGATATTATATTCAAATGGACTTGTTAGCACACTAAAGTTGACGATGTTAAGGAATAATTGTTGTTCATTCGACAAAAATCCCAGGATAAGCTCGTTTGAAACACGTAAACGATCCAGTCGCTCATCACCAAAAACAGCAATGTAAGAAAAAAGCAATTTCATACTTTAAAAAAAAATATTGAAAATAGCACAAACTAGAAGGGCAATTTTTCTTGAAATTATTGACACCATTTTCGCGAACGTGAATTTGACAACAGTCAATTCAACGGCTAATATCACCGGGATCACTCCAGCAGCCTTGAAGCTTATATGATTGTGTTTCGAATTGCCAAGAATGAAGAAAATCGAATCATGGGAATTCTAGATATTTCATTTTAAATCTTGTAAACAGATTTACACCTAAGTCGACCATAATTTCGCGGGGAGTCGACCAAGTTCAAGCCTCAATATAAGACTAGAATATATAAACATTTACCTCTGAGATTTTCGCAGAAACCGCTAGATCTTTACTTCTTCTGTAACTGCACTTAAAATTTACTCGAAAATGTGAATATTAATATTTTTTCTCGATTTATTTCGCGATGAATGAAAAAATTATGGCTGAAATTTTTCTAAAACGCGATGAGAAAATAGAGCGATCTCATTGGTCGAGAGCTCACGTGACAACTTGCTAATTAGCCTTTCTCACGATGACGTTTTGGGGTACTTTCAATTTTCTGAAATGGGTTTAAAAATTATGTTTAAACATCAAAAGCAATATTTTTAGAATAAACAGACCATTTAAAGAATAAATTCAGCCTAAAATTAAAGACAGTCGCCGTTACCAAGTCTTACGCTCACGGTTTTTGAAAAAAGTACCCCAAAAACGGTGGCATATTTGTCATCGTCTTATAATGACGTCAAACGCGGAAAGTCTGATGTTACACGAAATTCAATTGGCTCCACAAAACTATCCAGCCAATCAAACGTCGTGTAACATCAGACTTTCCGCGTTTGACATCATTATGAAAAAGGTCTATTGCTTGTCCAACCTCCTCTGCGCGGTAATTAAACGCCCGAAAAGCATATTTTATACCATATCCGCATTTTACCCGATTGGGTAAAACGCGGATATGACGTTTAAAATTTATTTTATTGAAAAGTAAGTTATCCGTCCGTCCGTCGCTATCCGTCCGTATCCGCGTTTTACCCCAACCCGTAATGAAGTATCCTTTTTTCCGTAGTTCGTCTGCATCCGTATTTACTCACAGAAGGAATGAAAGATGATGCGTCAAGCCGAACTACCCATGGAAATTCGTCTAAATAGACGAACTATGCAGATAATTCGTCTTGACGGATGATCCGATGATCCGTCTGCTTGCCTGTGTTTATACACAGACAAACTAGAAGACGCACTATCTTTTATGATTCGTCTCTAGTATAAATCGGGCCATTAACTTAGTAAAATACTTACCTCCGTTTCCTGTATAGCAATAACAGTCGTTAAGAGAGAAAAAGAAAGGATCCGCGTTAACAAATATACACGCATGATGAAACAGAATATTTGTTATATAGATTATAGTAGATTTTCAAATTGCTTCACATATGGGCACAGTATAAAACGTAGCGGTCGTCGCGTTTGAGAGACAGAATGGTTAGCACTATTTTCCATCTAGCAAACCGCCTTTTCGTTTTTGGAGAGTGGCATGGGTCGAGTAATTGAATAATTAAAAACTAATTTTTGGAGTAAAATTTAATATATATTTACAAATTTGGCGCGTCATTATCCGCATAATATTCTGGCTGATTGACAGCATATAAGTTTTAAACACAAACTTATATTTTAGCTTTATAAATCTATAATTACAAAACGTTTTAATCAGTCCTTAATTATTTTCATCTTTGGTTTACATCATTCAAAATATGTAGTGTAAACATATGACGCATTAATAATATATTACGCCAACAGTATCAGTCTATCAGAGAGCTTTATATATAAAGACATTCTACCGGGTGTCCGAAAAAGAACTTTACATGTTTGAAATCATACAACGTAAAAATCATAAAAGCTGTAGTGCTGGAATAAACCCCAAAAATATTGAATGTAGAAAGGGTTTAAACTTAGATTTTGATATGTTACATTTAATTTTCGGTAGTTTGCGGAATAAACCTCCGCAGAACCTCCGCAGAGGCTTCGAATGCAAAGATGGTACCAGTCACTGGATGGTACAAAGATAAAAATGACCGCTGCTGCTGAAATTAGAAACGTGGGCGAGGGTTGGGGAGCGCGTTTGTATTCGAAGCCTTTGCGGAGGAGAGAGGAGTCGTCTGCTGTTGCATAGAGAAGAGATATAACGTTTTCACCGAGAACTGAAGGACGACCAGCTTTTACCTACGAAAGAGCAGATTGAGCAACTAAGAGGAACAAGGATGAACCTTTGCTTGGTTTCTTAGCGTGTGAGAATGAACGTTTCATTATTTCATAGAAGGATAGAATATGGAATTGAGGGCAGTTAATGCCAGTTATACAGTCATCACCGACAACAATTAACTTAGTGAAATTATTAATACGGGTATCCTAAGGCTTATTCCATATGGTAGCAAATGCTACGTGAAAGGAGGCCTTAAATCGAGGAATATACACGTCCAAAGAACCCGGGTGAGGGAAAGCCTCCGCAGGGTTGACTCGATTGGTTGAATGAAGGTGGTTGCTGAAGAGGTTGTTGTTGTTGACTTGTTGCTCATTGCGGGACGAAAATGTATTCCTTACTTCTGCTTCCCTTGAGATTGTGGAAATCGTTTCTGACAACTCCGATACTCCATCTATCAGCTCGAATTTTAAGTCCACTTTTTCTCACAAAAATTCCAGTTGTTTTTCGAAAGTGAATTTGACAATTGACAATTGATAGATTAAGTATACATGCAGGCATGTCCCATACCAGCCCGCGAACGGGCCTACTTGGCCTACTCAGTGAGCTCCACATATATCTGGAGTAAGAACTTAAGACCAGGCCAAAAAGTGAAGCCAAAGATGGCGGATATTGAGGCGCTATAGTACGTCAGTTTCAGTCAGGGCGCTTATATATATAAGCGCCCTGGTTTCAGTCTTCCTATGTGTGCGCGGTCAACTAAATTCGTATTTTTTATCTTTATTTTTTCATATTTTTGAGTAAAAAATGAGGGGAATTTCAATGAAAAGTATAATATTAATGCTTTGTATTGAGATACTTTTATATTTCAATTAAATTAAGTTAATTAACAAATAAATAAGCGATATCTTACAAAGAAAGCTAAGGAGTGGCAGCGGATTGTTGATGTTTTCGGCTTTTCGCAAATCACAACATTTTCCCATAGAATATGCTTCCCAAAAAAACATAAATTAAACTTTTCTCAGTTTAATTCATCTATATGAGGCTTTCATTCATGTAAAAAAAAAATAGGAACTGAAAACTATGCTGAAAAACGTACGAGTTTGAAATAATATTAATATATGATTATGAAATTTATAAACAAGACTCATAATGCACGTATAAAAGAACCTTAAAAAGAGCCCTATGCTAGGAAAGCTGGCCAAAAAATAAAGGAAAACTAGTGTTAAAGCGTTTCGAAACAAACAACGAAACAAGAAACTCAAAACATAAGTTGGAAATACATGAAAATAACTCAAAATTAAACAAATCTGAAATGCGTAGTTGAATTTACGGCGAAAAATGCATATTTACTCACACGTACAGTCGGAAAATGCGGCACCCACATCGGGTAGATGCAGAGAAACAGATTCTCAGTAAAATGAATCAATTTTTTCCATTCTTGTGCTCTCAAAATGATGAAAAACACGAAAATCTGAGGGTTTCGGGAACGTCACTCCCGGTCAAAAACAATGACAAATATTTGGCCGCGCGAGTTAGAAGACTGAAACTGACGTACTAAAGCGCTTCAATTTCCGCCACAATCTCGTTCCCCGAGCCCGCGATTCCTCTGGCGAGAAAACGAAGGCTCTGGGATAATCCAAACCGGAAGCCAGAAATCCTGGCTTCCGATTTGTAACGGTTTTTTGTATTTCAAAATTAAAACGGCGTGAACAACCAATCAGAATCATTTCTGGTTTGGATTATCCCAGAGCCTTCGTTTTCTCGCCAGAGGAATCGCGGGCTCGGGGAACGAGATTGTTTCCGCCATCTTTGGCTTCACTTTTGAGCAGGGTTTGGCAGTGTCAATTACCGGAGAAGACCCGCACGAGAAGACCCAATTACACGAGAGAGCCCCGGCCATATATGGAGTGATACATAGAGGAGTGATATGCAATGCCGCCATTATTGAGTAAAAATCTGTTTTCTAATTCAACATGTCGGACCATTTTAAAGATATTTAAAAAGTGAGATCTATATGACAAGTTGGCTTAAGGAAGGATTGGGAGTTTAAGCATTGCCAATAGAAAATGTCTGAGACTACTAAGGGAAAATACAGCGCAGATCGTGTAAGTAAAAAATATATATTAAAACTATATAATTGTGAATATTTTATATGTGATTTATATAGATGTGAATATTATAAATGGACAACAATGTTCAACTAAATACTAGCATATATTTACAAACAAATTTTAAGTTGATATTTTCAAAGACAATGAAAATTTTCCTTGGGCTTTAGCAAAGCCCAATTGAAATGTTTCATAAGGACATAGGTGAAAGAAGATTGTGATAAATTTGTGGAGTTGTCAGTATATTATGTACACAATGACCATCAAAGGCTGTCTAAAGCCGGTTTTCCACTAGCGATATTATTCGTGCGAATCGACATTTTACATTTGTTCCAGAGCTCTTAACTGCAACCATCTGAAACAAATTGCTCAAATACAAAGGAATAAAGTTGCTTCGCAAAAATATTGCTTGTGGAAAACCGGCTTAACAGTGGCAGCTATCTGTGAAAATATCAGCCTGGTATTATGTTCAACAGATATTATGAAACATGATGTTTTCTTAAAGGTTTATGCCATATATAGTCCTGATGTAATTACTTCCAACTTTATTAATTAGCTTTCTTTAATGCACTCTTTACTGCAGAATCCTGGATATTCAAGAGTTGAGTAAAATTTTCTGAACTCGCCAAATTTACCATTTCCAATAAAGCCATACATTTCTTTAAATGACATGCCACATTGAAAACAAGTTTTTATTTCATACATTTTGTAATTCTCCTCTTTGAATTCTTTTGATGATGAATTCCATTCCCACACACTGTTTAACCAGGCGAAGTGAGTGGTGCGTCTAAAAGAGTCTCTTCCCACTATCTGTCTAAATCGCTTACAAACCAAGCTAATTGTTAAGAATCCTTTATCACCTTCATTTAATACTTCTTTAAAGACAGACTCTAAGCCATCATCTGATAGAGACAGAATATTTCTAACCTTTGCTTTAAGTGTGTATGTGGCATGGTCATCCTCATTGCAATGTTCAGTTTGTTTCCTAAAAGCAATTGGTACTTGTAAATGAATTGTCTTTTACTAGCTACCCAAAATTTAGAGTATGTGTTAGTGAGAATAGTTCTCAACAAATTCCATTATGTCAACAATAGATTTTAAGTGACATCCATTTAACTGACCTTATTGGTATTTGGACGTTTTTTTCAGGATTTGCTAGGCGAACTGCCATGTATTTCCTTAAACATAGTATGTCTTCCTTTAGGTAAAAAATGCAATATGATTTATCATAAATTTAAACATATTAAAATACAGCAGGGGTTTTTCTGTGGTTTAAATAATGTAGTTACCAGAAATTGTACTTCGATATAATTACCTGTGTAAAGTTCACATCCAAACCATTGACCATATAATCAGCTACCTAACAACAAAATATGCCGCTAGACATTACAGTAATTGAAGCAATGGGAAAAACATAACTATAATATATTAGATAATTTATATCAAATGTATTTTTCACTTACCATGCATACAAAAACCCCACATGAACTTCCATCAAGTTGTCTGGGCTCAAATTTTGTGGAGTTATCAAAATATTTAACATCTGGTGGACTCATTTCTGGGCATATTGCTTGAAGGTGTGCTATCAGTAATCTATAAGTTGAGTGAATGTTAAGTAATACATCCATGTCAAAACATTTTTTAACACCTAATTTATCTGTCCATTGAAGGCCTACCTAATTTTTTTGTGGAAGCTTCTCTCTTCTCTTAACATCGCCATAGCCATAGGGTCATAAAGAAATATGGTACATGAAGTAAAGTCCACTACCTATAAGGATTAATTTAGAACAACAGTCCAGAAGTGAAAAGTATTGCCTAAAACGTAAATTTATTGAGTTGAATTTATTTTTTTAGGAACCTGACTAAATAAAATATTGTTTTCTAAATTTTTGAAACAGAGGCATATACTGTATGTATATTGTATTCTATCGCAGGTTCTACCGCAGTTCAAAAGGCACTTGTTTTTAAATGAAGTCTTTATGTTTACTACTTTCCATTACAAAATTATAAAAAACCCTGTTTTTTTTGCTATTATACTCGCATTTAAAAAATTACTTACCCCAAGACTCCAGTGATTATTGTCCAAATTTATTGGTATGAAGCACAGGTCTGCTTTAAAGAATGGGTTCTGAAAGATCCCACACAGAAATCAGCGTTGAGCAATATACAGTATAAAGCATTATTTTGAAAGAAACGAATTCATACCTTTTGAATCCATTTCGTTATGGAATGGACGCCATATTTACATAGTTTTGTGTACATGAAGCTGCTCATGACTGCTACACGATTGGTACCCTAGTAAAGATAAATATTTAGCTGATTAATATATATCACAAAATAAGGAATACCAAGTGGTCTTATTTAAATATAGAGGATATAGCACGGATTTTATGTTCGAGTAGCAAAAACAATCTCACGAGTGAGCGCACCGAACGAGTGAGAAATTGTTTTTGACACGAGTGCCATATCTTCAAGCGAACCGTATAATGTTCTGTTTATTATATTGATTTAAGCGAAAAATATTTTGAATGTTATTCCTCAATCCTCAGCGTGACATACGAAAAATACGCGCACCTGGTCCCTGATGTAGTGGCGTATGAGCGTTCCACTAGTGTTTTAGTTCCCAGTAAACTACTCTTGTTCATATAATAAACTGTTAAGAACACTATCTGCAGTTATTATTCTAGTTTCAGTACAGACAGTAGTTTACTTTCCCCTACCTGAGATTTTCTTTGTACGTCGATTAGAAAATTGTTTATTATCTAAATTTCAATAGAAAAATACATGTTTATTCATGATGTGAGTTACTGTAACTATGTGGGTTCTCGGAATACTATATCAATTACACCAGTGATAACCTTATCATTTAGCCATCCTTCGTTATACGTTTCTCCATGTTTGGTTGCGTATTGTTCAAGCAATGTTTTTTCATAGTCGGAAGGCGCTTGGTCAAGCAGCTTGATGTCGTAATACATTAACGGCGTTCCGTTGATGTGTGATACAATGTGATGTAGCTGATGTCCCTTGCGCAAGTCCCAATACCTGTCAACCTACGTCAAGGAATGAATGGATTTTATACACTGTTTATACTAAAACGTTTAGAGCGTTGGTAAATCGAACAACGATCATGCAGGATATGGTTTCAACAAAACCTTTTCTGTGAGTGTACTGTCCTGTACACATTCAGGTGGACTCGGAGGTGTCGTTACTTCCATTTTATCCTTTATCTGGTCTAAAACATATTTTGAGTAATAAGATAAATTATCTATTGTTTTATCCATTGATTAAGACCGTTTTTCGGTCTTAACAATGCGTTATATATCAAGAAGTAACGTTTCTTTACCGATTAAAGTAATCGTACTGTATAGTATCGTTAGTTATATAATAGGTTCGAGATCAGATGTCCATTTAGAATTTTATTTATAAGATATATAATATATATAACGGCTCAAGCCAAGACGCGCCTACGGGGATCAAATCGCCAACAAAAAGTTTAAAATATAAAAATATGCACCTTGCTCTGATATCGATGTACTTTCATCAGTCATAATTTGAACCTCAAAATGTTCTAAATAAAAAACACATTCCTATCTTTTTAAATTTGGATTAAAATGAAGACTGCTAACATTCAGGAGCGTAACCAGTAAAGGTTGATTATAGGCTTACACCACGCTTAAAGGATAATAATTAATAAAAATCCAATATGGCTGTGACAGTTAGGTAAACGTTTGTCGGAATGGTCTGTCGTATGTTTATATATAGTTGATCTTACACTTATACTTTTAGGTTTTTTCAAAACGTATTTATAGCAAACCTTCTGTGCTGTAAAACAGCATATATACGTCTCCGTTGAAGATGGTTTCGCACAACTGTTGTGGCTTGACCAGTTTGTCGTCGATTAGAAACCACCTTTTATTTCGTAAAACCGTACAGTTGAAATGACCCTCTTTTGCATCAATTCCATAGTGTGTCTATATGAGACATTTTTAAATGTTAGACAATTAAAATTGAGCACGTCAACGCGAAGCCCGTACAAAAGAAATCAAGCCCGCTTTTCAAATCGTTTGAATATACATTTATACTTACTATAAAAGCTGAAAGTTTGTATGTATGTCTTCGTCCCAACAAGTCGTGAACGCCAATTAATTCCTGTAACTTAAGGCGAACATGCTGTTTTTCCCCATTCTTTGTTACTGGGAGGATGTTGCAAATTAGACTCGATGGTAGTTTCATTGGCTGTCGCAATTCTACGATATCTTTCTCTTTTTCTTCACAGACACTATAATTAATCAACATGTCTCAATAGTCTATCGTATATACTAAAGCATAATCACAATGTATATTATACTAACGACGAAATGCTATACTATATATCCGTACCAAAATGAAGATTTAAGATCCTTATCTTCCAGCTCGAAGTTGTTTAGCAGCATATTTTCCACCGTTTGAAGACATTTTTCTCTACTTGGCAGGTTTAAAACTGTGAAGGCAACATCCTGGTGCTCGTTATGTTTTCCACAGCTTCGGCATACTAACTGCACCCTTTCAACTCCACGACAGGCACTGATTTTTTAATGGAATGGATGTTTTATATTGATGCCATGCGATATCAATAGATCGGAACATTTATAATTGAGTCAAGCAACAGATAGGTATTATACTAAATTAATTGTATATAATATTGTTGCTATATCACTTTTGTCTTTTTTGAATAATTTATAGGGTGAGTATAAAAAACTGATGCTCATAATAATTTTCCTAATTGAAGAATTTCCAACAGGCGCAGTTGATAACAGTTTTATCATCTCGAACAATTAGAATACATTTTAACTTCCAGCGCCAACAAGATTTCTCTTTTAGATTCACGATTAATGATTCGCCAAATATGCGGCAAATTTGTATTTGAACAGTGATCAGTTTTTTATTCACCCTGTATGTATACAGATAGAAGTCTGTTCAACGACATGTTAATTACTTTATACATTACCTCTGCAGTGCTTCATCGCCTACAGACGAAGTGTAGCGTAAAAGACTATAAAGAAAATCGCCTGGATCATCGGGATCGTTCGAATTCACGAGTTTAGACGCAAGGCTCTCCAATTTCTGGGATACATCTTCTTGTCTAACTTCGATGTATGTTCGGGCTAAGTAAAACAACAACCACGAAAGGTCGCTTCCGCTGGGGGATTTCACTGGAATACACGATGCCAGACATTGCAATAAGCTGTTTACAAAGCAACGATTTTTCTTCGGTGGATTTTCTAGTCCCTTCAAAAGAAAGAGTGCAACAGTGGGTATAGTACTGACCTCTTTTATAGTTATAGCTACATGATTAGAGAAAATGACAATTTTCGGATTACATACAATTATATGAATTTAATAAATTTTACTAACGGTACTTAATGAAGAAATTAAGCAACTTATATATAGTGATAAATATGCATGCACAATTATAAATAAAAGATCCTTACTCGAGGTATAAACCGAACGTCAGGTTCTTCCGTCAATTCTTCCCTTTCCCAAGGGTCGTCAACTCTCGCTTCATTGACATTGCCAGTAGGACTGCTAACCGTATTCTCGTCACTTGAATGTGTCCCAAAAGCAGCATCTGCAGGGAAATAAGGCAGTGTATCACACCCCTCTTTTGTAATATAAATGTGAATAGGTATATATGCGTAGGCCTAATACAATAATGCTCTACCTATATTTCCAGCGATAATGATCCTTCCTAATGAATCAACAGTCGTATGTGCTACTAATCCATGCTTTTGTAGGGCCTGCTCTTGACGACCGATCTCCTCGTTGTTTTTTTTCTTGTTTCGCAGATGAACAAGAAGTCGTTTCATGAATACGTGTGTAGCCGGTTGCATCATGTTGAGGAAATAGTTGTCTTTGTTCATTACACTGTGAAGTTGTTCGTGCGACTCGCTGTTTACATTTGCGTGGAGCTGCGGGCATATCACTAATCGTCGAAGCACATCGTCTGGGTTGTTGGAATTTTCTCGTGGAATCTGTCATACATGCTGTAACGCTCTTTCGTTCATGTCATTGGATGTGTGTCATCAGTCGTTAAACCAGCGTTGGCATTGGTAAGTGCTGAACATGTCCACCATGGAAAGTGTTTTTTCAGTTTGCCATCTGTCGCCAGTCGGATATTTTCGTCCGATGAAGGAAAGGGTTTTCCTTCGTTAGGATTGAAAAAACCTGGCTCAAGTCGATTCATCAGGTGGGCAAGTCTTTGTGGGATGTCAGATACGTTGAATGTAGGTGGATACTTAAAAGATCGAAGAAGGTCTGAATAATCCCGCGGTCCCTCGCTTCTGAGGACGAACTTGATCGCATAAATTCTGTTGTGCGGACAAGAGCCTGACGCCCATCCACCTAAAAAGATAACAAGCAGGAAAATCATACAAATCAGTCAAATCGTCGCTTTACAATTCTGCATGTAAACGTATAAAACTAGTCATTAAAACACTTACCCGACGCTCCCCATATCTTTGTAAATATCTTTTTGTAGTGTGTTGGTACATTCAACTTCTTTCTCAGGAATGATATCGTCGTTTTTGGGTAGATGTGAACTGCCTTTCGCTCCCAGCTGACCACACAACCTCTGCAACACATGGACCTATTATATAGAAAAAAACATTGACGTTGATATAGCAACATTAATTTCATGCACGGGTTCAACATTCATGCATGTCAAAAAGCTTTTGCAAAATTAGAAAAATGCAAATATTATCGTGTGAAGTGTTTGTTATGTGAGACATTTGTTGAGAATCGTATTTTTAATTCAAATAATCATTGTGGGGACAGTTATGACAGGTTTAGCCAATTTTAAGATTGCATCCGCGATAACTGAACCTGAGACTTCGTTAATGCATGCAAGCATGCTTGGTTTAGAGATTTGTATGAACTCATGTTTTTTAATCTATACCTGCGCAAAATTCATCATGTCCAGTAGATCCTCTTCAGAATATGTTGTTAAATTCATATCCTCAAGCACCTGGTCACTTTCTGGGATTCTATGACACTTTCTGTACTCCGTGTTATATGCACTGTCCCCTTTTCTTGTGTGCGGACCAATCCATGGAGCCCAGAACTGGTAGTTGGCCTTCACTTGAAATGAGGAACTCTTGTTCGCTATATTTTGGGTGTGAATTAAAGTTTTAAATTAGTATAAAAGTTTTATTAGGTTTTAGCCAGGCGAAGTTGACAAATTTAGTATATTTTTGTATTACGTGCGGATATAGATGTAACTAGGTCCATATATACTTACCGTTTACACCTCTTGCTAAATGCATCACTTCAACACTTTTCCAGAACTCTCTAATGCTTACACGGTCTGAGTCGTCACATTCAGGTGGAATATCTAGATCGCTAACTATTTTTGATAAAAAATATATAACGTATTTAGGCCTTAATATATGTATGTATATAGAGAACAAGACGGTGCACTTACGTGCGATTGAGAAAACACCCTTTCTTGCAGAGATCCCAGTTTAGATGTGGAGGGTGATTTCCGCAGAGCACACATGTAAAATCGTATATGTGTTCAGTAAGAGCTTCGAAGTGATAGTAAGCATTTCGCACAACGGTTTGATTAAGTTTCACTCCGGCAGTGCTACCAACTGCTGATGCGACTCTTCCTAATGCTGTATGCTCCTGCAATAATTTAAATATAACTTTATCAGTCGAGTCCTGCAGGTGCAGGAGTCACTAATTTTTGGCTTCTCTACCAGCTTACCTCGACAAATGCTCGTAACAGCAACAGGAAGCTTAGACTAAAGCAATGGTAATCGTCAAAGTTATGAAGCCCATCCGTATACTCCTGATATCGGTATATCAGTCCACATTGTGGACATGATTTGTAACATAGTTCAACATCTGAAAAATATAACATGTTTTGTTTATTTTTGCATTTTGAAAGAAATTCCGTAACCATGAAATAATACCCTTTTCAATTTGAACGCCATGTTAACGTAGCTGACTGCATAATTATAAATATTGAGCGTGATGTGTTATCGAAAGCTCTGGGTGCATTAGCACAAACTTACCTTCAATAACTTTGGTTAAAGTAAATATCTTTCCTTTCCGTGTAATCAATTTCTCTTTGCTAAGGGCAATACCTTCGCAATTGCAGCACGTTTCTTCTATTGGTACCAGAACACGTGGAAAGGACAGAACATCAGCATCATGTGTCAATGATCGTGGTAGAGATGGCGGAATTTTCTTCGCTGAATATATGTATTCTACCATTCTGGTTAGCTGTAAATCGTTTGGGGGGTACTCTCCAACGTTTACAAAAAGAGTCTCTTCTTCGGCTGGATTATCTACCGATTCACTTTCACTGACATCGTTTCCGTAGTCGTTTATTGCCGCGGTTTCTGATTCTTGTGGTGTACTGTCATTGGACAAATCATCTGGTCTCACCTGATATAGATACCACTTTCCGATAGCTTTATGGACGCAGGTGACCTTCAAACGGCAGCAACCGCAAGACCATTTATTTAAAGTAATATCGAACGACACTACCACTCTTTTAAATCGGGAATAATGGTGTACTTCTCCTACATATACTGAGAAGTGGCGAAATCTGTTTGAAGTTTCGTTTTTGTTGCAAAACTCGACAATCAGCGGCGCGCTTGCACTTTCTGCTACCATTTGTGCTTGAAGGCATTCTTGTTCTCTGCTTTGTTTAAGCCACTTCATTTTAACAATTAGTTCTTCGAGTGCTCTTCGTGTAATTTTAGGTGGCCCTTTGAATGGTTCCGAAACGTACGGCACGCTTTTCAAATGACAGCAAGTAAAATTTGGATTCCCGCTTCTTCTCGCTGTTTTAGAAACCTCCCTACATTCGTCTAATTCGCGAGAATCCACCTTCGCTTCCAAAGCTGTGAAGAACATGAATAGGATGACTAGTGCCACTAAATGAGCGTCTTACCAAATATAGTCCCTTGCGCGAATCAACGCAAACTCCGTAAAGATGTCTGTTAGCATTTATGTAATCGGGTGTGACATGAATGTATTTTATGTGGTTCCGAAGTGATTTTTTGGATGAAAAACATTTCAAACACGACTCGCACTCTAAAGTACCTTGCTGGTTATTAATGTCGCTTGAACTCGTGCGCGATTCACGATCCTGTAAGTCAGATGTTTGCGACTGTCCCGTAAGTGATTCGTCGCGAGCAAGAGTTTGCCTCTTGTGGGAATACAAATGATTAGTAAACGAGTCAGTTCGCTCGAAAATTCTATCACAGGAGCAACAGTGAAAATGCGAAACATTGTTAACCATGCTTCCGTCTGAGGAAATGCATTCAAGCCGACATCTTAAAATGACAAATTCTAAAATAGGTAAAAGAAAACATGATCTTGAAACAGTCCATTCTAAAATTAACCAGAACTTAAAAGTATGAGCTACATATTTATAGCCAAGTGCATTATGAAGTGACGTCCTCAATGACTTAAAATTTGTTATGATTAGGCGAAGTAAAAAATTCATTAACTTCCATGCAAAAACATTTCGGCCTTCGTTGTATCAAGTAATTGCACGAACAACTCTTGCATGCATGCATGGAATGAACTATATGTATGTAGTCTATACTGATAATTATCCTGAGACGATGGTCATTCCACATCCTTTTGCTGCCCGTGTAAACTGTAATCTATATGACTTGGTAAAAATGACTATACATACAGCTTACCGTCAAAAGAGATTCTTGTTTTCCAGTGAATAGCATGAAAATGCATGTTTAAGCAACTTGCATCGTTTCAATCCTTTGATTTTCGTTGGAGTACATAGTGGGCAATGAAACAGTTTACCTCCGCACTCACAGCTTTCTGAAGTACATCGCTGAAATATATCTCCTGGAACTTCCGTTATGCTGCTTCTCCATACGGATGATATAGAATTCATTGCCATTGACAAGTAAAACCTCGCTAAAACACAATTGGTGAAAAAGTAAAATAATTTGACACATGTGTTGCAGGTAATTTATGTCTTGTATATTATCACTTCGTTCAGTGCTTATTCATATTAGCTAATAAAGTAACCAAATAAAATACTTACATTTGTGAGACAAGTTGCTGTTTTTTCTACCTTGTTCTTCTATAATGGTTTCCGTTTAGCAACTGCATGTTCATGCATACAATGTTGCTTTAAACCAGCATCGAATTATTGTGCTTAGCTTAGCAGTTCTTAAATTCTCCTCTTATATAACCAGGTCGGGGAGTGGTTTTTTATCCCACGAAGTAAACTTCCTGTTGATACTGATAACTTAATTCCTGTTGTGCTCGACCTGCTAGACTTAGACATCACTTGAAAATTTAAAAATGTAAATATAGACTAACTATATATAATCTATACGTATCTACTTAAAATAAATCATAGGGGCTTGAGCACGCCACATAAAATGCCAAGATATTTTTTTTCTTTTTAAATTTATCACCGGCGCGAAGTGAGGCACGGCTCTTTGTCTATTATACATATAAGTTTAAAATTTTAATGATTTTAGTCTAATTTTTCTCAAAAAACAACCGTGCAGACATGGTATATTCTCTATTCTGACCCCTGTAACTGATCCCAGCCTGGCATAACATGCAGTGTCGTGAAAATGTGTCAAATGTCATGCATGTTCGTCTGTAGAGTTATGGTGTATTATATATATTCATATATATTCATTTATGTGGAAATATAGTAAATTTGTAAACAGGGGAAAATATGCGCGCAAGCACATACCCATGCACGTTCAATCACGAAGAGGAAACATCCCATCCCCCTCCTGCTATAAATTACTAAAGTGAATACGGTAGTTATTAGTGTTATAAAATTAGTTACTAGACCAAAACAATCAAGCAATAGAGGGAAGTGTTACACCCTTGCACATAGGTATATGAGGCTGGCAAATTTCCCACCTGTTATAAGAAACATGGTGAAACCACAGCGCGTCAATGAACTGTAATAAATAACTGGAACGCTGCCTTATGATTGTTTTCGTTAAGCCAGAATTTGCGGGACTTTACCTCCAGACAACGCGTGCATATATCACTTAAACCCACCGTATCCACACACTTTTATCATGAAATTGATCAAAATCACACGACAGTGACTCGTTCGCCACATACTCTTCTGCCTGAGAAGAGAGAGAATTGATGAAAAGCTTGGGCCGGTTGATTTAAAGAATATAATTGGATGAAAGACGCAATCCTGCAGGGGCTATTTTAAAGTGAACAATGTGCAAAACAGTAGAGGTGTATTGAAGAAGGATCATCTCCGAGTTCGCAATGTTTACCTCTTTTACAATTTTCAGCCTGCTGGAAGAGAGCCCCTTGTAGTTAAAATTGCTGCTTTCATATGCACTACCTATTGAATATTGACATAACGATAGGTACTTTCATTTTGTGAAATTCCACATTTTCCAATTTTTGCCACACCTATACTTACAATATCGGATACATGACTGCGAAAATTCTATGAAAATTTCCTTTCTCAGTGCAAGTTAAAAACACACAGTTTACTTAGACGGGTACAAGCCATTTCGCAATATTCCTCGTTTTAAGGAAAATCATCACAGGCTATAATATTAAATTATTACAAGGGTTTTGAAGGGTCTTAATTTCGAATGGAATTATACACACTTTAAATTAGATTAACATTAAATTAATACTATCAATATTATTAATGATAGCTGTATATTATTATCGAACGAGTGCATTCCAAATGATTCCACCAGTTAGTGACATTTATTTCTAATCACAAGTGGTTTTTAGTCTACTTAATATACCGGCATGCGTCCAAATCCAATTTAGTAGCTATAATATGCAGAAAATCCTGTCAATGCATGAAATATTGTAGCATGGCAGTAACAACAGTTGTCCCACAAACTGAGCAAAATTTTCTTGTTTCATCAAAATATAATGATCTGACAGTTTTGTTTCTAGTTGGAAATTTGTCTTTTCTTAATCTCCGAGGGTACAACCACATTTTTCAATATTGGTTACTTTCTCGTTATGTGCGTATTGTACTTCCACCCAACCAACCACAATAGTATTTTTATTTTGCTTAAAATTCGTACGGTAGAACAACCAGTAAGTCATACTATACTTTTATCATGTCTCTGCGAACGGGTATTCTAATAACTGTATTACGTAATAAGAAAGATCATACCTAATTGCTCCTTTCCAACAATCAGCGAAACTAATTAACTGGATGAAAACACAAGAAGAGCTTGCGAATTGATCGTTAACAATGAATGAAAAATTCCCTTCGTATTTTCTAAAATACGGTGGGAAATATGAAAATATAGCTAGTTTAAAGATATTAAGTCTGATATCTAACAGTTCTCTTGCTTCAGTTGCTTTTAATCTGCTTTTAATGAAAATTCTGGAGATTTTCAGTAGACCCAGCTTGATAGGTAGTCACTACCTATTTCAATTAATATATGAAAATAATATAACTTAGCATCAAATGTGGTATAACAACTGCCTAAAATAGACAAAACACTTCTTGACGTTTCGACCTGAGGGCCTTCGTCAGGACTCAGGAGAGTTAGTAGGAATGAAAGCCCCTTATGAATGAAAAAATAAAAAAATAAAAAGATAAATTTTTATGTATATCTATCACACATAAAAATGAGATAATGTTATTTCAAAATTCAAACGACGTGTTAAGTTATGAAGGGGACTACTTACTCACTTAACAGATCGGAGAACGATGATTTCCTTAGAATGAGGAATGTCAAAAAAAGCATGTAGCAATCCAAGTTAATTGCACATTTTTTATTAGTAGTCTGTAAGGAAGTTTTTACGAGGAAAATTTGTTGAATATTGGTAATTTAGGTAATTAGTTCATTGACGACATTAAATTAAGTAGAGAGACATTCCTTCCCAAAGACAATCATTTAGTTACAGGTAAATCTAGAGCCTTAGAAGTTGTGTAGCGAGAGTTGATAGGGATACAGAGTGTGAAATTACTATATAATCAAAAGAAAACAAAAATTGTGAAGTGAATTGTGAATAGCGTTGCGATCACTCTACATTTCCAACATATTAACAAAAATATATAAAATTACAATGCTTATTTTATATTATATTTTGATATAGGTAATTGGAACCATATTTTAGTTCTCATTGTTTAATTTGTGATAAATTGTATAAAAGGTTAGGTTTTTGTGGAGAAAAAAAGGGGAAAGTCATGAGTAACTTATGTAAAAAATTTTTTGTAAATTAGGGGCGTAACCAATAAACAGAGGGGGTAGTTAGTAGGTTGTTGGACAACCACTAACCATGCGGTTCGTATGAAAATGAAAGGGTTTTATTCGTGTGTGATGAAACTCTTTAACCCTATTTATACCGGGGGTTTGCACGGGGGTGCGTGCAAACAAGTGATTCCATTCGCTTGCCCTTTTATGACTTTTAATATTTTTCCTCTACCATATCACAAGTGTGAAAATTTTGTTTGAAAAGTTCAAAGTTATCGGGGCGTTTGACGACATTTGTCAAACAAGGTGTCGAGCCGAAAATGGGGAAAATGGGGGTTGGTGATTTATGAAAAAGAAAAATGGTAGTATTTAGGACATCAGAGGTATGCCATAACATTAAACTATGTCGTTGAATTTAAAAAAACAAAAAATAACACATCAAAATGTTTAATTTTGTACCTTCATAGAAAAGAACCAAAATCATAGAATATTTAGAGATTTTTGCCATTTTTCGATAGGTGGTCGTATCGAATGGGGCCAAAACGCAGCATTTTGGATGTGAATTCAACTTTTTTGTTATTTTAGGTTAAAGAGAGATAAAACTTCCTAAAAATATAACTAAAAGGATAATTTCAGGTAATCGACAGAATATCTGAGGGGTGTGCCCTATCAGCAAACCCCCGGTCATATCAACATCAAAAAACCCCGGTACAAATAGGGTTAAGAAACTATGTAGGTACGTGTGTAGTAATAGGTTGTGTTTTTTGGCGATGTTTGAAATCAAAGGTATGCAAGGAGGTAGTTACAAAAGGATAACAGAAGACAAGATAGTCGAGCGTGCGAATCAGTGATCCTTCAACCCGTGTGTTGAGCCTTTAGGCTGGAAATTTAGGACGAGAAACTTATCTGTGACCGAATTCACATCAGACGAGTTTCCAGGCTCTAATATGAATTATGAATAGGCCCCGAACTAGGGCATGAGTAGTTGAATCAGGCCTTTATATAGGCGCTGTTTATATTATCTCGGATATCCAGGTAAATTTGTGTTCATAATCAGTTGTAGCAGCTGAAACGCAAGTGTTTATATTAGGAAGTTTTAAACTCGTCTCGGCTGGTTGGGTCAACGTGGGTGTGACACGCTGTTTACGAAAAAGAGTAACCCTAGTGGTAGGGAGAACCATGTAGCCTTATCGGCCACCGTATTACACTGTCTCGGCCTCCAGGGTTAACTTTTCCTGCCGGTGCGTGCGCAATAGCGAATAGAGCATTGATTAAGAAGACACTATCGCTTGCTATTTGTTTGCAATTTTATCATATAAAGGGTTGGCTTGGTATAGTTGTCTTGGGAGTATGATGTCCCCGATACACGCGATCAGATAAACAGCGCCCTAGTCTTTGACTTGTAAAGCAGTATTTCAGATAGGTAGACCGTAGACACTGAGAGCCATGCGAAGGTTTGCAGGTATTGTTCAGTTTAGGCCACTAAATAAATACTTCTATGATGAGAGAACATGCATTGGAAGTATATGCGACTATCCTGATACGGTTCCAATAAAATAGTAATAGCAATAATAAAATGCCAACATCAACTAAGTCTAAGATGTCTACAAGACGACGACACAAGACAATAATAAAACGCATTCTGTTGGATTACTAACGCGGTAATATTCACATTGACGTTTATATTAGCTAAAATTAAACAGAGCATCTTAGTCCTATTTCAACTTTCTAACTCCAGTTATTAAACGTGCCAAACATCTTTGGTCTATAATTGTAAACGAACTAACACGGCTGTTTGTCGCGTCCGATAACCGCATTACCGCAGGAGAAACGCAAGTGACAAATAAGGCTATATACACCATATATGGCAGGGGCTCTCTCGTGTAATTGGGGTCTTTTTATGAGGGGTCAGCACTGCCAAGTATAGTAGTCACTTTTTGCACCCAAAGTTCTTACTCCAGATATATGTGGAGCTCACTGGGCCTACTCTAGATCTGGAACGAGATTGCGAATTGAGGAACCCTGGAACGAGAATCCGATCATTTCTACGGCGGAATGACGGCGGCTTTTGGCATTACGAGTCGGGTGTGGAATGTCGCATATTTTAAAACAATTATTCTCAAATATTTCTGTCAACAAAAAAATCGCTTGGTTTTCCAGTGAAGAGTTGGTTATTTTAGTCCATTTTGGTTCCCCAAAATGCGCTCGTGTTCATGAAGATACCATATTAAAATTTCGCGAACATTTTGGAGTCAATTTTTCAAGAAGTGACAAAAAAACTTGGTGTGTTGAAATCATATAAATACAATCTTCGTCGAAAGTCAAAATATGGCAGACAAAAGTCGAATATTGAAATGGTCGCTGTTCGCTTTTACTGTAGTTTTTTGGGTAGGTTTTGCTTTGTCAAATTTGTAATGAGTTATCTTTTATTGACTTATCATACGCATTTCGTATTTGGATTCTGTTCACGCAATATTATAAAGGAATATTGTGGCTTACGTATCAAATATACCAATAAAAATGTGCATGTAGTTTTCCTGATACAATTGACTTGACTTTAGTGTAGAAAATATAAAGTCGGTCTGAATGAGACACTGTACACTTGCAGTGGTGTTCAATATATTCTTTAAAATAGGCAACATTTTACAGTTTCATGCAGTGGATTTGTTCTTCGAAAGCGTAGTTTTTAATTTTTGTACAAATGAGCAAACTTTGCCGTTGTGTTGCCAAAGCTCAGGCTGTAGCCTCTCAAGTTAAGGGAGTTAACATATAGATATATATCTAGTGCCCTACCCTGACAAGAAGCATGGTTCTTAAACTTTCTGAACTTTTATGGGATAATATACTGTAATACGTTGAGAGTCAAGCAGGTACAAAGAGAATATAATGGTGTAATTATATGCAGGAATGCTCTGAATCAAAGACTTTGCTAAGTCAGTTTTTCATAAGTCATTTTTATAAGTGCTCTCCCTTTTGGCATTCATGCTATTATGGGCAGTTTGTTATACAATGTTTAGTGAAAGGCTTCCATAAAGAGTACTTTAAAACTAATGGAGAGCTCATCCTAGTGACCTAGTCTATATGTCATAGTTTAGACATTTTAGACTGTTTTCTAAATATTTTTTTTTTATATTTTAGACAATTGGAGGCCTGATGATGGGTGTTGGCTTCTATTCAGTGACACAAAAAAATGAGTACACAGAGTTTACAAGTACTTCAACTGATCCTGGTGCTCTAATTGTTGCCGTTGGGTTTATTATATTCTTTGTCTCTTTTGCTGGAACCATTGGAGCCCTTCGTGAAAATACAACTTTACTGAGGATTGTATGAAACTCCAGATTATATACAAAATAAAAACCTACATTGCTTTGTCAGTTTTATTAAATTCATTTCATTTAGTTGTCGGTCTTAACTATCATTCAAACCACCCAAACCTACATTAGAGTTGTGGTGTTAATATATTATATTAATTTATAACCATTCTTTTTCATGATTTTGTTCCTCAGTATGAAGTGTTTATTATGATTGTTGTCATACTTCAATTCATTGGTGGAATCCTTGGTTTTGCATTTTGGCCTGAGGTAAAATTAGACATCTGACATATTTAGTGATATATTACCCTTGATCTAGAGAGGTTAAAGAAGTACTGGTGGGGTAGGATAGGTTTGATTGAAATTTAGTATTCAAAATCATTCCCCACATTAGCAAATATATAATCCTGTATTTGGTGTTTTTTCATCAGGTTAAAGAAAGTCTGGATACACAAATAAAGAAAATGATCACAAAATATCCTTATGATGTGGACCTCAAGAATGCTATAGATCTTGTGCAAGAGAGGGTAGGTGCAACTGTCCAGAGGGTGTTGTATGTATCAATGGCGGAAAGTCCAGTTTGTATTATAAAGTCTGTAGCCCAATATTTCACTGCCCAATATATGCTATGATCTGTTAGAAGGCATCTATGATAGAATTATAGATATAGGTAAAAATTTGCATATATGTCAGTGATAATAGTGAAGTATTCAGTTAATGTGTACATCAGTATGGGCATTATCTATAAATTAAAAAGATTGGTGACAGAAGAAAAAAGACATATGCCTTTAAAGTGGAATCTTTGTGAAAACTTGAATGCTCCCCATTGCTATGCTGGACCTAAAAATAGTATCCATGTACTTTGAGTACAAATAGAATCAGTTTCAATCGGTTTCAAATGCATTAGTAGCCTGTATTTTATACTCCAGCAGAATCAGCATTTAAGTTGAGTCAATAGGGAATTTTTAATATAGACATGTTCTATGTAAAAGTACACAGCATTTTGTCATCATTTACATCATCAACCTTTTCCTCTGTAGTTGGAATGTTGTGGAAGTATGAACTATAATGATTGGGATCTCAACCGTTACTACCGTTGCTATGTGAATCCCCCCAAACCCATTCAACATTGCAGCGTGCCTTTCTCATGTTGTCACATAAAGGAAAAGGTATGTTCTCAGTTTAACCACCTCAGACATGACCAAAAATATGGCATCGTGCACATTTAACACAAGTCACAAAGCATGGCTGGAAATTGGTTCTAAAGAAAGACAGTTCTGCCTTCGTTTACGTTATTTGAAATTATTTTTTAAATTAATGTATCATCATGGTAAAATGCGCTAGTAAAGTAATCAACTACATCAAGCAATTTTAATTCTTATAATGTTCCATCCTAATTTCCATAGCATAATCCTTAACCATAAAAATCACATAAGATTTTATTTTTTACAGCAAAGACTAAACTATCAATGTGGTTATCAGATGCGATCTGCAAACGTCCATGTGAGAAGATAACAATGATTTTTGAAATTTTCCTTCATATTATTTAAAGCCATTAAAATCTCTTAAAATCATATAAATTCATGTTCTTTCCACCATAGAGATTGAAAGCAAAGGAGACCATATACACTCGCGGATGTTTAAACATGTTGGAGAATTACTTTAAAGATAACCTTGTCCTTGTTGCAGCCGTCGCTATTGCCTTCCTTGTGCCCGAGGTACATTCGAGTTACAATATTCTGTTTAATCAGATTTCTGCAACAGTAGACACATAGTGTGAAGGCTGAAATCACAGACACCTTTAAAAACCCCTGCGTGGGGACGCCCTTAGACTTTAAAAGATTCTCATTCCCCACTTTCTTAGGGAATTCCATTATTAGGGAATTAGGAAATGGACAATCTATGCCTGCCTCGATGGCTTTTTCACGCGTTTTACAGTAGTCACTCGCCTGATTTACCTGATTTACCTAAATATCACCAGTTCGAACCGTCTTGACATAGTAGCTCAGTTGGAAGTGCATTGGAGTAGCAAACCAACAGTTGCTGTTCGATTCCCACTTCGATTATAATGCAACCCGCCTCCCTTATGCAACCCCGCTGCCTTGAACTCGGATCCATCCGCGCCCATGCCAGTTAGAAAGAGTCATCGACATTCGCTTGATATTTTTTTTCACCAGGTTGTTGGCATAGTTCTCACGCACTTGTATATCAACGACATAAAAGATCGTATCGAGAAAATATATGAAACCGACAACTTTGGTACCCGGGCCCCAAAACCAGCTGGTCCGTCGCAGGCAACTGGATATTTGTAGATCCACGTGCTTCTACTTGTTGGTGACACAGCGCCTGACTATACCAGTCATCTTAGAAACTTCAGTGTGCACTATTATATAATTTTGTCTTAGCTTTCATTTTTCTATTTGAATTATAGATAGATACAGGCAGTGAATTGCAGTATGTTACCCGGTATAAGAGGAACTTACTGTTGTCTGTAGCTAAGGCTTATACTTGTTTAAAGCTGAAACCGTACAGCGCATGATTTTTGCTTCGTGAATCTTGATTAGATTGCAGTGTTTTTGTCATTTGGAATACGGCTTGAAGTAGCCTTGAGCATGCTTGTTTCAACGTTCTACGATATCAAATATGTTTGGTGTAATATACTTTAATCGACATATGTAACGTGCTTACTCATATCGCAAGTGTGTTTACCCGCATGATAAATGTTATGATATGTGCAATTCTATATCGCTACTTTCGTAATCAAGTGTAATATATTCGTATTATCTTTTGTACTTTATTATACGAGGAATAATTTTTTGTGGTGTAACATATTTTTCGCTCAACCTTCATCCTATAATCACCGTATAAAGGATATAGGGCGAATAGGTACAAGACCCTGGGTACGAGGTTGCGAATAACTAACCTTTTTGCCTCAAAGCTAAAGGCTACTGCAAATTCAGCGACCTGTTTATCACTGGTTTCAGGAAAAATTGCCCGATTTTCGAATAAAAGTTGCGCTATTTATCACCAAGTTTGTATGGGGGCTGCATCCGCCGCTACCCCCAACGCGCATGGGGCATACTCGGAGTACTCTCAAAATATTTCGACTATAGTGGACTACTGTTTGTTCCTTATAGTCGCGTCTTACAGTCGTAACATCAACTTTTGTGATGCAGAGATTATTCTAAGGTGCAATGATAACCGGTATACCTGTAGTGATAATAAGATTTGTGATGAAGTAGTGATAAAATGTGGCATTTATTATATATTATATAACATTCGCCACGTGTGTATATATATTACTATTGCGTAATTTGGCCGCATGTGATTAATCAATTACGTAAAATTTAAGTTGCTAATCAGTACATGAACCCATACAGGACAGTCAGAGCTTTTGTAAAACAAGGCTGCGTTTACATAAATTTTACCATTTCTTCGGCTTTAGTGCAGTGATAAGATTTCTTAAGAATAATCCCTGTTTTGCCGGATCTCTGAACCAAACATCTTCATTTATACCGGAGAACTCAAGAATAGGAACATACAGAACAAATTATACAGAGATGTGAAATACGATGTAAATTCACATTAGAAAATGAACAAATTTGGAAAACTTCGATGTGTAAACTATGAGCTATATCGCTGAACGATACTGACGCTAAATGGTCTTGGCATCCGTCCTTGGAGAATATCCAGTGGGGATAACTTAACATCATCGGGTGGTAAATTTCTTCTTAGCCATCGAGGCCAACGAGAGACGAGCGAATGCACTAAAGTTTTTGGGAATGTGTTCACCGCATGGTTAACGGGCATATTGATCCATAATAGAGATCGGAAATTCTCTTTCTCTTGCAAAAATTCTTGAAACCGTTCGACCGTCTCAACGGTTAGATTGTTGCCTGTGAGTTCTGTAAGGTAAATGAGTATGCGTCTTTCAACAATGGAAGATTCTGTACCCCCATTTACACTACGCGCGCAATTTTAGTTTTGGTATATACGGATGAAATTCGGACCATCTATTTTGGTAGTCCAAATTTCATCATTCTCAATTTTATCCGTATGTACCAAAACTGAAATTGAACATGCATAGTGCATGTAAACAGACAAAATTGGCACAGTTTACGGTACCGTACCATTTTTCGGTAACGTACCAAAAATTGTTCGTTGTGTGTATGGGTCTTCTGTGTATATGGTTTGCATTCAGTTAATATTTCTGCATTTTCATAAGTGGTGGTATACTACCATGCAGGGGCCGATTGTATGAAAGTCGAATAGCGCTATCCACCGAATAGTGTTTTTTTCAATCGCTTCAAAATCGCCCGTTATTTGCCACAACTTTGATTAAATCTCAGTATTCCTAAATCGAGGATCCTCTTTAATAATTGTTGCTTTCAAGTTAAAATTTTATCGCTTTTCGAGCATTTTTAGAACGGTTGAAAAAATCACTATCCGGTGGATAGCGCTATCCGACTTTGATACAACCGGCCCCAGATAGTGATTTTTCAACCGTTCTAAAAATGCCCGAAAAGCCTTAAAATTTCTTCTTTGGAACCAACAATTATTAAAGCCTCGATTTAGGAATACTAATATTTAATCAAAGTTACAACGGGCAATTTTAAAGCGATTGAAAAAATCACTATCACCTGGTGGATACGGCGCTATCCGGCTTTCATACAACCGTCCCCTGATGGGTACGGCAACTTTATACATACTTTATACAGTGGCTAGAACGATCATGGGTACATATATGAATGAAACATATATGAATATACCGGCACAAATACACCCCCCCCCCCCAATTGTCGTTCTAGCGGCGCCCCTGACTTTATACAATTTTATACGACAACTTGATATACAGGTTTGCGAAAACGGGGAATTATTCCATGCTCTACAGCTGTGAACAATATTATTGATACAATCAGGAAAGTGAGGAAACATATACTGTGCACGGTTCATAAAAACAAGGCTATATAAACAATCATGTGCATGTGCTGTACTCTACGAATATAGTGTTATCAAGTTGCAGCAATTTGTTAGGATTCAGCTGTGCAGACAGTGCAGTAAAACATTGTTTTAATTTGTTTAGTCTTGTACTCTTATTTTCATCAACCGGCAATTTGAGCGTTTTTAGTCGTGTACCTAGGTATAATAAATCAGGTAACTTGGCCAGAACTTTTAGTAAGATCCCCATCGTCCTGTCGTCAATCTGACAGTATTGCAACTCGACTTTCTTCAAGTTATGACAGGTCCTCAAAATTCGATAACAACTTTTCAAGTTCTCAGGCAAGAGAAGATTACAGTTGTAGAGTTTAAAGCTTTGTCTGTCTGTTTTCTTTATCATCTTTAACGTGATCATGTTTTCGTGGTCGATTTGGGCCAATATCTCGTCGTCTGTTGGCAAAGCCCACATTTGTCTGAGACGTGAACAAAGACTTTTTATTTGTCGTAATTTATTTTCACTGATCGCTTCTTCTAACCTGTAAGGGGAAAAATTCAACTTCTGTCATATCTGAAATATCCTTTGTTCGCAAATATGTACAGGGCATGGTCTAAGTCTTTGGCAGTTAAAACGTCTAGTATAATTAGACCCGTTTCCAAACACCGGATTTTTTGCCGTATTTCAGCGCAAGCATGCAATTATATATTTAGGCTAATTTGGCTACTATATATTTAAGGCTTTTATGCATTCGGTAAAATACGGCGTGTGAAAAGTGCCATATATTTATTTTCAACCATATAGTATTGCAAGAATTAGATGACATCTTAAACAGGCTTGTAGATAATTGTTTTAACTTGTTTAACTTGTTTTTATCGAAATATTTTCCATGTAAGGAAAGTGTATTATTTGGCCTCAGTTACCTGTATGGAAATACGCTCAATGTTACAAGAGCGAGTGAAACACCGGAATATATCCAAACGCGAGAAAACAATGAAAATGATTGAATGAAAAGTGTCCATGTTTTTGTGGCTTTTGTTGATTGTTTCTCCGTGAAACACTTGCTCTTGTGTTCATATGGTTTTTCAAATGAATCGAGAGTCGAGACAAAGGTTTCCGGAAGGTAATTTGAATAGAATTTCTAACCATGTGGAACTATAGTAGGAATCCATAAGGATACAGATTGCGCAATTGAAGTGGGTTTTGTACGATGTATAGATAATGATATAATTGTTCGTGTTAAGTTATAATTAAAGATATTTCAATTTGAGTGTGATTTGTTTGCTGACCTGATTTTACATACGCAATTAAGATATCTGATAAGAACACTATGGTGATTTTTATCAAATATTTTAATTACGTATGCAGTTAACCTCTTTTGTGTTTGATCACGGTATCCAAACGGCATTTTTTTGAGAAATACAATCTATGCATTTTCCGTAGAACTAAAGGCCATGTTACACGGTGCAAGTTTTCTTGCAACTTGCAATGCAATTCTACTTCTAAGAGATGTAAATTAGTAAAGAGTCTTGCAGAAGAAGAGCGCATGAAGTGTAATAAACACAAAAGTTTCGTTGTTCCCAAATATACATCTCTCAAAAGTAGAATTGCGTTGCAAGTTGCAAGAAAAATTGTACCGTGTAACAGGGCCTTAAATTAAATTAAATGAACTAAATCGAACTGAGTTAAACTGCGTGGGTTTAAAATATTCATTTCTCACCTATGAATTTCTAAATGAGCGTGGCGCTCCAATACATAATGTTCGTCGGTCAGCTGGTTCGGAAGCTGTAGGAAATGTCTTTTCTTAGATGTTAAATCGACTTCCATGATCTTTTTTAACTATATTCCAAGGGAGATTCCAAGTGATACTGAGCTATATGGTCAGTAAAATCTGTGGAAAGACGAGTTAAGGCCCATCTACACGATACGATGGGTCGTATACGATTTTTACCCTGACGTATATGACAAAATAAACACGCGCAAAAAAGTTCGATTTTAAATTTCGCTATCAGCGAATGAACAAAAATGTGGCATCAGCACTTTTTATTACACTCCATGGCGTTTCTTACATTTACATGTTGAGAACTTTTCACTAATTTACATGGCTTAAAAGTAGAATTGCATTGCCAGTTGCAAGAAAAATTAGACCGTATAAGATGGCCTTAGCACTGGGCCTTAGTTGCCCAATCCCAATCTATACTATACATGTACAGAATTTGCATCGGAAAATGTTCTTTTTTCAATAATTTTCACCTAGTATTATTAACTTGAATTTTAAACGTGCAGGCTCCTAACTAGGGAATGAATTACCGTGCAGGTTTCCAACTAGGAAATGAACGCCGGGCTTGAAGCTAATGTGCTACATACCGGGGGAAAAACGCGATAGACTTGCTATACTAATAGTCCCACCTCTCTTAGTTTCTTTTTAGCATCAAAGAATCTTCTTTCTTCGGTAAGCCTAGAAATATTGTTCACCAGGTACAACCTGTATTCATATGGTGCCAAACTGTCGACTTTAACAGAGGAACGCTTACAGCACGACATATTTAGCATAAAAATCTCAATGAATAAATCGCGTGCGTTATAACGAAATCAATATCCTATGACATCACTATATTAGTTCGTACCAGTTCGTACGTATTGAGAAGAATTTTCACTGAGAGCCCGCGAAGCTACGTGCACACGGGGAAGCGTTTTTGATTCGTGTTGTCACGCAAAAAGCCGGATGTAAATACAATCGATTTTCCGCATTTGGCTCAGTCACGCTGGTTCAACATATCGGAAATATTCCATAAAAATGTGCATGCTTAAGTTCATGCAAAACCGTCAAATTTTCCATCCTTGCGAACATGCACCAGCCTAGCCTGAAATAGCTGAGACAGGGGCTTTGATAGGCAGACAGCAGTATTTTCCATAAAATATATTTTTGGACCACCTATTCTTTACCTCCCTATACTTTATATAAGAGCCGGAAAACACTAACCGTCGCAGAAACATCATACCCGGAAGCATTCCGGGTTTCGGCCTGATTACCATACCCCTCTCCATTCCAGACATGCACTGATATTTACGTATACTATTCGATACACGAATCATTCAATCTTGCCAATTGAAATCGATTTAATTGAGGAGCAGTACCAGTTCAATATAGTTCAGTGATGTTCTTTCAAGGGCAAGCTATATATCGAATTGAGCATGCAGCTATATAGCCAAAATTTTAAACTGACTCATTTGCATTAGTCTTTAAAAAGAAACAGCTGAAAAAGCAGAAGAAATTCATTAATTCCCTTTGTTAATATATGCAGCCAAATGTCAACCAAAACCAAAAGGAATCGTTCAATATTGCGACACCAGACTATCGCTTCAATGCATGTAACCTTATTTAAACTTCAAATTAATGCTATTCTATTCATGTTTATTTCGAAACGTAAAATTTTCTTGTGATTTATTCCGGGCAATATATTATGCTGACAGGGAAATTAAAATTTCGCATTGTCCTAATTACAGCTGGCCGTAATCCTCTCCATAGACCATACGTTTTTTGTAGATTCAGACGCTAATTTCAGGTCTCCTTCGAATGATCATTTGTTAGTAAAAATGTTATGCTCCGGGCCAAACCCTTCCTCTAAACAACTCAGTCATAAAGTCATTGTTTTTGAGAAATCGACGGGGGCACAAAGTGTTGAATAATAAAGCCTGTGAACGTTCAGTTTTTAATCATCTTCGTGCAACCTAATATAAATTTACCAAGGGCAACAAGTTCCATACAGGAAGTCAGGAACCACCTGTTTCAGAAACGTCCCTGCTTGCATGTCCTTGGCACCTTGGCAAATAGTTAAATTCTATATTGCTTTATTGAAAACATTAAGCCGGCCACTTCAGAAGAGTTTATCGAAACGAAATTCAGAGAACCTGATCAATGATTTCACCAATGCTATGGCACTTCGTCATTCAATTCAAATTATCGCCCGTGTCCCGACGAATTGCTTTCCTGAACAATATTGTCATTACTGCATATTTCATATTAAACGAATGTATTTGAATTGTTAATATAGTCAAAACAGGTATATTCGACATAAAGTTCGTTGACATTATAAACTTTGAGCAACTTTTCAGTTGACGGTAGTCGGTATATCGCTTTAGAATACGAAAAGTAGTACAATGTTGAGCGGAACACGGCTCAGGAGCAACAGGGCGAAGCGAGCCCAAAAGTATACGAACGAGGAAGCTGAATCGACGCTAATTGATGCAGAATCCATCCGTCTGTTTGTCGAAAATTCGCCAAGCGTTTTACCTGGAGGGACTGGACAAAATGTGAACAAAGAAAGATTTGAAAAACACAGCACAAGTGTTAGTGAGGGCAAGAAAAACACGATGCTTTTAGAAGGCGGGCAATGGACAATGAACCAAGCATTGGATATTTTGAGAGACGGACAACCGACTCAGGATACTTCAAATTCGTTTATGCGCTCGCCACGCAAGGTTAAAGATCCATCGTATCTAATAGAGGACAGGGAACCATGTTTTTATCCTGAAATTATGACGCCTGCGGTATCAATTTCATCGTTTGATCGTGAACGTGACGGCGATTTGTTTGGTACAAGGTTGGCAGGTAACTCGAACAAGAGGAATAAAAGCATAAAGAAAGTTGAAAATCGACATGGAAACAGCTTATCACAAAGATCAGAAGAATGGGATTTGTGCAATGACGAGAATGGCTATGTATCAAAGTTCGACCTCAATGGGTCAGTTAGGCAGAGTGTCCGGATTCATAATGACCGGAGCAGAGCTGAAGCAGGAAATCGATCATCTTCTAATTGCGCAGAGCATCTGGTTTTTTCGGATATCTTTAGAGAAAGGATTAAAAAAACAACGTCTTGTCCCAACGAGTTTGAAAGTGGACTTCAATCAGGCTTAAACAGGGCACGAAAATCGCCACGGCATTGTCGTTTAGAAAGAAATGGGAAAGGTAATCATTCGGATAGTGTCTTGTTTACCGACATTAGGTTTTCTGATGAGGAACTCCCGGCAAAAAATACTCAACGAGAGTTTCCCTGGGGTAAAGATAACCCTGGAGAATTGAAACTATGTACTGAAGATACCCTACGAAATAAACCCCTAGGTAAAGATGCCTATCAAGATTCACATGCAGGGGAAAGGCCTACCGGTGGTTTGTACCCAAATAGAAATAGCCTTCGACATTTGTCTTCGGGGGAGTGTACAATGGATAATCTGTACACGGGAAAGGATACCTCAGGAAACAAAGAAGCGGAACAAGACCCTCCAGTGGAGGACCAGTTAGAACTAATGGAAGATAGTAAAGATTTAGTAGATGAACTAAACAAGTCAGGAGGGAATGAATTTACTGATACACAGGGACAACGAAGTTTTGTTTGTTTGGTTGATCAGCTTACCGACTTACGTGTTCGACAAAAGTTTGATAGCCATTTTGCTAGCAAGCGTCGTCAGGCCGTGTGCGAGGAGCTGGAAAAGGCCTGCATCTGGAACAACAAATGCCTTTACGAACATAGAAGAGATTTAAATGTTAGAACCGCTTTGACTAATATGTTTATGTAGACTTTGCGGTCGATCTTTTGACCGCGATGTGAGAATGGACTTATTGTGGATTCATTTCAAAATCAATGCCTTGCCATTCTGTTTCAGTACCTTCATTAAAATTGTTATTAATAAATCGATATCCAACAATGAACAACAACCCATGTTTTTAAGGTCCAAGACGCAACCTAGATCTTCAACCTAGATCTAGTTCTGTAGAACTGAATTTACCAGGGGGGCTCTTTTGAAGGGTGAACTGTGATGCGGTGAAATCGTAAAAAAAGAGAGGCGTCATCGCATGACGTCAAAGATACTAGATCTCTTACAATAGCGAATTCAAAGCGGACGTGACATGAAAACTGCCACTAGTGTTATTTTTTGTTACACACGCCTCTGACTTTGTTTATCAAAAGGAGCCTATAATTTCTATCCCTGATGGGAAACTTTTGGAGATTAGAATAGTAGTACTTCACGTCTGTGTCATAGTCTTGATGCTAACTCCCGCGACTATTCACTTTAATAGATGACATGATACGTCACGTGGCATGCTATTACTGACCAAGTTCAGTACTGACCGCGAATGGTCGTAAACGTTCATTGTACGTTATCACTGTACGTTATGGCAGGATCGCTATTTACGACGTGATTTTTCATTTTTACCCACCCCCTGGTTGGTTTAGGTTAGGGAGTGGGACCACAAACCACTTGGCTTCCTAACAATGAAAACGTTCTGTAGTGGGATGTCACGGTATGATGTAAGCATGACGACAGCACATTAAAATTTTAGCTGACTTCCGGTTGCCATGCGCTGAGACGGCCCTTCTAAGACTAAAATCGTACGAGACGTTTATGATATGACATATAAAGTATCACATATCTGATTAGTACAGTTTCGTATTCTAAAAGCAATGTTGCGAATTAGGCGCTAACACGCGTATATTTCCGAATTACAAGTCTTCACGTTTAGTATTAATAACGCGTAAATATTTTAGGCTGAATGTGCTATCTTTCCCACATCTTTGATATATGCCGATTTGCGAGTTGCGAAATGCGTTCGATGTCAACTTTTTTGCATGTCAACTTTGTATATATGCACAATAGATTGCAAGTCAGAATTAATGCTAGCCAATCAGAGCAGCGTATTTAACACTCATAACAAAGAGGGCAAAAGGCCTCTTTGTCAACGCGAGTACATACTAATATTTATGATTACGCCTACGTTAGTTTTCCACAAATTTGCACGAAATTTTCTTGCCTGCGTGATGGTTGAAACCTGTCTGTCGAAACTAGTATGCTAGCTATGGATTTAAACGAAGTATTAATACGATAAAACGGTGATAGAGATCGTGTATAATTCGAGAGGCGGTCTGTATTTTCCCTTTGCGTCTTATATATAAGTTTTGATTGACACGAACAGCCCCGAGTTGAAATCCGGCGATTCTGATTGGTTGGCTTACCAGGGGGCAAATTATTATGGAGTTGCATGTGTGTCGCGTATTTGAATGAAGACTCGAACATAGATGTAAACTTTAAAATTTCACTGCGATTTTTGTTTGGAAACAAATCAAAGGGATTAAATGTGGTACTGGAAGAAGATTTATTGAAATTCTAACGTCCTGTTCAAGCGTTGAACCAGCCGAAGAGGAATAATAATTGAGTTTATAAACGATACAAGTTCGGACGAGTTACATTGGTTCGCTTTTGTGTGCTGTTTACGGGAATTGTTGTCTAGAACGGTGCTTTCTTGGGGAATTTTAAACGTCTTTAACCGCTGTGAGTGAGGGCTTGAACCGGTAAGCGATACAGTTATATTACTGGTTTATGTTTTGTCTTGTTAAGCGGCAAATAGCGCCTTCAATTTAATATAAAGTTTGGTCTTTGCTGGCCCGGATATTGTGGCCACTGAAGCGAATTATTGCTGAACTAAACTGTAGAGTAGTGCCGTATTTTTTATCTGTGGCCTTCGCTAATTGTAGGGTTAACTCAGTATTTATATAAGTTAGTTATCATTGTCCTTATTTATTACTTACCGTTGCCCTAACATCACAAGGATTACACCAATTTTTGTTTATAAATTTTCGTACAAATAGTGAACCGGGTAATAATACCCCGTATATGTGAATTAACAGTGTATTTCTTTTAAATATAAGTAAATAAATCCCCTGGGGGATTGTGTATGGTCTTTATGACTGCCCTAGCCCGTTCTTAACCTATTTATTCACTATATTTCAACAAATAGTGTTCGGTGTTTAACGATGTAACACGAAAAATGCCCAAAAATGTTTACGCTGTTTACATTTTACCGCGAACATGTTTTGTATATGGCGATGGTAGCTTATTGTACTCAGAAGACTAACATTTCGCCAATTTTGAGTGAAACAAATGCAATTAGCTTTGTTTGTGTTGAAATAGAGTATTTATGGTTAGTTTACTGTTGATATATGCTCAAATCGAGTGTGAAATTTATGTGTATGTGTGTTATTCGCGTTTGTAGCAGCACGCTCACAATGCATTCGATCATTTCATCTCTTCAGCTGAGGTTCGAAATTTCGGCAGTGAATTTCTATTAGCTTACAGATTATACTGCATTTATCTAGCTTAAAAAGCGCTTAGATTTTAAACGTTTATGCATTTACCGCATGAAAGCAAAACGGCGTTTTCGGTATTGACCGTATGGTGTAGTTTCTATAAATGTATTTTCGATGCCTCGTCTCAACGCCAATCTTGCTGTGCTAATTTTCACTTGCATGAACCGGCTATGCGGACAATTTTGCAAGCAAATCAGTCGAGCATATATTTATATATGTATATACACGGGTTCTTGCTAACTATATATTAATTCTCCATTGAAAAATGCCAGGAATACGAGATTGCGCTTTGTGTTTGAAGTGTCAGGCGGAGCATAATATTACACTATATGCTATTTTATGTACAAACTCTTGCATTTTTTCGATGGATTGCCATATAGTTTCAAAATTTAATAGTACGTATATATTTAACATACAAGCATTTTGATTTCCAATTCGCAAATTCCCTCCTACAGGAATCAAAAAATAACTTTATAAAACAAGGCAATATGCAAGGTATATTTTCATCATTTTTTACACACAGCTGCTGCACTTTGTGCTCGGATTTTTACCAACAAACTTTTGTACATAGGGCCCTAAACTCGTCCATAATTATTTGTAAATATACTTAGAATTTTTGCCCCATAAATTGGCCCACTTTAACATAAAAATGTGTGTTGAAAGTTCCATATATAATGTTTAGTTGAGTATTTCTTGCTCGCGACCACGAATTGCTGTGGTCAATAGCCCAAACAAGCCTATTTTTTGCTCCATTACACGAGACCTGCTGTACTATTGAATCGAAAAAAAGATCGTTCAAACGTTCGCATTCGCGCTTAATTACGATTTGCGAGCTTAAATTTCTGAAATTTCTCTCCTATAATTTGTTGGCTCTCAAAATGTGTAAAAAATACCAAGAAATATGAAAGAGAATTTTTGCAATTTCCTGTTTAGATGACACGCTGCGCCGTAGTAACCAATCAAGAAGCTTGTTCCCTCTGTTTTATACAATTAAGGCTATCTTGTTACGCTTTACTGTCAATCACGCAGAATTTATTAAGAAAGACTATTTAATATACACTAAATACAATTAGCAATAATACTATTACATTACAACATTGTATGGCGCATTTGGTATGTGCTACAATTAAACTTGATCCATATCATAATAGCAATGTTTATGAGTAGTAAGCAATAATAATATGTTTACTGTGTAAGGATATCAATTCAACACTTAGAAACTACTATTATTTTTCTAGTGTTACTAAGGGTTACATATTTTTACATGGGTAGACATGGTATTCAGTACAGATTTTTCAAGTGAAGTATTTGTTGGATTGTTTACTTTGGCAGGCATGTTTGGTTTTGGGATAGATAGTTTACCACCATAAAATTAACGACAGCTATTTTAGATTTCTTTTATCAGTGCTGTAAGCAGTATTCTCTGCGGTGTTGCCACGGGCTTTGTATACCTGAAAAGGTAAACACTGTAAATTTGATGTGCTTTGCAAAGGCGTTTTGTCAAGAGCCTAAGAGGTACAATCTTTTTTCACTAGAATGTATGGATACATTCATAATGACACTAATAGGCTAACATTATGAGTCATGAACCCTATTAATACTTGTTTTCATGCACAAACCCTCCCCGAGAGGAAAATTAAAATACTGCAATGTGAAACTATCACTCAAAGTTATACTGTCAGTATTGAGCTCTTACAATTGTACCTTCTAATTGATTGCTAAATAGAATAAGTAATTTCAATTTGTGGGCTAAACTCTAATCCCAAATGGGTAAAAATGCAATTGTTTTGCTGTTCTATGTTTTTCTCAATTTTTTTTCGTACATAAAGGAAAAATAAAAAGGGTTGAGTATGAAAGGGTAAGGATGATTCACAGCAGCTTCAAATAGGCACTCTGCATTTTGGAAGCAACTTGAGTTTTCCTGTGTTGATGGATTTTATCCAAGAAAGGTTGATATCAGGAAATCAGGTGACATTCATGTCATGTGAAGATATCAAATGACTACCTACAAATTAATCATTGTAAATTTGTACTATTTTGAAATATTTTGTAATTTGTATCTTTTTAAGAATTAAGAAACTTGAGCTAGGTCTAAACCTTGGTCTAAATAAAAAACTAAAAACCATATTCATACCAAAAAACAATGTTGCCATATTGAAGGAGATGGCACAAATTTAGCAAACAATTCAGAAAGAATTTCTTTGTGAACTGATGAAACCAAACAAGTAGCCATACAATAAAGGGGAATTGAGGGCAATCAATGCTATATTTAAGTAATTGAAATTTTGATAGTTGATTTTAGAGTTGATTTTTGATAAATTTGTATTTACATAACATTTGGGTTGAAACATGTTTATAAAATTTGAAGTGGAATTTTTTCTTTGTCAAAACAAGATTGATTAGTTCATAATGAACCAAACTGTATTGTGTAATTCACATAGCAATTAAGTGGCTAAGATATAGACATTCCTTTGAATGAATGCAGTGATAACTAGTATTTTATGTTGGACGTTGGGACATGGTTGGCATCAAAAGCCTTAATTGAGGGTGCATATTGACATATTTGTTTCATTCCCAACTAATCTCTTGTCAGCAATTGCTTCTGCAGTCTATGAACATGACTCTGTAAATATAGTTCCTCTATTGCGCTTCTGGCTTACGCTTAGCTTGTTTGTAAAATTTTTATGGAGAGACCGAGGTCCTGCACAAAGTATTAATTCTTAGTGGCAAACTTGGAACTTTGTGGCTAGCATAGAATTGCTATGTTTACCAAAATGGAATTATGGAGGTATAGTTCACCATAGGAGGTGGAGTGTAGGACTGTAGCCTCTAGTGCTACTCTAATGTTGTCTTATCCCATTAGTTGGATGATGTTAATAACTGAATTATAATATTTTCAGCTAAATTCACCCACCAACTGCCATTTTCTATCAAAGAGAAGTAAGACATTTGAAAATTGAAATGTACATTTGGGTACCTGGGTAAATTGCCACCCAATGGATAGGTAGATTTGTTAACCAATTTTTGAACTCACAGTATCTAACCATTTGTTAACACTTGTGTGGCATAAGACTTAGGAAAGTGCAACACTTCCTTCAAGTTTTTTTTGTGCAGACCAACTACATTAAGCTACCAAATAGGGTGTATATGGGCCCTTTTCTAGCTTATAGATTAAAGTTGCTCTATAACCTAAACTTGTTGAAATTATAGAAGCTATTATTTCCAGATTATCAAGTTATAAGTCTGCACCAGACATAGACTAAGACTATTTGGAATCTGATTAAAGAAGTCTGAAATTCCTTACAATAACATATCAAACCAGACATTCTACTCTTTTGTGCAAACACCCTATAATTGCCTAACAAAAACACAGTGGTAGCATGCATCATCTTTATAAAACAGGGATGGCTTAAAAATTTTTAAAATTTTTATTTGGGCTGAATAAAAAATGCCCTGTTTGTGGGGTTGGGATAGTTTGCTCTGCAAGATGCTTTGGTGGCTGTACCATCATAAAGGAGTTGTAGTCTTTTTGTAGAGAAGCCAGTTTATTAAAAAGTTTTATTAAAAAGATTAGAACTGTGGATTAAAAAGTTCCTTTATATTTTTGATAATATTAAATCAAAATGGATCTGCTACATGCAGATAGAGCTAGCTTTTTATGGTGAGCTTATTTTAAGCACTTAGGTTACTGCAAAAACAGCTTAAAAGCAAGAAGGTTTATCTAAGAAATAAATTATGATAGTTTGACAAATTAATTCATACAGTTGATACTCAATGATATTTGAAATACCACTTCAATCTAAGATAAAGAATTCAAAAATAGAGGAATTTGTACTTCCAATCAAAATATATGCAAATCCTAAATTATGCTGGGTACTCCATAGGCAATCAATTGATAATGTATCATGGCAATGCATCCTGACAGAGATGCACTTAACCTTGTATATCACTTTGTTTGGTAAAATTAGTTAGATAGGGTTTCTTCAGTAGATTGTACAGTTTTTACACTTGGGTTCTACTCATTTTGGGAATGCCCCCATAACACAATTGATCCTAACACACACAGTCAACATTTCCTGCAGGAGGATTGCCCTGAGGGAGCCCATGATTTTTAGCATGTTTTAATCAATGAAATCTCTGAAGTTGTTGTAGAGTTTTCTTGGTGTTGATCGATCCCTTGTGCATGGGTGGTTTTTGACAAAATATCAAACCCCTGATCTCTGTGGTATGGGGTTTCCCCCTTCTCCCTATTCAAAACTATTAGGGCTTAAAAATTGAATCTTTCTTAACTTACAATCCATCTTCAGCAATCCACCCCACATTTGTGGCTTGTTCCTTCAATATTTCCAAAGGCAGGTGTAAATCCTATTTTTGTGTCAATCAAATTTGATGTATAATAAGATAGCAGCTGGCAATAGCCAATCAAAATGCATGCTTTAAGTGAAAATTTATAAACATTGCAAAGATTTGCATATGACTTTTTATTTGTGTTATATGGTTGTATATTCCATGATCATTGCAGTTTATGATTACATTTTATAGGGCCTTGCATGTTGTATAAACTATGGTTTATAAACACATTATGCTTTCTATGTTTGTAGACAAAATCAACAAATTTCTAACATTTTTGGATAAAAACATCATGTGGTTTTGTAATTTTGAGATGTCAGTTCAATGCTTATATTTGAATGTCACTCATTGACCAATAGCATGATGCAAATCTAAAATTTCAACCAATCGTATCATCATGCTGTCATTATTTGGTTTTAACATGGGTTGTTATCAAATATTGTAATTAGCATGCTGCTACTATATGTGCATCCATGGAAATGGGTCAGTAGCCAAAAATTTTCAGTAATAAAGTGCAGTTACCTATATACACTCTGCATCTTCCACAGGTTGTAGCAGAGGTCATTGCAAGTAGTCACTTTAAAAAACTGACAAATTTGTTATAGCAGTCTGGTCATGATATAGATTGAAACAGGATATCAAGAAGGATCTTCTACAGGTGCAGTTAGTTTTAAAAAATTGTTGTTGATGTAGCCAGTTGTAATATTGTACTTGATTCTGAAATAGCATTATTTTGGTCTCAGTTAAGCAGACACTTTTTATATATATTAGTACTGTGGTTAATAAGCTGCACTGTGCTTCAAGAAAAAAACTTGGGGTTGCCCATACAATTCCTACAAGTAATTGCTGTGTTTGTGTTTGTAGTATACTGTGTTTGATTTCAAGTACTGTTTGTGATTAAGTGTCCTCCTTCCCTGAGCTATTGTATAGTGAAGGTGTTATTACTTTGCTTATGTGTTGTGGCATCATAATTAAATACTGAGAGAAGCTCAATATGAAATCTCCTCCCATGTTATTTTTGGAAGCAAGCTAGTTTGTAGCAAGCTATGGAACAGGCAAGCTGTCTTCTGCATCGCATCGTTGGCATGACTTTTTAACCGAACAAGCTCAACCATTTTACCGTTGTTGAAAGAATCTAAACGGTTCCTCTAACCTCGGCTAACTCGACTTGGATAAAGAAAAGCACTAAAGGTGTTCTTCAGTTAGGAAAAGCGGTCGAGTATGAGTACTATACTTTGGGGCATGTCTTGAGAATGGCCCGCATAACTTGTGGTTTTAGGGTTTTAAGCTTGAAGTGCTGGGGAAGTTAAGTCAAGGGCAATTGAAGTGCCAACAGAGAGAACTGTCCTAGCTTAAGCAGCTGTTGTCCTATCCCCAGCTCTTACAGCCACCAGCTACATATGCATGCATGATACGTGTATCCACACCCTGGCCCATGCTATACCTAAGTAACCCAACCAAGTTGGCCTACAGCCCCTTCCGTGTATTTTTCAATAGTCGTTCCAGAATTTTAAGCACCACTTATAGACCTTGCGTGCTGTTCTCCGTGGTAATATTGACTACTGTATTGCAAAGTTCTAGGTATTTCATATATATATATATATATAGCGTTGTGAAAACGGAAGTGAAAAAGGTTAGAAATGTACATGAATTTTGTTTACAAACCGTAATGTCTTCAAGGTTTTAACCCTCCCTCTCTCCTTCCTACTCACCTCAATGACCTCATTCCCTCCCCACCTCGCCTACAAACATCCACGAAAAACCTTCAATTATTAATGCTGATATTGTATCGCAATATTATCTAACGAGTGCCTTTCATCGAATCAGAACACATCCTAATGCACAAAAGAGACCGAAATTTTCGTACGTACAATTCGGTAGGGAGCTGTGCAGAGAAGTTGTTTATCCCCACCCTGTTACAAAGATCAGAATATCGCTAGGACGTTTTGGAAAATGTTTGCATGACTTTCAATTCAAATGAAACTAATGCCCCACTTTAAAAGGTTAAATTAGGTCGAAAGCGTATATTGTGTCTCGTAATTTATAAAAATTGAAAAAATATGTGTATGGTTATTTAGAATTTCTCATGCATAGAATTGTCAGAGTTTATGTAATTAGTGGCTTCTATAAAGGGGATTTGAAGAGGAGAATTTTACAAGGCGCTTCGGATTCGCAGGAGGTGTATTCAGTCTATACCTCATGCAACGATTACGAGAACTATATATATGAACGAAGCCCTGTGGCTATACGGTTCTGATTCTACGTGTTGTGTGAATCTTTCTCTATAGTAGTTGCATTTTATAGATGTGATGACAGAAGCTGTGAACTCCCGCTCCACATTATATATATATATACGTATATATACACATGAAGTTGAGTAGTGCGTGCATGGGGCTAAGGCTGAGTTAGCCACTTAAGCATATATTTCCGTATACTTAGAGATTATCAAGCGGGTTTTGTTATACTATATGGTCGCAGCGGGAATGACACCAAACATGGACTAGTATATATATTATCGTCGTAGCGCGTTGCAGATATAGACTAGAGACACCAGAGTACACGAAATCGAGATGTCTATTCACATTAGAGACAAGCAATCTTCCTTTTGGTATTGTACTTTGTGAAGATACACGCGATGTTCACTCTATGGCAGTCTAGCCAACTCTCGGCCTCGGCGTGGTGGACACCGTTGAAATCCTATGTAGTATCGAACAAGATACTGACCGCCCGATTTGTACATACAAGCCGTTTAAATTTATTTCGGCCGTCATGCATGGCCTCCATATTGCATCTTCAGACGGCTTTGTTTGATAAGTTTTGGCGCGAAAACCGACCGTTTTATTACCATTTGCGTTCAGGCTTGCGACGTGCGATTTTAAAACGTATGTTAGTAATAGCTATATACTGTTACTATTTCGTAAAAAAATAGTATATTGACTGAAAATTGCGTTTGGCCGTTCGCTGTATACCGCAATTAATTTAGCCACGCCTCGAATCGGTCATCAGCACGTAAAAACCCTAAGTCAAATTGTGACATTGGTAAAGGTGGGGTTAAATAAAGCCTCCTGTGATAGTCTACGTGCTTGTCGTATTACTATAGAAACATATAGCGGCAGTCGTCGGCAGGTTTTTAGTCAAGCCTTTCGATTTTCGAACAGGTCGCATTGTTTCGTCTCGCTCATTTCACCCGGGTCCGCATTATCAAGATTCATTAACCTCATTGATAATTCATAACGTGTATTCACTGCCACTTTGGAAGAAGCTTACGTTTTGGCAGGAATCAAATCAATTACTACACTTCAGTCTTCACACTTCCGAATTATTGACACTTTTCAAAATGAGAATTCTGGAACGTCTGCTGTGTGTCGTTTTCGGAATTAGCTGCGAATCATCGCCGTCAGCGTGAGTTTGTGCAATTGTTGTGATTTCGTAGTCGTATTATTGTCTGTCCGACTTTGTTTGTCATAATATTTTACTCGTGTTTGCGAATAAATAGGATAATAATTTTATGCCTTGTAGTTTGTTTTAAGCCAAAAGCACAGTTCTCGTAAATTGACAAATTCCCAGCACAACGGCTATAGTCAAGCATACGCTTGTAACATGTCATAATTGTTATTTTGCGCGACAATTAGCACTTCGCTCTGTGTACATTACAAAAATGTTCGCCTTTGTTGGTTGTGCCTAAACCCAGCTCAAATTGGTGCGGCGGAATTCGCAGCTGTGTCACTCAAAAATTGATACGGTCTTTCGTCTTTCGAGTTCCCTTCGCACGTAATGTAGCACTGGTGCAATGGGAGAATTTTTGTACAACTAACCGTTCGAATTGCTGTGTTTTCGACTGGCTAATATGACCGTGTAAATAAATCGCCTAAAACTCGTGTCAAAGCGTAATACTCATTTCGCATCTTTATTATTTAAAATATCGCAATCCAACATTCCAAGTTTTCCAAATCTAGGAACACTCGACTTTTTCTACAACATCGCAAATGCGCATGTGAAAGGAACGCGAAGGAGCAATAGGGTGTTGTTTGCAAACATTTCGGATGTGAAAGTTGAGCGAATCTTGTAGAATCGCCTCAATGTACGAGTTTGTTTTTTTGCTCTTCTTTCATAATGTGTCTTCTATAGTCAGAGTTTTTATCAGCTTCATGTAAAAGGATATATAGCCAAAACTTTGTCGTCAGGCAATCGCCCCCTTCTCTAGTCAGTCCTCCATTAAACTTATAGTTGACTGGTCGACCCTCAATGGGACATGATTGTCCTTGGAAATATATGGCCACCAAGGAGGGAAATTAATGTTATACTTGGTTTTAAATGGCTTAACAATGAGCTTACTATTTTTTCTTTGTTTATTTTCCAGATATCTGGCATGAGATAACACCCAAGATCTCCTCACGATGTGGGATCAGAATCATAAATCACTCACTGACATGCTCGATCCAGGCGTCAACCAGTTCCCTGGTGGACCGAACCTCATGAACGATTTTCTACCCAAGACTGAATTAGACTCGGATCCCGCGATGGGCATGTACCCCGGGGGACCAATGTCGGGTCCGGGGCCTGGCCCCAATATGGCTCCAAACATGGGTGGTCCCAATCTCGGAGTACCAAATGTACCCGGACCTAACAGCATGAACATGGGGCAACAGCTGTCGCAGCATAGTAAGTGTGCCAATGGGCTCGGGTATTACATGAGTATTTCGTTCGTAGAATATAAAGTGGCACGGATCCTCACTCGTCCCCGATCGTCTTTTTCATTATATATCATACTGACCATTTAAATGCGCAAATTCAGACCACTTAGGCTGCCCAGCACTGGTGTCCCGCCGCTTTTTCTCGCGCTCATGTTGAACATGACGCTTCCAAATTAAATTGGGAACGGTTCCCAAGAACGGGTCCTACCTCCAGAGGTAGTCCTAAACAACGGCACTGTGCTCGGCATGTTTTATGAACCAGTTTTGAACACACTCAGGGCACTCAGTCTGAACGCAGCCTTAGTTGATCGAAGCTCGAAAACTTCGTGATTTGAGATCAGTAGTTGGAATTTGAAATAGGCGCAGATCAATGATGGCGGGTGGCAATATAGCATCTTGGTAACCTTCCTCCCCGCGATTCAAACCATCGTAATCTTGTGTTTTAGATGCAGGGATGCCCCTCAGCATGGAACGACACATCCAACAAACCAACGAACGTCTGCTGTGTATAAAACAGCACCTGTCAACACCCCAGGGCTTCCAGAACGCTGCGCGAGAACTGCTGGAATGGTGTAGCGACGTCAGGGCATTCCAGGCGCCATTCGAAGGAAACCTCATGGGATGCCTAACGGTACGAGCCCGAACTGAGAGGTTGAAAACAATTCGAGAGAGGAAAAACACTCACCGCGATAGCTTTCATCTTATATAAAGCGTTTTCGATTCTCTTTAAATCAGTTAAGAAAACAATTCTCAAGTGCTTGCTGAATCACATTAATTTAGCGAGTACTGGTAGTGTTATTCGCCACATGCCGTCCTATTTTTTCGATGTCAACATGTCTTTAGCAGGAAGAAAAAAAAACTAACAAAAAACTTTACCCTGCATGCCGACGCTAATGCCCATCCTCCTAAAGTCGGTGCGAAAATTTGTATCCCCCGTGCGCAGTACAAAACTGCCAGGAAAAATGCTTTTTCAAATCGTGATGAACGATTTTCTTATTTTGTTTCCATCAAAAACTTAGTCTGTTATGCCATCGGTCCATGCCTGGGCGGTGTACGTTTAAGGATACACGTCTCCCTCTGAAAAAACACAGGAAAATATGACGAAGTTATACGATATTTTTTTTCTGTAGGTTGTTAGTCGTGTTGCTGCAACGCCTGGCTTTGATCTTCATCTTGGTAAGTTAGTCCGATAGTTATTGAATCACAATCTATTTCCTCGACTTCGTAATTGCTGATTATAAAGTAGTTTATAGTTGTTTAATAGCGCCATCAGTATTTAAACTACATGCCTCATATGGGGTATACTGGCCTCAGTAAAACTACGACCCCAGTATACTATACTCAGTATTCAAAGTACGACCCCAGTATACTATACTCAGTATTCAAAGTACGACCCCGGTATGCTATACTCAGTATTCAAAGTACGACCCCAGTATGCTATACTCAGTATTCAAAGTACGACCCACGACCCCTAACCTAAACGCACGCAGTATACTATTATCTGCATTTTAAATTACTCGTCCAAGTTTGGACCGATATTCGAACTGAACTATATGTATACTCTGTATTGATAACTCGAAACTGTTCCCAAAAGAGCTGGACCACCTCTTATTGGTGAATACAGTAATCACATCTGAATACAATAATCACCATTCAAGTATTGTTTAGTGGAGTCAAACTTGAATCCTCCATATAGTAGTAAAAGTATAAATCTTGGTATCTTAAGGGTATCGTCTGTTGGCTGTTTGTGCTGCTCATAAAGAGAAGTTTTCGCCCAAGTCCATGAATTTGCTGGCGATGTGGAGCGAAGAGCTGAGTCGTTTCTTACTGCTGAAGCATCCTCAAACACCTAAACAGAGCCACAAGAAGCCAGCTAATGTGTAAATATAAAAAATCTATATTTTTATATCGCCAGGGTGTAGATAGATGTTAGTTTACTCATTTCGAGTGATGCCATTCAACAACTTGTGGAAATTGCTTGATTATGCAGGGTGAGGTTGTGCTAGAATAGGTAATGAGGCAGATGAATAATTAATATGGGCCAATCAAATGGGATATATTTGTCAGGGTAACCAATCACGAGCGCAGTAGGTCAGCGAAAGGTGGCGGTAATTGTAGTGAACCTGAAGCTTGCTAAGATGTATGATAATCTTCTCCAAGCGATGTTAATAAGTTTATAACTACTTTATTCAGATGAGATTTTTATTCGGTTTGTTTATACTGTAAACATCAGGTGATGTACAGAACTACTTGATCATAAAGGAATTCGTAATCATGCAGAAACATGATATATCTCGCAGTGACGTTTTCCCGGCCATGCAACTACCAGACTACATGACCATGGTTGGGATAAAACACTCGGGTACATTATACTTCGTGGATGAATTTCTCTAAGACCAAACGATGTTCGAGCCGTACAAGTTATTTTATAAACCACGTGATCATAGGGGCAGTTGGATTCAGATGAGGTAGATAATGCATATTGGACGACTCCAAGTGCGCGATGTCCAAGCTAAACAAGTGATAAAACTACTTGATCCTGGTGGGGGTTTTAGGGGATGATCTATAGATAGTGTTATACCAGGCTAGTTAAAACCCACTTGATCGCTGTGTTAGCAGGGGGGAGGGGTAAAAAAAGACTTGCATTTGACCGTTCTCGATTTTATTACATTATTTTCACCGGCGCAAGTACACACAGTGGTTTTCGAAAATCAATATTGTGCTTTGAATTTATAATCGTACCGACATTTTCCTGTGCGTAGTCGGCCAAGTGTCGACACACGGAACATGCGATGTTCGTCGCGCGAACGACGAAATTAAACTAAGCTTAATTGAAGTACGATATCAATGTGATAACGAAATATTTTCAGACCCTCTTCGCTGTAAGTAAGTAAGTACCTACTTTCCTCTGTTTTGCTCTAGGGAGAGAATCTGCAGGTGTAGCAAGGAGAACGTAGAGACAATTATAACAGTAATGACACGGCGTCTGAAGTGTAGGATCACGCTTAAAGGCATGCTCTGCCGGTTTTGACGAGTTCTCAAGCTTTGTACTTTTAGAAATTGTCGAAAGGAAGCTTTTGAGTTTTAGAGTAAGCGCTGGCACACACAGCAAATGCTCTAGCCAACATGAGGTTGTTTATAACGAGCATGTTTAGCCAGTTCCCTTCATTGTATTTTGTCATATACTGGTCTAGTATCGAATAAATAAGACAATTTAAGTGGGTTTTCTTGCTTCTATAAATGACAACGTCGAACCAAACTTTCACCTCGTTCATCGTAATGCATACAAAGACTTGCTAATCGTTGGTCGAGTCCGTGAGCTATAATTGTATCCCTCTTACGTTAGTTAGTTGAAGTAATTTGGATCGTTTATCTTATCCAGACGTTGCGTAATATGGCATCAAAAAAGGAACAATACGAAGCTTCCGCGTGTGTGTGTATACGTGCACGACTTTTACCCTCGTGTTTGTGAAGTCTAGATTGTTTTGGACTCAGTATATAATATAGATATCACTGGAAAACATCGCGCAATATATATGTTATCAGTCTAAGTACAGGCAAGATCGATCTATGTTACTCTTTATACGACGGCATGTGAAATACGCTCAAATAGTCTTCCAACAAGCCGATATCGCTTCGTGTTCCTATTTCGTGTTTGCCCACATGCGCTTGTTTTTTTGTCAAAATGTATAACGCTTGCATTCCTAATTTCCGCACGGGATTTTGAGCCCCAGAAAAACGGGTACTTTGATGATTTTGCGAACGTAGTGGTCTTGTGTATTGGTAGTTATTTGTGATAGGCTCTCATTGTTTGTGTACATCTACCTAAAGAAGAAACCTCTCAAATATAAAGATGCAGTATATGGGTTATATTTTAGAGTAGGTTATATTTCAAGGTAGCTTAAATATGAACTGCGTGCAGTGTTATAATATTCGATTATGAAATAGGTGCAATTTCGCAATTAGATTGAGAGAGGTTATTTTAAAACGAGTTTGAATACAATCTACAGCAGAAGAAATAAAATGTAGCTAACATCACGGGTAGAAAGAGCGTCTTAGAGCGAAAAACCTTCTGCAAAATCTGGTTGCGAAATGTTATAAAATGTGGAATACATTACAATAATACAATAATATTTAACCCTGCAAAGTTTATACGTTTTGTATTTGTTTGCAAAAATATCACGTTCGGCTCGAAAGTTGTTAATTTTGCAGGGCTATATTCAGGACCAAATTTGCGAACTTAGCAGAACTATATTTTCCGTATTTCGCAACCAATACTGGAGGATGCTCTTTTTGGCTACTCGCTAGATCGATATTTGTCCACAGCTTGAATCATCCAGTGTAGAATAGCAGTCAGTTCTTGTTGTGATAGTCCTGGCGTGTATCAATATGTTACATATTTTTTTTAGCGATCAAAATCAGCTCATGTGGCCTATGCAGCAGCCCCAACAGCCCCAACCTTCCGTTTCGGTGGTGACCACAGTATGGGGCGTAGCGTCAACAACCAGTCAAGCTCAGTTGCCTACAGATAACATGTTACCATCGATACCAACATCCAACACTGGGAATGTCATGAACCAGCAAGGTTATGGAAACCCGGGAATGATGAATGCAGGAAATAAACCATACCAACAGTCAGGTAGGCGATGATCGTGTGCAGGTGATAATTTAGTACACATGGTATCGCTATAGTCATAATGCGAACGATAATTCTTCGTATCCACCATTTAGGTTTTCCAGGCAACCAGTTCCCACAAAGAAGGATGGCAGGAGATGCGTCCCGCAACACAGGGGGTTACCCCACGACACCGACCACTCCACAGAATGGTCCACAGACAAACCCTTTCCACTACCCTCATTCTGGCCCGCCCAATGCGACGCCTTTTCCCACCACCCCTGCCCAAGTCCCGACCCAACCTCAGAACAACCAGTATACGGGGAGCGGACCTGCGGCAGCGGCGGCCGCCGCGGCAGTTGCAGCGGCTGCAGCTACAGCGACTGCCACCGCGACGGCGACTGCAACAGCTTCTTTACAAGATCATGATGTCGGTACGTTGTCTCATAGTTGTCTCTTCTCTTCACATAAAACCTGCGTAATATCAGACTGGTGGGGTATGCAGCTAGCCAACAGCCATGGGGGGGGGGGATGGGGACTAGCATCAGCTGTAAGGGCTGGTTATTAGAATGTTCCAAAAGTTCTATGATTATATAAATTATTCGAAAAGTTCTAAAAGTGGGATGGTGTTGCTTAGATAGGATTATAAACTCCTAAGTAGACCATTGGGTATTATGTAAGTGCATAATTCACTAAAATTTCAACTGATACCTAAATTTACAGTCTATCTACACCCCCTCTCGCCCAGGCTTGGGAGATGGCATCCCCCCAGTAAACCCATCTCTGGTTATACCTGTGAACCCTATCAATTCTCAATTCTCGTGCCATGTTACCGCAGGTCCTTTTAACTAATCCGATTTAAGATTCACTGGTAATCAAAATCTAAAAAAATACAGTCCTCATTCACTAAAGAATCTTTATTTTCAGACGGCGGGTTTGGATTTGAACAACAACCCCCCACACAATTCCAGGCCCATGCTCAGACTCCGGCCAATCATCCTCAACAGCCCCCACCGCCCTACTCCAAGAATCCGTATCCTCAACAACAGTACGGCAACAAACCCCAGTACCCGGGGCCTTACCAAGGCAATCCCAATCCAAATCAGATGCCCAACCCCGGCATGAAATCCCCGATGATGAATAACAGGCAGTTCATCCAGCAATTTATGAGACCTCAACAGCAGCCTAACCCAAATATGGCGGCGAACATGGCGAATATGCTTGGAGCCGGTGGATTCAATAAACAACCTCGCTTTCAAAATCAGGTGCGTAACGGCCCATTTACACTATGCGATTTGTCGTATACGATTCTTACCCTGGCGTATGTGAACGTGTGAACACACGTACAAACGTGACACTTTAAATTCCACCCTGGACAATATGAATGAAGATTGTGGCATAGGCCCCGTCAGAATGATATTGCATACAACTTATCGTGTAGTCTAAATCAGGGTTTCCACAATGCAAGGAAATTTCCTTGGAATTGACAACCACAAGGGAGGGAGGGATCTGAGTTAATACGATATATTATGCATTCTTTTCAAAAGTTCTTTGTTTCTCTTTTTTGTCATTGCTATCCCCCTATGAGGATAGCCATATGCAAATAATTTGTGGAAACCCTGGTCTAAATATATCTTAACACAATTGTCTGATTGTCATGGAGTTGAATGACTATCATTCATATTTCGATATTTATTCTTCTTAATTTAGGCTCAAATGGGCATGCAAAAGAATGCGTTTAAGGACATGAAGGTGCGTTGATTTACATTGTAATGTAAGTCCGATATAACAGGCAATTTGATTGGCCAAAGTAATATATTTGTGCCTCTTAGCAACCATAAATACTTTTGCTTTTTTGGTTTTAAACTTGATGTGGGATGCAAATTTAGGTATATGTTGAGTCTCCAGTCTAACATTCTTCAATATTTTTAGCCACCCCCCAGTTATCCCAACGTGTCCAACTACCCTCCTGGTTTTCCTCAGAACTCGAACTTCCCAAATCCGGCCGGCCCCAGGGGCAACTTCATAAATACGCAGTTCCGGCCGGGTGATATGCCCCCTAAGACCGGCGTCCAACAACAAGCTATGGGCCCGAACAATATGAGATATCCGACGCCCGCAGGCAATACCTTACCGGGCAGCGGTTTGATGTCGCCGAGTCCGTCGAATCAAGGGGGAATGGTACAGAGCAATGTTGGAGGTGGATTGCCGCCTGGGGGCGGATTGCCGCCTTTTCCAGATCCGCCGGATGTAAAACCGCGAATACCACCACAAAGTAAGAATGTTTCTCAGTTGCCATTTGCCAAGCCAGACCTGTCAATGACTTCTTAACTAAATGACCCCAGAAGCCCAAGTCTTACTAGACCTCAAAGGGGAAACAATGTTCTACATTGTTATCATTGATCAAATCCAAGTCAATTTCCGGAAGCCAGACTGAGAAGAATACTTTACGGGCATCGCTATCATCACCCGCTAAAACTAGTTGCTTCATCCAGTGTACTATCAGACCAGAGATTGCTAACCAGTTTCCATGCATAATGTAACTTTGGCAGTTATGTATAGTCGATTCAAGTGTTATCGAAAAATATAATTTTTTTTTCTCTTTAGATGACAACGATCAACTTCGGCTAACATTCCCGGTCCGTGACGGAATAATGCTGCCGCCGTTCCGTCTTGAACACAATCTTGCTGTTAGTAATCACGTCTTTCATCTTCGCGAGTCTGTTCATCATACCTTACTATGGAGGTGGGTTGATTCAATGATTTTACGGCATTCGTCATCTCACGACATCATTCACCCTCGTTAACATTCAGTGAGACCTGAATCCGCTCTAACAAATCTTCAAAATCATTAAGCCAGTGTGCCACTGTGCCTTTGTGTTCCCCTTCAACACGGCCCTTCAACTCATCAACAACGCAATAATCAAAGTATATAAAAAGCATTTATATGCGTTCACTAAACCTGTTTTTCTGGCTGAACAGGTCTGATCTGGAACTTCAGTTCAAATGTTATCATCACGAAGAAAAACAACAGCATACCAATTGGCCAGCGTCCGTCTCTGTCAGTGTCAATGCTACACCGCTTACGATTGAAAGGGTAAATAGACATTATCTTCTTTTTTTCGCTCCGCTATGAAACTTTGGGAATTTGAACCTTTTGTCTATTCTTTGGGCCCGAAATTTTACCACCGACTTGTTTAAGACAGTTGTCATATAGCCTGGGAGGGGTCGATTTCGATATTCTTTTACCTTACAAGGAGCTCACCAATTGAAATTTTCAATTTTGGTTTTTAGGGTGATAACAAAACCTCTCATAAGCCACTGCATCTGAAGAATGTTTGTCGACCTGGTCGAAATACAATACAAATCACAGTCACCGCCTGTTGCTGTGTAAGTATCGTGAGGAATGACTTAGTTTTGTTTGTGTTTTCTTCTGTATACATATATATTCATTTACCATAGTAGTTCCTTAGTAGACCTCCCCGGACAGTTTGGAGAGGATACATAATCGCTGGTATATATTCAATCGTATATAATTTATTTCAGTCTCATTTGTTTGTCCTACAACTGGTTCATCGCCCATCAGTGAAGTCGATACTTGATGGTCTTTTAACGAAGCGGCTTCTACCAGCTGCTCATTGTATTACGAAAAGTAAGTGGACTAAAAGTTTGCAAATGCATGTGCAATGCAATGCACGGAATGGAATGATTTAATCATGATTGGTCACACATTTTCTGTATTCCTTGCAGTAAAACGACATTTTGCTTCGCCGCAAAATCTCGGCGTCAATGATGACGGGGTCGAACAAACTGCGATAAAAGTCTCGTTGAAATGTCCGATCACTCAACGTAGAATTTCGTTGCCTGCCCGAGGACACGATTGCAGGCATATACAGGTACTTGTCATGATGAATATACTCACAACCATCTGTTCACTACCATCGTTATCTGCCATCACAAACATCACAGTGACAAGCATGTTTACACACGCAATTTTTGCTGCGATTTTGTGTACATAATCCTCCTTTGGTAGATGTGAACGAGTGGATAAGTTATGGATGTGAAAATGAGGGCACATGTACATCGGAGCGTCCGTAAATGTTCACTTATTCACATCTACTAAAAGAAAATCGAACCGACGGTCGCAGCAAGTGTAAACGGGCCTTACAACTACTATCATCAAAATCACCGTCTTTATCATTGTTATCATCATCACAATCGCTATCGTAATTATCATCGTCTTTGTTATCACAGTAATCACTCTCGTTATCATCACTATCATAATTGTCACAATCATTGATCATTCTGTACTATAATTTCCTCATGTAGTGCTTTGATCTGGAATCATACCTGAAACTAAACGCGGAACGAGGCAGCTGGAAGTGTCCAGTGTGCAAGTATGTATTAGTTTTAGTAAGGATTTCTTTCTTCCGAAGATTATTACATCTGTATGGGGCGAAGAACCTTTGATATAGTATTTAATCGGTAACTCGTTTTATAGATGAAAGGTGTTTTACCTCTGGTAGTTTTTCCATCTCACAATGTAAACTTGATGGTATATTTTGTTTGTTTTTAGCAAAACAGCGGTGTTGGAGTTACTGGAAGTTGATCAATACATGTGGGGGATCTTAACCTCTTTAACAAAGTGAGTCACACTGTTTGTATTCGTTATAATAATTAGAGAGACCATCTTCAAAATCAACCTGTGAAATAAGCACAAGATGTGTTTTTGAAGAAGCAATTTTCAATCGTTTTAGGGCCGGTTGTTCTAAAGCCGGTTAGCTAACTAGTTAAACCCTGGGTTGAAGCAAATCTTTACATTAATCTTTCTAATCGTTTGTTTACAAAGTTGAATATCTTTTTTCATAAATATTTTCTCCACCGATGTTTTCTTTTCAACGGTTTTCTTTATCATCATAATGACGCATGTACAACGGCAAAGAATTGCTCTCATTTCATGGCTGGTTTACACTTGAAATTTTTGATGCGATTTTTAGCGCGATTTTCGTCCTCTGACAGATGCAAAAGAACAAAAAGTTATGAATGCTCCGATGTATACTACCCTTGTATGAACTTTCACTCAATGTTTTCACTCAAATAATTATTCCATTAAATGAAGAAAATAGCACATAAAAATCGCATCAAATGATCTATATTTGCAATTAAGTTAAATCGGATTTCAATGAATGGCGAGGGCTTTTTTTTACCACTGTTATCGCTTCACTTCAGTTGTATCTGGGAGTGGACGTTTTTGTCATAAGATACTCGGTCTCTGTGGATCCCTCTGGATCCTTTCTTTGACCATTCCTTGTAGAATCTGAACGATCTTACAAACTGACAGTGTCATTAGAATGTCACTTAGCCAGAGGTCATCCACCCGTCTTTTGGGCGGGCATTTTTAAAAGTGGGGCAAACAGGAAGACATAAAATATTCAAAAGTATATTGAATAGTTATGAACAAAAGGTTCTTTCACAGCATTTTTCAAAAATATAGTGCATTTCTAGGCTTTTAGGGGACTGTTTCGAAATTCCCCTCTTCCCAGCTAGTTGACGGGTAAAGTAGGACCCTGGCTAAGACCCTGATTCGAAGGCACACTTATCATGGATTGTTTAAGAAGTGGATAGGAAACTTTTGGCTGCGAGTGATGTTTAATTTCAGCTCGCGGACAACAATTTCGTAGCTGAAAAAGTTAAGGCTCAGAAAGAAGGCTCAAAAACGTTGGCATGACGAAATTTGAATAGGTTTTGTAATGCTTACGTCAGCTAGTCTCCTATCCATTCATTTTATTATCCATGGTTTGAAACATGTTATTATAATTATAGATCTGAAAGACAATCAGGACAAATGTGAGTAATACCCCTTGTACCCCCTTGTACCCCCTCCCATTTTAGGTACCCCGGTATATCCTTGCATTTACATGATTATTTTGTATCAATTATTATGTCATCCATCCTAGTTCTGGTACGGAGGAAATTACCATCGATCCGAATAGTCAATGGTACCCAGTGCCTGTGAAACTCGATATTAAGGAAGAAGGTATTTATTTGTAAAGTCTGAGTGGCACGAGACATTATTGCTCAATCTCGTAACGCAAAAAAAGGCGGTGAGGCGTTCTAATCCGGTCCGGTCGCAAAATATAAAAGCCTATAGTCAAAGTAGTAATAATCGATCGACTTCACACCGTCTACAGTCAACAAAAATTTTATGTTGAGACGGCTTTACCGTGAACAAATGGTTGGAGATTTAGAAAGTCTCATTTGACCTTGTAAGATTCCCAGTGTTAAGGCCATTTAAAAACACCAGACTCATTTTTTAAATGTGTTATATTTCTTCCGCAGGAAACCCCTCTAAACGGCAAAAGACATGTGAAAACCCTGGTTCTATAAACAGCCCGCCTATGAACAGAGGCGGAGCCTTTCCCGCACTGCCTGCCCCAGTCTCCATGTCGTCTGGACCTCCGGCGGACACAATAAAAAATTCCAATCCGTCGCCGATGCTTGGCCGTAGTAATAGCTCTGGAAATATCAGTAATCAAGGTGTGTGGTTGTAAATGTAATTACTTTATTAAGCCCGACTGTGGATGTAAAGGCTATCATTTTCAAATAAGGTTGGAGCTCTGCTGCAGTATCAGCGGGACTAAAAAGATTCGGATACTTCCCGAATTTGCTTGAATGCACACAAAACAATAGCTTGGAAACGAGGCGGGAAATGTAATCTATTCTTTATGGATTGATTTTCATTGCCCGAGAACAAATTCGGGAAGTGTCTATTGCAATGTAATTCTCCAGTGAGAATATTAGAAATATAGTCAAGAGGTTTGAAATAAAGTATGAAATGAGTCAATACTATTATACTAAACCAGTCTGATTGGCCAATTCCGTTACTAACTATTGTTAAAAGTCAACTATTTTTTATGCGTCCAGCCCCCGCAATGTATTTTCACTGAGCATATTCTTCTTTGGCCTCTGGGAGGATGGAGAATTTGTGAAATATATCTTCTAGAATCAGTGTGATTTATTTGGTTCAATGTAACAAATACCTGCATTATTTACAGGAGACAAACCAGCTATGAGTCCTGCAGCGCACATTGGTCAAGTACCTACCCCAATTCCAATGGTATCAAGTCCCCACACACCACAGCCTGTGATCTCTACAGCAAATACTACTAGCACTAACCCAAACACACCTGTATCAACCGTGACGGCTGGACCTAATACGCCCACCCCCGCCGTAGCGAGTCCAGCAGCTTGTCTGGATGGCAGTACTCTGCCAGGTGATGCTGTCAAAAAGGAGGATGTAACGTCAGATTATAATGCACTTATTGAACAGTCTCAGGATGGGACGGGCGATCCTTCAGAAGAGGTAAGTTGATTATATTGATAATAATATTTATTGGTGATGGTGATAATGCAGGATAAGATCATATTTATTGATGACGGTGTGATTATGATACAAGATATGGTGATATCTATTCATGATGATATTAGTGATTATGGTTCATCATGATATTTTTCATGTATTAATTCTATGTATTGTCCTCTCAGGGGCTGCCAGGAAATCTCGATCCGTCAGACTTCCTCCCGTACCTGGAGACGTCAGATCTCAGTGACGACCTTCTCTCAATGTTTGAATAAACATTCGCAACAAAACACGGTATCGAATATCGTATCTTCTCATTCTCGTGGCCTGAATTGCTCTCCTTTCAATATTTTTAATTGATTCTTCGATCATTTTGGGGTTTTATATATACATATAAAAAACACGTTTTAACTAGGTTAGCACTGGCATGGGGCTGGTGAAGTGTCATGGGGCTGCGGTGAACTCGCAGTTGTCAGAGCGAGATATTAGCATTCCATTCTCACTCTGATAATAGGCAGGTTTAGCACAAGGACGTGAACGTCAAAGAGGACGTGAAAATCGCGAATGAATTGTGTAGCATGTCCATATATGGCGCATCATGACAGGTATTCGCCATTTTCACGTCCTCGTGCTAAATCTACCTAATAGCAGGTTGATCACCCAACGGCAGATCTCACTGTTGGAGTTCACAAAGAGTGACCTCTGAAGTTCAGCCTCTACTTTCATCGTCTGCCTTAGAGTGAAAGATATCTATTAGGGATATTTGGGAGAGATGTCTTTCCAGCTCTCTAAGAAATCGCAGTCTGTACGCGATTCAGCCTCACAAACCCCGCGGTACAAATGGGCAATTTCTAAGATCAGTTGTACAAAGCCTGGTTAGTGCTAGCTCTTGAATAAAAATTTTGCCGCTGTTTTGGTTTATGTTGACTACATTCCGGGGTTAGGCTAACCGGGTTTTGAACAGCCTACGCCCTTCGAGGGTTTAACAGCGTACATTCTACGGTTTACGATTGAACGGGCAGCATATTCCAGGCCACGTTTGCTAGATGTAATGTAAATATTTTCCTTGTCAAAGCAAGGGTCATTGTTCTACGCGCCTCCTGGCAAGACATATCGTAGTATAAATGTTTTATTATATAGACAAAAGTTTAAGTTATTTTTAGGGGGTATATAGACAAGTATTTATCCTATTTTAATATATAGTATACATATATAAATATATATAAATATTTTCGCTCCCTGTTGCACGCTAGGCATTTTAAAGATATTGGAACATAAGATGTAAGACTAGGGCATATGACTATAACTGCGTTTTTTTGCTCTATGAAAGCACAGTGTGAACTCTTATCGGTTCGAGTAAACGTTGCAAGGTGGCCTTCCGTAGAAATCTTGCTACTTTAAGACGAAGCAATTCATTACAAATTGCTTATACAAAAGTACCTCATACTTGTTCTCGTGCCATCCTTGGCTGCGATGTTTTTCAGTAATCAACTGATCTGTGAACAAAAATTGGATACTCCATCTGTTTTACATAGATTGCGCCAATCGCGCGGTCGAGCACTAGAAGCCCCATTTGCGCATATTCTCTAACAAATCACAGTAGGTAATTCTGCAACAGATTGCGAGTTCGGAGTTCAGGGCAGAATCAACACGCTTAATTGGGGAGGAGTTAATATTCTTGTATTTGTCTTGTGTCTGAATTCATTGTATATTCACATATGGAGATATCCATATTTACACCTCTCCCTTCTCCCCCCAAAGTATCGTGCTATTTTTCGGTCCTGTTTGAGTTTGGTTTTTTAAACGAATGGGATGATACGTATGATATGTAATGTGGCATTTAAAAGTTTAAAAACTCGTTGGAAGATATTATAGAAAGTATTATTCCGCGCGTTGAAAACGAGGCTAACGACATGTTAGGAATTTGACGGATTGAAATATTCTCATAATCAATAGAATTCTTTGTCGAGTTGTAATATTCCGTCGTAAGTTATAACAATGCGCTGCGCTACCTCTTTTGAAGGTGGTCAAAATCCCAACTTTTTTCCATATTCAGAGTTATTAGTCGGGATTTTTTTTAATTTGTAGGCTCCATGTTATGTGTAAATACTTCATATATTTCGTATAGTTTAGTACTCTGGATGGTACATGCGGTCACTCATAGTACATATCAGTTTCCTAAAAATAGGACATAATGAAATACACCGATTTTAATCCCTATATAAGTCCCTACAAAATTTAGTATACGGTACCCTCGCCTCCAATAACTTTTGTCCCAAGTTCAGTCTCTACGTGTACTGTGATTGATTGCATGCGGCCTTTGCTATATTTTACGTTTTGCGGGGGCGTAGAAATGTGTAGATTTTAAATATGTACCCGAAAGCTTCACGTTTTAAATAGTGTAGAAATATATTGTCTATAGTAGATAAAAATATGATATTATAAACTAGGTTAAATAGATATTAAATACTATATGCAAGTGGTTCGTTGTCGTTGCCTCTTTATACTTGATTTTTTCTAACTGTAATAATTTTGCGGACGCGTACAGCGAAATGGTCTTCCAAATGGTCTCTAAAGCCTTTTTCTAACTAATCTCAGAGGAATCGATATCACTCTTCTCGGGACAGGACCTATAGGATCAGTGGATCCTATAACACACTGGATGTAGCAGTTATCTACGTTAGCTAATTTAGAGTACTTTATGTCGGTGATCACACGTCCAAATTAAACTATCTGGAACAATCGGTCACATTGAGCAATCAACCATCCTTCGTTACAAATCTATCTATTGGGAACCTTTTAAACAGAATACTGCGACGTAAACATACTGCGATTTTTCAGCATGAGTAAAATGCTAAAATGAAAGGCTTGGAGTTAGGTTGTTAAGGCTGCTGATTTTTACTTAGAAAATCGCAAATGATACCGCAAATCATCATCCATTAGTAATATTATTTGTCACAATATTCTCGCTGTGTCGAGTTTTAAAGATAAATGGAAACGTAAATTTACGGTTTGAAAGGTGCTCTGTACGGGAAATGTGATGGTGACAGTGCCCATGAAAGAAAACTATGGATTTATAAATCTTTATTAACATTAATTTATATAAATATATTAAATATTAAACTGCAAGGACTTAATGTTCCCGTGTTAAAATTATTAAAAAATTAAGGTTATTCTTTTCATTTAAGGCGTTCATTCATGCATTCAAATCAACAGTTACAAACGACGTTTTTGACGTATCTTCAACATGATCTCCGCTTAGTGCTTAGTGCTTAGTGACGTATCTTCAACATGATCTCCGCATGTCTTCAACATGATTTACGCTTCTCTTATTTCTCGACTCCTCGGTTTCATTATTTTCATCGTTCATTTTTTTGTTCTTAAAACAACAGCAGAACAAAGAGAAAAGTCGTTGATGAATTTTCTTTGATTTAGTTCTTCTAGCTCCAGTCTCGTCTTTCAATTGCTTGTCTTTCTTGTTGGCCTTTTTCTTCTTGTTGCTTTTCTTCGTTGTTTTGCATTTATTTTTCTCGTGTTCGTCTTCGGTCCTGAATGGTAAACTGCTATCAGATGCCGCAATTTTGTCATCTAATAAACCAAAGAAATCAATGAGTCAATAAATAATTCCGGTTAAAAGTTGTCTGAGTGTTTTGGCTGGTTATCAAACAAAACAAGAAAAACTGTCGAAATTTCGGGCCATCGTTTTAAGCACGAGCACTTCTTTCACATTCAACAGGATTCGTGTTTTAGCTAAGGCCGGACTCGATCACCTTTTGACTCGATCACTCGATTCTTAGGTAGAACAGTCGCATGAAATACTGTGATGTTTTGCAGGGCATTTGGTATTTAAATTACCCACCGTTAGCTTTGTGTCCTTGTTTGGAAGATGTATGAGGATCGACGATGTATTCACCATCTTCAATAACTTCATGATTATCCGGTGTGTTTTTGACAACGATGGAGTCTTCACTTTTTTCGTTGATGGGCAGCGATGGTGGAATCGTCGGTGGAAGATAACCAAGATGTTCCGAAGACATCACACCTTCGATGTTCACGTATCCGGAACGAAGCAACTCGCACTCAGGTGGAGACCCGGTCACGCTCGACACCTGAGTGGAGTTTGCCTCAGATTCGGATAAATGAACACCCTTAGTGCTTTGTCTTTCAGAACAACTGGGATGGCGCTGGATGTCAATTCCATCAGAAGAAGATTCCTTCCTTGCCACATCTTTTTCAAGGACGTCTGTCATACATCGTTCATCTTTGAATTGATCTAAGACATCCTCCACTGTTCTTTCCTCGATATGAATCTGGGTTGCAGAAACCATAGCTTCCACGACGACTTCTTCACCAGCTTCTGCTGGTTTGTTGTTCACATCTACAACAGAGACAACTACACAGTGAGCCAGAAAGGGGAAATGACGAGAATCGTTTCCGCATCATGAAAGGATTTCAAAAAGATATTTGCATTTATATAATCAACAGCCGGTTTGTGCTTACCAATATTTGCAGAAACAGAAGTTTCTTCGTGACGTGTTTGGTTTAAAAAGGAGTGAGGATCCCGGACAGTTGTGCTTGATTCGCCATTCGACAACGTCGCAGTAATGTTGTCTGTGTTTGAACCAACAATTGCAGGCTTATCTGCTGTAAAGGACACATCTTAGTGTAACTTGATATCAAATGTGGTTCAGGAACTGACCTAAGGCAGGGACTTAGGATCTTGTTTGTATCATTTACTATATTGGCTGGTTTGCACTTACCGCTTGTCTCAGACACATGGAGAATCCTAGTTTCGTTGGAACAAGTGAGAGGAACTTCGACACGCGCGTTTACTTCACCATTAACCAACATTGCAGGAAAGTTGTCGGTGTTGAAATGAGAAACAATTTCACCTGCTGCAAAAGAAATAAAGTTTAAACAGCTTAAATTCAATATGTTTTGATTTAATATTCACAGTTACCTTGAACACAAGGCAAAAGGTGATTTTGTTGATTAGATTCTAATGTCGGAAGAACATCAGCATTTTCGCTGTCTTGGCCAGTTTTGTCTCCGACCATTGCAAATGAAATCGTCTCTGCATTTGGGTGATTCATTGGTTTTGGCATCTCTTCTCCATAAAACCCAACAGCAGTTTTTCCTTCTTTTTTGCGGCGTTCCTCTTGACCGCAGACAGCAATTGATGTTTCCTTCAGAAGTCCCGTGCCTTCTACGAGCGTGTCCGAACTGTTTTTCTCATTTTCAATATCTTCGCAACCATTTTCGTCCAATTCATCGAAGAGAGTTTGCAGGAACTTATTTACGGAAATGCTCGCATCCTTGTTGCAAGGGAAGTCTTCCTCGACCTCCATAGTAGCTTTCACGTTGCCAAACGGAATTTCACCCGGTAGTGATGACCTTCCGTCAAGATGTTGTTGACCTAAAAGTAAACATGAAGAATCTCGGTCATCGAACCGTCGCGCGCGCAAATTTAGCTAATTAGTTAGTTCGTTGCATAGCAACAAGAAAACTTGTTTTATCTCGCACTTTAAAAAGACGATTAACAAAACACTTGCACACTCTACTGCGAAATAATTTCAAGAAATATTTAAGTGCCAAGTGTACCTTTATTTTGTCTATTCACAAATGAATTCTTCAGTTCTTCTACGCGCGCTCTGGTGTCGGTAACATTGTTCTTGGCAGCGTCGATGATTTCATCAAAGGTGTTTGCTTCGCCATAAATGTTAAATTTTACCAACTCCTGAACTATTTGTTCCTCAGTTTCTTCTTGAAACGCCAGGGCACCTCGGCGCTCAACTTCGGCCATGTTTATTTTATTACTAGCCATCTCAAATAAACCAATTCAAAAAATTTAAATTTGCTCTGAAAACGTAACGAATGAATCGTGCGCAAGTCAAACTCAGTCAATTAATTATGACAACATAATTGTGACATCAACGCGTTTTTATACTTTCGTGCGCTATGGTTTGGAATTATGGGTAATAATTAGCATTTCTCTTATGACATCGATAATTACTCGGGATAAAACGCCGAAAAGGGGATAGAGGGATGAAATGGGATTTTAAAAAACGTTGGAAAGGGAATAGAAACCAAAAATGGGGGGGAAAACTTGATACGAGGATTTTTTCATTTTTTGCCAATATAAAACGTACTTCATTACCTTCCTTTGTACCTAAACGTTTAGACTATTGGAAATGACAATTTTTGCCGGATAGTGTTTGACTTCGGATACAAACAACTGTTTGAGACGGCGCGGTTCATACTTTATGTGAATTTAGGATTCTGTAGTTATATGATCATGAAGTTGTTCAGAACCAAAAAAAAGATGACATTTTTTTAGAATCATGTAAATTTGTAAATCTTTTTAAAATTTGTTTACGCGTCTGCAACACACATGGAAATATAAATCTTTTTATTGTTGGCTCAACCAATAACTACGAGAAGATATATCAGTACTCTTTCTTTATTTGAAAAGAAAAGGCGGAACGTTTGATGTTTCAGATGCTTTTACATACGGGGCATAAACTCGGCTTGGACGAGTAGCATCGTGACGTCAATTTCTATAACGAACATTCAGAACAAGAAACACGAGGGAAGAAAGTCATCATTTCTTTGTTAAATGAAATACATAGTTGTTAATAATACGCTACAGAATGTCGAGAGTAGTTTAAGTTAAGATTAAGAGTGAAAAGATTAAAGAACCGGTTGAAAATAGCTACGCAGTGTTGTTTATAATTAAAGTTTGTGACCATTCGTTGCCGCTGAGCCGCTCAAGACAAAATGGTCGTGTTCTCCGCCAATAAAGCTAGGGGAATGTTTCAAGTGATGTTTAAAGTCAATTATATGTTGAACAGAATGTAAGTTTTTTACTGTTCTTATTCATATAAATATGCAGTTCGTATTCCAAGCATCTGAACGAGAATTTGTATTTGTTGATACATATAACATATTACCACCTGGTCGGACATTATCGGCATGATCATCGCATTGTGATTCCAGTGTATGTAAAATAAAAACGTCTTTCATATTCAAATTTGCGGCGAACGTAGAACTGCATTTGACAATTCCCTTGTGCCCAACATGCGGGTTATTTATGCGCAAAGCGTGTCTACACGGTCCTAAAAAAACTATTGAAATCACGTATTGTTTGAAATTGAATGCGCCAGCACTTTGGAAAAAATTAAAATATCGTAAAGTATTAAAGTAAAAGAAATGAAATTGAAATATACATATTTTTTTTCTTGGGAGTGCAGAAATGAAAACGGTGCGAGTTATCACTATAGGAGAAATGGTGAACCACTAACGGAGAAACAAAGAGTTTTTACTGGGTTACATTATACGAGAACACAAACTACAGGGTGTATAAAAAACACAACCATAATAATTCCCCAGGGCCTACGATCCTTTGTTATTAAAAGCGAACATGTATATATGAATTTGTCCTCCCGCAAGTTGCGGACATTTTAATAATCAGCATTCGCAGGGAAGGTTTCGGGGTGTTTGGTGGGCTCGAAGACGGCGCGCGTTTGCACATCGCTTTATCGCACCAGTTGGAGATCGTCTGAATGTTGTGTTTGGGAATAACGTTTGGGCAGTAATTAGGTCATGATGTCGAATGGCTATACCTCGATCACCGGACCATGACCGCATGCGACGTTTTTGTGGGGTACAAGGTGCCTGATTATTTTGTGAATAATTGCACATGTGAATACTGTAAATAAAATCTAGTATTTTTGAGACTCTTACAAAATCGCCCATGCTATTCACGTCAATATAAAATAAATTAATACCAAATTTTTATCTTTATTTCACAGTAGCTAGAATACATACATTATATTTGAAATATTATTTTGATTCATACAATTAATTATTGCGCATTTGCTTGCCAATTAATCCAATATAGAAGTCAAATTTAAAATTCTTCACGCAGTCTACAAATATTAATAAAAAATAACAAACTATAATAAGGTTATATTTTGCAACGTATTAAATATTCTAGAACGCTGTTTTTCAGAAAGTAACCAATCCAGCTGCCGCGTAAGTGTTGTATAGACGTTCTATACCATGAATATAGGCTGCTGTACGTAAATTCAGTCCCAGATCGTAACTGTCAGCTACGTGTGTAATGCGCTGTAAGAAGATTAAAAGATCATGGGTTACGGTTGACGATTTTGGTGAGATAGTAATGATAACGATGATGGTGATGACGATAATCATGATAATATCGATGACGATAATCATGATAATATCGACGATGATAACAATGATATCGATGATGATAACAATGATATCGATTATGATAAGAATGATATCGATTATGATAAGCGTGATAATCATCACGGTGATTAAAATGTTGATGATGATCACACTAATGATAACGGTGATGATAACGGTGATGATGACGGCGATATAGTGATCACAATAACGATGTTGACGATTATATCGGTGAAGATAAAGATGATTATATTGATAGTGCTACCATAATGACTGCCTGACTCTGCAACTTTGATATAGCCTTCTTACTATCACGATAAAGTTGCATCTCTCAAATTCGAGAGATACGAATGATCTTTTTCTAATGATCTTTTTCTTCCTGATCTTTTTGTATACGTTTTTGAGAATTTTAAAACCCCCTTCGAAAATTCCAATATATTTTCTGGATGCCAAAAAATTAAATCTGTTTTTCGCTCCAAGCTATATATAAACCTTCACATTTGGAGTCGGAAAATCTAAATACCTAAACTCCTTTGCTGGTACCGAAGAAAGAAGTAATTTGATTAATTCAACGTTGTGTATCTTCCTGCATCTACGCTTCGCGTTAATCTTTCTTAACCTTCCTGATGCTTTCTAATCCTGCTCATCAATTTTTTTTTGTCCGAAGAGTAAAATACCTTTAGTTATCGCCAAAATATAAATACTTGTTTGCTTATTTAAAATGTTAGCCCAGCATCGACATACGCTCCAAATATTTTCTCAAGTGAAACGATATATGCCGAAGTACGGATATCCAGACCTAGATTGTATTCATCAGCAACCGACATTATTCGCTGTAGAAAGTAAAATGAGCAATCACAAATGGGTTCATTGATTGATGATATTCAGCAATGGCAGCATAAGAACTGATTTTGGTATATATCTCGTGTTTTTAGCCGGTGAAGCAGGCGTTTAAAGCTGTTATTCCTATGACAGCTTTAGTTCAGAAAATATAATATTTTCACAATCGGCAAATAACATTAAAAAGGGAGTACTTACATTAGCTGATCTTTCCATGGTAAATTCTAGACCCGAGTGCACTATGTCCTTTTCTGAGGCACCCTGAAAACACAACAAAACATAAGTTCCTTACAAGTTTCCTAATGTCGTTCTGTTCCAAGTCACTTTCACAGTCTTTTTGTATGGTCATATTATGCAACTAATGTGTACCCGGCTGCTTCAATGAACGGTTGCATCAAAAGCCAACCCCAAGTCTTCTTAGCAGCGCTATATATAGTAGCCGAATGCAGTCCTATTTGTTACAAAGGGTAAACCACCAGAGATGAGGCCTAGGAGTACTAAATATTCTGGCCAAGGTTTGATGGTAAAGTTTTCTTCACCTTAAACAGTTAATGAAGTAGAAACTTCAAGTGATGCTACAACATACCGCTATTCGTTCAGTGAATGCCCCCGTAGGGCGAATTGGTATATTTTTATCCAAACCTTGTTTCAAACTTTCCTCGACACTTTCTGAAATTACGATGAAAGTTAAAATGGCATTTCTATATAAAATAACTAAGAAACAACTCAATAAGCGACTCACTTAATAAGTGACTATTGCTTTCTTTCTCGTATTTCCAAGTAAGCCGACCGTAGCTAACATGATTTAGGTTCTTCAACCATTCAAAATAGGAAACAGTGACACCTCCAGCGTTCAGATACAGATCCTATATGGAAAAATATAAATATAATAACGAACGATTTTCTAATCCTGGAAAGATGCTTTTTGGATCTTATCACAATATTTCTGGTCTGGACTGAATTTCTAAACCGACACCCGTCAAAAGCGTTAAACTATAGTCGCTGAGAGAATATAATAAATTTGCCATTGCACTTACCGGAATAACTAGAACATTCTTTTCAATTAAGATTTTATCAGCTGCTGGTGTGGTTGGACCGTTCGCGCCTTCAGCGATAACCTAGAATATATTCAATTTTTTTTTACTATGCATGTAGCTAATCACCTGCCAAATATTTATAGGGTTTTCGTGAACCTTGTTCCCACGTTAGACCACATTACCGCCATTTACCAGAATTCCCCCACTCGTGCAGGCTCAACTTGTCATCGGTTGTGTTATGTAAAATTAGGATCACTTGGTCGAAAGAAAAGCTTTGGACTCCTCGTCTGCGAACCGCTGAAAATCTGAGCATGCTGTACTGGGAGTGAAATATCGATGTCTTAAACTATGTGGCACTTTTTTTTATGCTATTGTCTTTCCTACCTATAGCCTCACTTTGGTTTAAAAATGATATATTGCATTAAAGCGGGGCTTACTGGTAAAGGCAACAGTGTAAGGGAAACCGACTTACCTTTGCTTTGATATTGTGAGCATTTTTGGACGTGATTTGTTTCTCTCCTGCTGCCGGGATCAGGATGTCGCAATCAGCTTCGAGTAAATTTGCCGTGGTCATCTAGCAAAGAAAATAAATTTTGTAGCATTAGACTTCCAAGTTGCGTTAAGACTACCACCACACCTCTACAAATTTTTTTTCAGTTCTTGCACTGATTCTGACTGAAAGGCATTGTTGCATGATAAAGCTTAGATCATAGTTTGTGATGAAGAAGTTTCCTTATCAAATTTCAACGCTGATGCTTTAAATTATGCTTGAAGATGCACATTTTTGTGTTCAGTTGATTGATGATCAAAATATTTAGGGCGAGTCGTTGTATAGAGGTGCAAAACAAACTTGAAACTTAAATAAGTTATTGAACAATGACTGCTTTTGACCTTACAATCATGTTTACTTTCATTAACGGGGGACAGATCACTATCAAATTAGCTACTTCACTTAATATCTTACCTCTGCTCCTGGGAAACCAAGAATAGTCCCGTGTTGCTATGAAAAGAGAAAGAGTATAGTTCCTTGAAATCACAGTAATTATTCTCCCGTAAAACGAACGCATGAACCAAAATCAGCAGGGTATCACTTGTTCAACCTACCAGTTTATAATCTTCGAGATTTTTGGGATCGATGCCATTTTGATTGATTATGCTACCATCTCGTTCGATCACCCCAATACACTTCGCACCAAATCTGTGCAGATATCGACATGAATGCAGACCCACATTACCGAAACCCTGGGAAAGATTAAATAGTTGGTTTGTTTCATTTTCTTCTGAATTCTTAACTCGAATTAGAGATTTTGCACTATATTGAATCTATATACAATTTTACCTGCACGACAAAAGTTTTGTCCTTCAAGCCAGGTTTAAGACCGATCATATTGCAGTATTTTTCTAAATAGGACACAACTATCAGAAATGGTGGTCGGAATTTCGTGGTAGTCCAAAACTGGCGAATTGGGTTTTGTCGTATAATAGCGATTATAAAAGATGTTGGTAAATATAGAGCATAAAGCCAAACCTGATTTAAGGAAGTTGTCAATACCATGATAAACTCCCTGAAAGGAAGAGGAGTTCAACAAAAAAATTGAAAAAACATTCAGCCATTTTATTCTGCAGGCGACATGAATAATAACCAATACGGCAAACCGCTAACGACAATTGCGACAAATGGGTAATTTCAAGTTGCATTTAAAGATTTTTAGCACTTTTTGGACTGTGGTTACTTTATGGGCGTTTCCTTTATTGGGCCAAAATGGTCAAACCGATTATATTTTGAATTGAAATAGTATTTCTTTAGGAATATAGCGATGAAATTACATGATATAGGAAGATCTAAATAACGTTATAAATGCAGAGTTCTTGAAACACTCTAAAATACAGTAATCTTATTAAGTAAAAAGGAAAGCGCCCTAGCTACGTTTGAAACAATGCACCAATTTTCTAGACTACAGCAACCTGATATTTGTTTTGAAAATTCGAAAAGAATTTTGCCGTTTGAAGTTAGAGGTGTGCCTTAAACGCCAATCTAAAGGTCTCTAATCAAATTGTTGTATACCCTTCCTGTGGCAGAAATGCGACCATGAATACCACCACGACTTATCGGCTTTCCAGTAACACATGCATACGCATTGATATTGCCATGACCTGAGAAATAAATAATTGAAACTATGTATAATAAACTGCTCTCTGTGGTAGACCAGGTAGCGTATATTCCTTGACTTTCCATTACAGAGTCCGGTTATACGAAAACTATGACCTTGACTTTCCATTACAGAGTCCGGTTATACGAAAACTATGACCTTGACTTTCCATTACAGAGTCCGGTTATACGAAAACTGGATAGCGCTATCTACCGGATAGTGATTTTTAGGTCGCTCTAGAATTGGAAACAGCATTTTTTTTCACTAGAACATTCGCAGTCCCACACTGCGATACATGGTAGCACAAAATATTACGCTATACCATAACCAATATTCTACCATACATAATGTTCTACCACATCTACTGTTCTACCATACCTACTGTTCTACCATACCCACTGTCTTACCACACCCAATGTTCTACTTTACCTACTGTTCTATCATATCTACTGTTCTATAATACATAATGTTCTACCACACCTAATGTCATGTCATACGTATCAACCATCCAAGCCATTTCTTTCTCTCCAGTTCCCATGTCTGGAGCAGGCACGTCCAATCCTGGACCAATGAATCCTTTCTTCGCCAGTTCGACCGTGAACCTTCGAGTTATTCTCTCTAATTCACCATCCTTAAGAAATAGCATTGATAGTGCAAATGCAATATATGTCGGCGTGTCCCTAATATTTGGGCAATCGACTCGCCAGAGTATAATGGGGATAAGTGTGTCATTACTTTTATACAGACTTAGACTTATTGAGGCCTCATTTTAAAGCCGGGATATTTTGATCAGGTCGGATTTACAAATACGTGGAATTCTTAAAAAATTTCTTGACTTTTAAATTAATACCAGTGATAATTCTAACCATGCACTCTCCAAGTATTAAAGCACATATACATGCACTGAATTACCGAATAATGATGTGGATTGATGGCAATGCCTCCTTTAGCACCGCCAAATGGAACATCAACAACCGCACACTTGAAGGTCATCAGTGTTGCTAAGGCCTGGACCTCATCGCTGTTCACATCTGAACTGTAACGAATACCTAATGCAAAATGATACACTAAATATTAGTCTGCCATAATTGACTTGTATCTTACATCCAATGCATAACGTTTGACGACCTATATTGCTTGCTTATTACGGTCTTAGATGTCCAGTTTTATATTGCGGTCTGTGACACAAGCAAGCTTTAGATATAATATATGCCAAAATATAAGCCCCCTGAGTATTGTGGTAAAGTATGCGTTTCCAATCAGCATAATATGCCGCAACAACAAGCGTACGTGCGTCACAGACCGCTATATGAGACTGGACAGAAATATGTCTGGATTATCTAGGCTACGATCTGTTATTTTGCCACTTGCAGACGGAGGTTAATAAACGATAAACCATAATATTACCTCCTTTGCATGGCACTCTGTGATGGCTGTGCTGAGCTCTGTAGGCATTAATAACTTCAACTGAACCATTGTCTCTTCTCACAGGAAAATGGACAGCCAAAACAGCATTGCATGGTTTCACAATATCCAAGATACCTAAGTTGATGATATAGATGAGTAACAAGGTAGGTTTCTAGCATCATGAAGAAGGGTAGTAACATTCTATCGTCATGACACTGTGATGACACCTTTTTCGGTTTTTCGAAAGTGTTCTAAATCTTTTATGGTAATTTCGCCGGGAGTTCTCGGTAGTCGGACCCACCGTTGCGCCAATGAACAGAAAGGAAACGCACACATGCAAACACAAGCCGAATTCACAATCATGCCACTTTGCACGTGCAGTAAAAAAACGAAAAACTTGATACGTACGAAAGACACCAAAACAAACAAGCCTTGGTCTTAGTAGGTGGGATTGATCCCTGATGATAGAGTAAACTACGAGGTAATGATAGATCATGTCAAGAATCAAGTGTAAAAAGCATAAATTAAAGGATATTTTCAATGAGGCCATGCTTATGAGAGAGCTTGATGGTGTTGCATTTACACGACGGAGCCTTTAATTATTGCAGTTACAACGCTAAACTGACTTAATCATTTTTGAAAAAGGGCGTACTTAGCAGCTACACGCCAAGGTCAGGCCCCGACACTCCTGTCCCAACATAACCAAACGTTACTGGTCACTCCTTTGAAAAAGGGTTCCATGGAGGGAGATCGTTTGCACTTTGAATTTGGATGGTTTAAATTTGCAGCCTACTCGAATTCTCAGCCATTATACAAGAAAGGATGCAGAGTTCTGACTGCTAAGTTCAGCCTCGCATATGAACTGCGTACAGTCCTGTTAACGTCGCTTCAGATATCGCATCAGGAAGGCCGTTGATGAAAAGTAAGAAGACATCGGACTTAAAAAGCCTTCTTGAGAAACAACACTTGAGATAACCACCCAGTCTGAAACACCCATTAAGGAAATGACAAGCACTGCAACATAGGTTACTTATTACTATTAGAAAAGGACGTGTTTCTGACACCCCACAGCAGGATCAAATCCTTTTGAACGTGACCAGTGGTCAAGTACTTCCAGTATCATGAACTTGGAACAGAGTTTTGCATAAACACATCAGAAACAGTGTATCATTGGATAATATGCTTGGAATGATAGGCAGAAAGCTAGAATGTTGGTTGGTAATTGTTAGCAGGTTTTTATTTGGGTGAAAGCATAGGCAGCCCAGAAATCTGTTTATACTCAGTCTTCGACTGCATTGTTTACGCGCGCGGTCAGCTTCTACTGTCTGTACCAATTATATATGGTGAAAGCATTAGTTTTCCATTCACAATTCTGGACTGTTGGGAATGGTTAGAAATGAGTGGCAAAAAGTAACAATAAACTAGTAACAAAAAAGTAAAGCTGTGGCCAACTTCTTCACCCAAGATATTTATATCATACTGTATATATTATATCATAGATATTTATGTAGATACTTATATCATATACAACACATCAGGGGGTAGTTTCAAACAGCTTTGTTTTTCTTATGAAACTATGATATGTGGGTTCTTGACTGCAGGTATTGGATGTTGACACAAATTAGAAGTAACATTCATGTAAATAATGCTAGCTTGCAAAGAATGGTAGTCGGAACCCGGACATTAAGGCACACAAACTTTTCTTGTTTCATTTTCTCAGGTTGAATTAATTTATTTTGCCTCGAGTTATTGGCAACATTTCAGCATAGAGTTATGGAACTGTAGACACTGGTTATAGCAGTGTATACAACATACATGACTACCAATTATGTTATCACTTTATACATCACTGCCAACTGGAAAATGAAAAGGTTTGCCAATTTATGAATGAGAGATTAGCCCCCCTGAACATAAGCAAAAAATTATGTTTTCAGGGGGGATGTTACATCATGAAGTTACATCACTGGTTTAATTTCATTAGAAACATTAGTGTTTTTATGTTTTTATTTTAGATTTATTGGTATTTCCTAGTATTTTGTTCATGCCTACTTGAACAAATTATTTGCAATACCATATTTGGCCACATTTGGGGGTGTGTAAAAGGAGGTCAATAGGCAAAGTTATTTGACAAGAGAAACATCAAAGTAAATTGATAATACACGCTATACCGCTACGGGAAAAAGCAAGATTTTGCGGATTTTCAAGGCAAATTTAATAAAACCCTACGTATAATATTTCTAAGTAGGCACCACAATGTCTGTAATATACTAAGCACAAAATCGTAGCACTTTTTTAGCACTTAGAATTCAAAGAAAAATCGCTGGAATTCTGCTTTAATTTGCAGCCACCTGTAGCGTTGAACGCTCTGCTGCTGGCTTTATAAGCAATTGTCTTAACAAAAGCGAGACGATGGCATTGACGTTTTAGAGTATTTCATATATTTGGCGAACACACCAGCAACAACTTGTGTTTTTCTACGAAACGAGTGTTGTTGACAGGAAAAGATTGGAGAAAATTTAACCTTGTAAGCAAAAACCCAGCATGAAAATTTGTTTTGTTTGGAAAAACAGAATATGAGTATTAAGCTTGCTATGATCTAAAAATGCTGTACTTTATATCAATTGTCCAATTTAATTAAACTTATTCCCGTTCAGTAGCAATTGCAAAATTACATAACCGAGTCGTGTCTACACTAAAGTAGATATAAATTTTTAAAATAAGGACAGTAATAAATTCTCCTGCAACAGGTTGAAAACAAAAAACGCAACTTTATGTATATAACAAGAATGTCTATACTCCTTAGAGATTAAACTCCTAAGGTATTGCATTTGTAAGTGATAAAAATCTAAGGTTCAAATAAAGTATTGCAAAAATAACCACAAACAGATTTTAGACACACAAAAAGTATGTCACGTAAATCTACCTTTAACTGCTTGTCGTTTATGTTCTTGAGGAGTCGGTCTCTTCCCGGGGCCTTCAGTTCTAGTCGCCAGCCTTTCTTCAACATAGTAGCGTGCATTTTCAATAAAAAATTCGGTCATTTCATGAAAATTAGGGTCTTCTTGTTCTGCTATGTCACTTGAAATTTTCCTCGACGCTGGAACGCGAAATAATGGCCATCCACGAGAACTGCAAGTCAGATTTGCTGCAGTTCTGGGATTGAGCAATTTTCGAAACATATTGTTAGGTCGTTCAAGTGCTATCTGTTATAAAATCGGTCGGTTTTTTGCTTAAACTTGCTCTACATCCACGTATTAATACAACACCTACAGTAAATTTTGTAAGCTTAATCACCGGAAGTATGTGGGCAAATTAATAAACCGCTTCCGGAAAAAAACGAAACCAAAACGTCACATCCGGTGTGATGACTTCCTGTGATGGACCGATTGTCAAAAAAAGGACGAGAATTACCGCATTGCCTCGCGGTATATAGAAGAGTTCCTCAGAAAACGAAAGTAGCAAGTTTGATGGTAACAGTCCAATCAAGTATAATTTATTAAACATATCCAAATGCTACATTTCTCATAATTTTGCCATCAAATTGCACGTGCTCTGCCCCCAATATATTAACTAAAATTGCTGGCAAAAAGTTGCTGCATTTACAGGAAGTTACGTTACTTTGATACTCATATATACAGTTTTTGATGTCAATCGGGGCACTTTAAAGAGGCATGCTTGAGCTATGGCTATTTACAATTATAGCATTATGATATACATAAGGTCAGTATTCTTTGGATAAATGACAATAGAAAAATTAATCAAGAAAGATCAGGCAGTGCAGGCAATGAACTAGTATTTAGGTCCAAGAAATAGGAATGTTGTAGTGCCTTCTTGCATGAAATTCGCAGACTTGGTTGATAAATAAAGAACTTTTCCAGGAGATCCATGCCACTGCTACATAGAGTTGGTAAAATTTTCTTTAAACTATCCTCTGATCTTGTCCACTTGGGAAATGTTGCTTTGTACTGAGGCAACTTACTGACACCTGGCCAGGTGTCCTCTGTTGGTGTTCCTAAATGCCTTTAAGTGAGAAACAGAAAATAAAGGTATTTAAGAAAATTGTCACAAGACTGATATCAAAAACCATTTACCAGGTTCTATATGGTGAAGACAGTTAACTGAAGGGGTATTCTAGTGCAAAAATATATTCCTGTGTGCTAAACATCACAGTACCAGACCACAGCACCAAAATTAGCTGGTGTTAGAAAAGGACCTACACACCTAAAAATACGGAAAAGTTGATCAATTTCTGAGTCACCCCCAAATAGTGGCCGCTTGGTTACCATCTCTGCAAAAATACAACCAATGCTCCACTGGTCAACAGCAGTTGAGTAGCGAGGGGAGCCAAGAAGAACTTCTGGGGCTCGGTACCATAATGTGACAATCTGAAAAATATAGCTGTTCTTAGAACCAATAGAAATTCATATGGGGAAAGCAATGCTCTTGGCAGATGACTGGACAAATTAAAGATGGACATCCAATTGTTTTTTCCTAAACATTAAAGTAGTAGATTACAGTTTGTGGTTGTTTACCTCGTGAGTGTAAGCTCGGATAGGTAAACCAAATGCCCGAGCTAAGCCAAAATCAGCCAGTTTTATTACACCCTTGTCATCAATAAGCAGATTTTGTGGTTTGAGATCACGGTGAAGGGTCCTTCTTGTGTGGCAGAACAGCATGCCTGTCAGTATTTGGTACAAATAACTCTAAAAAACAAAAAATTAAGGTTAAGATGCAGGGATCTATTTAGTTTAAATAATACCTTGTCTATACATATGAAAACTGGAATTAATATTTTTTTTACTAATCAATTACCTTGACTAGCATTTTATCAAGTAATCCATTTGTAGTGTCAAGATGTTTCTTCAAATCCATTTTAAGGAACTCAAAGACTAAGTACAACTTTTCATCTTGATGGACAACATGTTGCAACCTACACAGACATTTTCACATAATTTTCATATACAGCCATTTAACATAGCTTGCTTAGTATTACCAATTGAACAACTTGTTGAAGTTCTGTTTACATCTTTCACTGATAAAACACAACTGAAATCTATCCAGAAAGCTACATTGTCAACATAGACATTCAAATGATGCCAAACTAGCCTGAATAACTAGTTTGACTTCTTTCATTTGTAACCTAGTTTTAACTTTCAAACTGACTTCTAAAAAGAACAGCTATGACAAAAATGCAATATAATGATCAAGCTTTCCAATGTTAGAAATGGGTGATGTTTGGTTCAATGCTATACTCACCATACAATATTTGGGTGCTGCAATTCTTTAAGCACAGATATCTCTCTTAGAGATGTACTTGGCATGCCTTCTTCTTCACATTCTAACCGAATTTTCTTCAAAGCGACCAATTCTCGTGTTTTTAAATTTCGCGCTTTGTAGACAATACCATATGTACCTAATGAACAACATGGCAATTTAGGAAAACTGATTTTATACACGAAGGCAGGCTAGGCAGCCTGTCTGTTTTGAAACGCAATATCAACACACCTTCGCCAATTTTCTCAATCTTTTCGTAGTCTTTCATTGACGTCATGATAAAATCGGACATGGAAAAAACTTTAGGATACAAACCTAGCAAGATATTCAAGGTAAACTGAATTTAATATTGCAAACACACCGCATTATGAAACCCTATTAATTTGCTATTCACTGGACAGAACGTGCATTTGATTCCCCCACGTACTTTCTCGTTGACTATTTAAGAAGGTGGTCAATTTTGTAAACAGAAAGGCTGAAATGAGCCATCTGAACTTTACTATATGTTGTCGCCATTTGATATTATAATACGGTCATTCAATCATGGCTGCCACGATGGAAAAACCGACGAATTCTTAGACCATGAAAAGCTTATAACTTGACCGGACAAGAATGAAATTATTTACGATTAAAATTACAATTATGAAGATGAATACAAAACGTGTACCTACCTTCCTTACCTAGCAGAAATCTTGCGCTACCACACTAAACAATCTCTTCGTCTCCTTTCACTTGGCCACTTTTTGAAAATGATAAGTTGATAATTTTTCGAATGTCGCGCATTTCGTTGGTTGGCCAATGAAAAGACAGGAATAATCATTCCTACCAATCAAAACAGGGCACTATGTTGCACACGTGATGTTTTAAATATCAGTCGGAATGCTAACGTCGTGAATTTTGATTGGTTCTTTTTCATCCAATTGGAACAACGTTTCCCTTCGTGTTCTTTTCTACGAGAACAATATGGAGTCTGTGTATGGACTATATTTTCATGTTCTTGAACTGCCAAATATCAAAATTAAAAAGCCGGGATGGCTCAAAGCCCCTTCGGCAATGGTAGTTTTTGCTTTGGTCCTTCTTTCCTATTTTTTAGTTACTGGAGGTAAGTCGTTTTCAGTGATAAATCGGGGGTTGAAGATGTAGGTCTAATGATACATAGTACTGACACGTTGGCTAAGCTGCGGAAACTTGAATTACAATAATCGTGTTCAAATAGGGGCACCGTATCCCCAGAAATGGCATTTATAATTCAACTGCTTAAACGCGGGTGTTTTTCAAAATTTTTAACTCATCTCATGCTCCTTACAAAGAGTGCCTACTACCTATATTATATAGAATTATTAATAAATAATAAATGCACTTGAGAATAGAGTGGAAAATTGCCAATTATATAGTGAATAGAAAAAAATTCTAGAACTTATTTTGTATTCTTGCAAAAAAGTTATAAAATAGAAAGAAAAGAAATTAAAATCGTTTCCGTTGTCGGATGCTTTTTTGCAAGCTCGAGTTATCCAGCAATTTACAGTGGCGTCACCAGGGGGGGAACTGGGGGGACTTGTTCCCCCCCCCAGTTACTCTCAAGACCACTTTTTAGATTTTTCTAAATCTGAAGAGAAAAGTGAGGAGGGGGGGTACAATGATTCTAATTTCCAACAGCCGTGTAAATAAAGAAATTTTCGAATTAACATTACTTTTGATCACGTAAAAAATAACATTAGAATTTAGAATAACATATCAGCATAGGAAAAGACAATGCAGATAAGATTGAGTTGGATACTCTTGCTGACACATTTAGATTATGGCTAACAACAGAAAGTTGCCCTTGTGAAAACGGTTTGTTTTTAACAAAAATCGCCGATCTCTGGCTTTCAAGATTGTCATAAAACCTGCCTGAAAATGTTGGAAATAGCATTTTAGAGAACCTAGAAATAAAAATGTTCTAGGGGGGGCAGTTGTTTCTAGGGGGGGGCAGTTGTTCCCCCGAACCCCCTAGAGTTCCTGCACCTTAAGTGTTTACATCGTCCCCCCCCCCCGGCCGGAACAACCTGGCGACGCCACTGCCAGCAATCAAGCAACAGCATTAGCCTGCATTAGCAGCTGTCCATAAAATTTAGCATTGGGTGCAGCTTTTTGTGTGGTATCCAAAAACTTATTCTTTCTCAGTGGCGTTGGCCAGCCTGATGATTTTGTCCCGCTATGTAAATTTCGAGTTATTATAATTATTCATTTTCTTAGAAATTTATTGTTTTCACAGTCAATGAACACCAAAATATTAGCATGCTGGGACAAATAGTCAGACTGGCTACACTACTGTTCTCAGGGGCGTTGGAACCACAAGGGCCTCCCTGCCCTTTGCTTATAGGGGTGAGCGGGGCCCTTTGCTACCATATAAAAATATCATAAATTCAACATTTAATCATGATGCCTACTTTTCGCATAAAAACTAACCGGTAATATTGAAAATGCGTTCTCTCATGGATTTGCAAGTTCGCATGTACTTGTAAATTTGAGTTTCCTCTTCGTGTGGTTTCTAAGGTAAAATGAATGTGCCCTTTTCTAAAACTCTGCCCCCACTGCCCTAAACTGCTTCCGGTGGCCCTGACTGTTGTTGGTACCCTGTATTTAGTGTTGAGTGTCACTTGCTGTATATAATTCTGTAAAAAGTTGAAATGTGAATATCCATCCATGTTCTCCAAGCTTCACTGGATAGGTGATCCAGATAGAATATTCTATTACCAGTTTCTTATTGCAACTCCAGGCCTAATTGAGCGCATGTTTCAAGTGGTTAAAACTGCATGTTAGAAATTTTATGCCAAACATTTTTTACATGAAATTTATTATTTTAGGTATTATTTATGATGTAATTGTGGAACCTCCTAGCATTGGCAGCACCACAGATGAACATGGGAACAGCAAACCTGTAAGAATAACTTTTTTCTTCAAAATAGGCTGGTTAGAATTTTATGTTTTGAACTAGTTATAGACAAGTATTGCTGTATTTGTTAACATGAATTTTGAACTTTTTCATAGGTTGCATTCATGCCATATCGAGTCAATGGGCAGTATATCATGGAAGGTTTAGCTGCAAGTTTCATGTTCTCCCTTGGTGGACTTGGCTTCATCGTTTTAGATAAGTCAAACTCACCTGGGTTGCCCAAACTCAATCGACTGCTCCTACTTGCTCTGGGATTTATTTGTGTCATTGTTGCCTTCATATGTTGTCGTGTTTTTATGAAAATGAAATTACCGTAAGCATTTCAATTGTCCTTGTCAAGTATTGTAATTAAGATTTATAGTGTAGCAGTTGTTTTATTAATAGGATGTGAGTTAGTTACTCAACATTTTGTTCAGTCAAAAATTTGCAATAATTTCATCACAGTACACATCATCACAAAGTTGTTCAAAATTTTTTTTGGAAATGTGAAAAATATAGTGCAGTTTGCAAATTTTGCAATAATGTTATATTTCACAAAATTGTTACTGTCTAAAAAAGTATCAATTTTGGCCATTGAACTCAATAGGCTTAAAGGCATCAAAGGAAATAGAGTTGAAATATCACCTTGAATATTGTGTCTGGCTTTTTAACAGCTCATATCTTGAGTTTACAAGATGTTTACTTTATTCTCGGAGTACGTTTTCTCTTATATTTCGCTAAATTGTCAGCTGGAAAAGGTTTTCAATGAAGGAATATTAAGTTTGAATTGAATTTTGTACATTTTGAAATGAAACTTACAATTTAAGATTTGCGAATGTAAATGTTGTTATCATGCTTATATTTTTATTCTATAACATTTTAGTAACACCTTTTTTTTCTTTTAGGGGATACCTTTCAAGCTATTAGGATATGAAATAGAGGACTTAAATTGTTTTTAATAAAAAATAAATTTATGAATATCATTACTGGACATGTGATAGTGTATCCCTTGCTTTTGAAGACAGCTAGTGCAATCCATTTCACATGAGGTAAGGGAATGATATGAAAGATTGTGAAAAAATTATTGCAATTTAAGTAACGTGACCGAAATGGTCTTCCTGGGATCAAGTTAGGAAGCACAATCTTGCAATCATTTGCATTTTTTTGCACTGACGAGTTTGGTTTGTGATAACTAGAACAATTTGTGTGAATATATAATTGATATAATCTTCCACAAATATATTAAAAAAGTATTTATCCCAGCAATTAGAGGAATTCTTCATAATTTCTCACATTTACACCACTGTGGTCTTAATTGAAGTTTATTACTGCATAACCTTTCCATTACTTAAATATTCCGTAGCATACATTATGTACTTCAAGTCAAAATATTTACTTAAAAAGTTACATTTTATATTACCGTAGATATTCAAGTTATATATAACAAACTGGTTATTGTCCAACTAACCATACCCCTGCAAACTAACTAACTCTAAAGACTGAAAACAATTGTATAATGAACATGAAGAATCGTGAAGACTTTTTTAGGACAGAAATGATGGAAAGATACATTTGCTGTGGTTTCTATCTTAACACATGTCTCCTAAAAGAAACTCACTAGTTAAAGTCCTCCATGTCATATATACTGTTTTCAAAATTAGTCCCCAAATCACCCTGTGTTACGTTAGGGTATCACTCTAAACTATACTTCAAACTTTAAAACACGCCCATGCTTCCTAGAACTATCCCTTAGGTGACTATGGGGGCTACACCAACCAGACACCACCCTTATCTTTAATACTTTTTCAGCGCTTCTCCTCAAAACATTCGCCAAGTGACTTATCCCCAACGATCTCATTCACACTATCATGCTCGGGGTCGTTTTTGACTGTGTGTTCGTAGTTGGCTTTGTAATTCTTTTCAACATGTCCGGTAACAACTTCTTTTTCGTCATTAATTCCATGTTCAATACAGTTATTCAGCTCGTCAATTTTATCATCCATTTCACTTGAACAATCAGATTTGTTCGACTCGTCTTCATCATCATCATCGAATGGCGAAGGAGAATTACAACGGCCGATCTCAGCACCATGGAAAATATATCGACATGTTGGCAGGAAAATATGAGGGACATCTAGAAAGTAATTAAGTCGATTTTACAAGAAGTCGATATACATAATTTTTCCAAAAGCAAAGTATTCTGGGAAGATTTTTGCTTTAAAGAGCAGCCTGTGCTAAGCGTTATTAAAGTTTGCGATGAGAGTCATGAGACGGACAACTTAGCTAAAAATTGACAGGCGGTTCAAGTTAAAAACATCAATTTGTGGAGCACTGTTTGGCGTACAGAATCAATAATGTTGGATTTTCGAAATTTTCGTGGTGAAATATGACAAACAAATACTTGCCACCCTATGGTTATATGGCGTAATGAACATGAATATTGGTGGAGATCTGATGCCATATGGCTATGGAAACACCGAGTCTGTGTCAGTGAATAATGTGGATGGTGAAAGCACACTGAGCACTTGGCACAGGTTTTGTTTTTTACCTTTGTTTTCTTTTTGACCTAGTAAATCACAACTTTCCGTGACCCTATTCTTTTCCGAGTCACAGAATTCCTTGTGGGGACCATCGTCGTGGTTAACAACCATTTCGTTGTGAAGATCTTCAGGGGAATCTGGTGGTGTTTGTAAGAAAGGCTCGAGAAATTCCTTCGGGACGCTGGGTATTTCAAACCCTTGCAAAACCTGACTCCATGGTTCACCAAGCTGCTTACACATGTGTGCAATAATTGTGTCACAATCTCCAAGGAGCTCCACATCAAAATTCATATTTGATAACGGTTCGCGGTTGATTAAGATTTGTGGAATGTTCGCTGGGATCTGATCTGAAGTAACACCGGTTAATACATGAGAAATGATTGCCGAATGACATCTGGGCCCAGTTGTATAAAAGACTAGTTAACTTTTAACTGTAGTTAAGGACAGAATTGACCAATCAAAGTTGTGTATTTCTGAGTTAACTAGGATTTAGCTAAGCAAAGTGTAGTTAAATAGTTTTATACAACCGGCCCCTAGATTAAGAATGAGTTGTTGACATGGAGGGTTTCCAGTTTTAGAAGATCTTGTAAGAGTCTTCTTTGACAGTTTTCAAATGTAATTAGCAAGTGTCGATCTATGTTTGTTTTCAAAACGAGTTTAATCCTGGGGTGTTGTAAGAATCTTTTTCGAGGGCCCGGTTGTCAATGCGAGTGAGTGTCGGTTTAAGTCTGATTTAAGAATGACTTTTTCATGGTGTGTTTTAGGAGATCTTGTAAGAATTTTCTTAGAGGGTCGATGTTAAACGAGTGTCGATTGAAATCTGATTTCAATCTTATATAGAGGTTCTCAATATAAACGGGTGTCAATTGATCTCTGATTTAAGAATGAGTTTATCCTGGAGTGTTTTAGATGTCTTTTGAGAGGGTTGTCAATTTAAACGAGTGTCGATCGATTTATGATGTTATCCTTAAGTGTTTGAGAAGATCTTGTAAGAATCTTCTTAGAGAGTTGTAATTATCTTCAAACCAAACGAGTGTTGTTGATTGATGCGCATTTGGGGAGATCTTGGAAGAATCTCAGGAATATTAAAGTTGTTTTGCTTACTTGGAATTAAATTGACGGGCCTGACTTTCAATGAAGAACCAATTACGATTAGCAAATCAACCTGAGAAAAGCAAATGGTAAACAAACAATTATTAATGTTGAAAGTGAAGCCCATCGGATCTTCAAATGCCATGTTGAATGTGAATATTTGTCTCTCGAAATAACTTCACTGTGTCATGGTTCTAATTTTACCTGATTTATGTCCTGTTCAATACAGTCATAAAACGTCTGAGGCAGACTCTCGCCAAAAAACACGATATCTAAATAAAGATGACAGATGGATGTGAAGTGAGAACGATAGTGTTTTGCAAACAAAGCAACGAGAAATCGCATCATTTACCAGGCTTCATGACGGAAAGCGTGTCTTCAGAAACTTGACATTTTGGACAAAAAGGTGTCACCTAGAAGCAATGAAGTTACCAGAAGAACTTGTCATAAAGTATTCAATAGCTATGTATTTCAAGTTGGGGATTTCAGAGTATTGTTCGGAAGGAGGCAATCTTTAAACGAATGATTGCTACAACTTTACCAGGCAGGTATCCAGTCGGAAATTTTTGACAATTTGGGGTTCTTTGAAAAAGGAAAGGACACCACGTCATTTGTTGCGTTTTTCATCTCATTATTGCGTGTTTTTCTTGTCAATTTTTTTATCATAAATTATGGCAAAATTTACAATCTGCCATTATCGTGGATATGCCATTCACTAATTCAATGACATGTAGTTGTATGTGTATCGCCATCAAACAAATGTTACCTGGTTCAAAATATCATCACGGATAGCGGTTGATGGTACATTGTATTTACAGTTGGTGCATGACGCTGTTGAGAACGAACCTGGAGGGTAAATCGGAAAATTCTCTGTTTCGTAATTCACATTGTCATGACATTAAGTCATTATACAAAAGTTTCACATTATAAAAAAGTTATTAGAATTTTGCCAAAGACCAAGGTGTTCAAGCACTACCCACCGTGACACTCGATAACTCGCGTAATTCCCGCCTCTCGTTCCAAAGTATCGATATTTTGAGTGTAGTTTCTCAATAACTTATTGCTTTTTTCCAAGTGATGAATGAAACGGTGACTCAAAGAAGGTTTAAATTTGCCCGGATAAATTTCCTAGTAAACAGAAAGCCAATGTCAAGACTCAAGTTTTGGAATTCGTGCCGAGCTAAGCGCTTTGGAAACTTCGCGCAATTTCTATACCTTGGCAAACTTGTAGAAAGGTTTCGTATTGCTTCGGAAATATTTGATATCAAACATAGCCTGTGGATCTGGCAGGTCAGGGTATTCCTTACTTAGTCTTGCATAGATTCCATCACGAGATCGGAAATCTGGAATACCACAAGACACAGACACCTAGAAAAAATAATGCCATAGTTTCTAGATGCCAATCTATCTTTAATGTTGTGCACACTAGTCTAAAGACTAGAAATTTTCCCCCTTAAGAAGCCTCAAGCACCCCTGCTTTTTAGCTGATCTCTGCATAGTAGCTGCATACAATTTTCCAAATAAATCAATGAAGTAACTGGATCAAAATGGCAAATGTTGAGATACATAAATTATATTGGATTTACATACCCCTGCTCCTGTCAAAACCAAGATGTTTCTGCATGATCTCAAGAGATCTAAGACCTGATCTAATGTATTAATATCAGGCAATTTTTGTCGAGGTTGTGGGTCAGTGAGCAGATCAAAGATCAGTTTCCACATCATATATAAATCCATACCTTCAGGCTAGGAATAGAAATGGGAATGGTATTTTTTTGCATTCTGCAAATAGTACCAGCTCACAAAAGCTCAGTATTACAAGGTAGGAGTGGTGGTATAGAATTTCCCAAAGATATTGTTAGTATACTTTGGTGGACAAAGTGAATAAAGGAATACAATGATTTAGTTGTAGCTGACTGTTATACCAGTGAAAAATTTGATGGTAGCATTTCTTTCAGAATATGACAAGGATCAGTACCAAGCTCGATATGTCTCTGAATCCAGCCCATTGGACCTAGCCAAAGAAAACTAAAAGTTATTGTATACAGGTCTAAAGTTTGATCCTAAGGGAGTGGTTATAGGAGTCAATGACTCCTCACCTTCAGCCCTGTTAACACTTGCAATTTTTGATGTGATTGTCTGCTTTTGATAGATGTAAAGTAAGTAGAGATAGGTATGGTGTTAAAATATAGGCAATTATATCAGCGCATTCATAACTACACGCTCATTTCCATCAATCAAAAGAAGAAAATTGCAGAAAAATTGTTTTGTAATGATATGTGTTGCTAGAGACTTGTTTTAGACATTTAATTCCGTAACTTTGACTTTTTATAAATAATTACCAACACCTCACATGGTAGCCGGTCCGCCGGTCCCTGAAATGGTAACCTCTTTACTCGACCCAGTTTCAATTTTGAAACAAAAAGTGCGCGGAATTCCGCCATATTGCATTTCCGGAAAATTTGAAGCAAAATCGAGATAATTTACTCTCATTTATACTTATTTAAAGCAAATTTCTATCAATTTGCCTGCAGATGAAACCAGTCTACCTTTAAGGCTTAACATTTCGCCATAGGACGCTTTGGAAATAAGTGAATAGTCCAAAATATAGGTGAATATTTGTGCCAACCGGAAACCAAGATGGCGGTCTCAAAACACAAACAAATATGACTTTCTCACGCTTATTGTTCACAAGAAGGTTTTATAAGCAACTGATCGACGTTACCTGCCACAGGCTGTCGATCCTGCCCCTCCGGTGCGTCAAAATCGTCAAAACATTCAAAACCAAAGTCACTAAGCTCCGAATCGTCATCGCCATTGACCTCAGTAATGGCGCGAAAACTAGTAGATTCGCCATGTGATTGTACGTCGTGGCTTTCGTCTTTGGCTGGGCATGGAGGCCCAATTTCAGCTTTTTCTCGCGCTAAAACTTCGTCATTCGATAGCTCATCCGTTAATCTAGCCCTTTTTGCAAGGACATCGTCAATATCTTCAAAATCTCGTTTGGAATTCATGGCGAATATGTTATTAGTTTCGACTGTTCGACACCACAATGACGTACGCAATAAGCATGCTTTCGAATTCTTTGAATGAAGAAGCGGAAGCAGCTTTAGGGGGAGGGGAGACTAAAGTAAGGGTTCTTCCAGAAGGACGTTTATTTCAATAACTGTTCCTAAAAATAACCGAAATATTAAAAGGGACAGGTTTGAGATTTATTTTATCATTCTGAATTAATTTTTTACAGTTTTAACGAACATTTTAATGAAAAACTTCATTTAGTTTTTGCGCCACCCCTCCCCGAGTAGGTAGGCAATTTGTTCAAAATGGCAGCGAAGGCACCCAAAGAATGTAACACGATTCTTGCAGAATTTTTTGCTGAAAACACAATCAAAAAGTTAAACGAAAAGCACCAAACCATTTTTAATCCAAGCCAATTTCTAAAGGATATATTTGATGTAGTTTGCCAGTGTTTTCCAGCAAATTTCGACCATGAAAATGAAGTCAACATTGTGACAGGAGTGGGCAAGTTCAGCTTGCTTGACTTTTCTCCGCGAATATGTGAAATGTTCTCTTCAACAATTATACTCCAGGCCTCAGCAGAGTATCTTAAAGATCTTGATAGTTCTAAAAAGTATCATCAATGCTTAATAATATGCAAAGTTCTTGCTGAAATTTTCAAAAATTGTAGCTGTGAGTGGATTATTGGAATTGATAGTATTAAAGCTCAAGATTTGAAACTCTTGGAAACGTCAGATTTAGAGGAACAGAACAGAAATATCACACAATTCCATATTTTTCTTTTAAAGTTTATAAATTTGATGTCACTTGATTTGACCAAGCTAAACGATTGTCCAAAGCTGAAATTATATCCAGGAATTTTGCAATTGTGCTTCTTGGTCCTGAAAAAACTTTCAGAGAATTCAACAGTTGAGGTTTTTAGGAACTTGTGGTTATCTATACAGAAAAAGGTTTTGTGTGAAATCGTGATGATTTGTATCCAACAAGTTGGTGACCAATGCTGGGCTTTGGATGACTGTAAGAAAATGGCAATGGCTGTCTTGGAGTCCTTAATAGTTATGTGTGGCTGTAGGGATGTACTTGGGTTGCTATGTGGAAATGGTGGTAAAACTCTAAAAGAAAGAGACTGTTGCTTCTTTCCAAATGGTGTTCTTCGTAGTGTTCTTGAGAAAATGAAAACATTCATGTCAAAGAACAAACTTCCTGATTATCCAGTTGCAGTACACATTATAGTGTGGTCCATCAGAAATATGAAGCACCCTTATCTTGGTGAGCATATTTCAATGATTTTACCACCACTTTTAATGTTGGTTGATGACTATCGAGTTGAGAACCGTGTCACTGGAATAGAAACCTTATCTCATGTAATTGAAAATATGAATGCGACTGAACTATGTTGGTATGGGCGAGCAAACATGATTTATGATGCATTACATCATCGCATACGTACTAACCAGCCAGAGGTGATGCGTGTTTTACAGCTTTGTTTACTAAAAATAATCAAAGTTATAGAGCCTTCCCCGAAGAGACCAATTGCCTCTCCTAAAATGAACAAATGTGATGAAAATTTCCAAATCATCTTGACTTCAATGGAGTTTGAAAGTAAAATTGTGATGAGACGAGCTTATTGTAGTAATTTGGCCTTGTTTATTGATCACATGGGCATCACCATTGTTCGACATTTGACACGCTTGTTAAGGGTTGTGTTTGGATATCTTGAAATTGGAGATGGCGATACTGAGGATTGGCGGTTACTTATGCTTGATATTTTGAAAAGTATTCTCCTCAATGCTTGGCCTAAGGTTCCAAATTATATGGATGATATACTAAGGTGTCTAATGAAGGTTGTAATTGATGTATCAATGTCAAGTGTTGCACTCACTTTGAAACATTCAATGTTTGAGAAAATTGAGAACTGTTTAGTTCTGTTACTATGTTTGTGTGGTGAATCTGTAAGAAACCAACTTGAATGTATGACATCTGGCATTGGCCTAAATGAGGCAGAGGAACTGATCACTAGGGCGTTAGATAGATACAATTCTAACCCACATATCGAAATGTAAATGCATTTGGATTCTACAATGAAAGAATGATTAATTTTTCAATTGAAATAATGAATAATTATTTAGTTCTGCGCAAATTAATCTCTCCTATGAGAGAGAGTTGCTAATTTCACATTGGCATATGGGCCTAAAATATTGGGTGCAGGGTAAGAGGGGTGTGTCAGTGTGTGGTAGGGAGGGGTGTGGACATTCTTCCACCACCAGCACCTCCTATTCCAGTGCTATATAAACTATACTTTTTGTCCATTTTTTTGTTTTAAAAGTTGTTTGAATGCAACCAAAATTTATATCAACTGCTGCTTACATGCAACTACTTGCTCTATGTTTGGGGGTGGGGTATATTTATACAATCATGTTCAAATAAGGTTAAAAACAATCTCTTTCGAGAATGAGACGAATAAATGAATATACACATCCCACATTTCCAATTTTTCTGATTTTCGGTGAGATATTTTTTTGAGAGCGTGTAGTTAAGATTTGAATATCCCTAACTGATCTACTCTTCACATCTATCAAAAGACCGCAATTTCATTGATGAGGCGCAAATTACAGGGTTGTGTGAAACCCTACATCAAATTGACCAAATTTCGAAATTTTAAAAAATCATTCGATGATTGTGGTTGGATGTAACATGTTTCGGGAAGTTAATATGGAAAGACAGGAAAGTCGCCATATTCTGAATCTGATGTCATTCGGGTAATGCTAAATTTTCAGCGTCCAGTCGCACGATCCACTGTTGTAAATGGGTTGTGTAGCAAAAGTATCAAGGGTAGCGAAGGTACCTAGACCCCGTTTACACTAGAACGAAAGTCTCCGGATTTGTAAAACTATCCGGATTCATTGTTACACACATGTATCGGATTCGTCAGGTGTTTACACTACACTTTAGTTGTCTCTGTATGCGGATTTGTCCGTTTACACTCACATTACTTGTTCTTGGAGAATTGTTTGGTCGTCACGTTTGAATTTCTTCGGATTCCTCGTGCAAAGCGTTTAAAAAAATTTTCCGGATTCAAATGTTTCTGGATACGAAGTTTCCACAAACTTTTACGGATTCAAAGTTTCCGGATACGGCTTAAAACCGAGTACATTTTCTATCGGATTCGTTGCTGCGTGTGCAAACAGCAATCCGGTACTAACTGAACATTCCGCTTTCGTGATGAATCCGGAAACTTTCGCTCTAGTGTAAACGGGGTCCTAGGCTAGTGAAGGTATCTAGCCAGGCTAGTAGAAAAGGTATCGAAGGTAGCAAAGGTATCGAGGGTAGCAAAGGTATCGAAGGTATTAAGGGTAGCGATGGTATCAAAGGTAGCGAAGGTGTCGAAGGCAGCAAAGGTATCCAAGGTAGCAAGGGTATATAGCGAACCAGTGCCACTGGGCGCCGAACTGTCGCAGTATTTCCAGCCGTATGTTTATTAATATTAGCCTGAGTGGCAGGTCTTGGTTTAAGATGCGCTGTTCAGAATCGACCTCGAACTGAAAAACGAGTGCCTGACACCCATGCTACGATCATTTTTAACGGTTGGGGCTGTCGGTGAATTTTTATATCTGTGCATGTATACATTTTGTACCAAAGGATAGATTGTAAAATTAATGAGTACAGCTGCGAAGACCATCCTGAGGTTAGTAAGCAGTTGTTAATATTGTGCAATGCGGAAAATATAGTGCAAATATGGATACAGTGCGGTCAGGTAAGGCATATTAAAATAAGGGTTCTCTCGCTCAAAAAAAACTTATTTTGACGAGCTTTCGACCACCAGACTGTAATGTTTCACCTGTAAAATACCGCAGTCTGGTGGCCTTTGAAAACTCGAAAATTAAATTATCTCTGGTCAGAGAATCTCCCCTTTTATGGTCCATTAGCTTCGCAACCATGCAAGCTTTCCAATTTTCTCGGCTAATTCAGGAGACTCTTTAGGAAACAATTCAAAATTTCTTATTTTGTTTCGATTAAAATGATAATAATTAATGATAATTTAATTCTTCAGTGCGCCTTTGCAAAAATTTCTCGATGCTCATTACAATGGTATTACATTACAATGGTATTACAATATATATTTGAACTAAGAACTAACTGTAAGCTTGGTTAAAAGGAAAAGTCTTAAGTTTATTTTTAAAAATATCAACGACGACGCCTTTACAATGTGCAACTCGCCTTGCAACCTGCAATGAATTCTACTCCTGAGGCATCTTAAGTTGACAAATACGAATATTTCTTACGATCTGCTAACGTATTCTGGTATTTCGAACACTCTTTACAAATTAACATCCCTCAAAATTATAATTGCATTGCAAGTTGCAAGGAATGCATGCATGGTGCATGTAACAGCGCCTTTCGTCTATGATATATGCATCGGATGCCTTTAAAAATGCGCAACGCTACAATACAATCATTGGCAGTACCTGCCGAAAAAAACAAACCAATATTCCCAATTCTCTTTGATATTCCCGTTATCGAACGCACCGCACTTTGCTGTATTTGCCGTTACTTATTGCGGGTTATTGAAAGTAGAAACTCTTTCTAATTGCCTAATTATTCCTTTTGAGCAGGGCTCTTGTGTTCGAAGCGCGCTGTTTTGTGTCCGCATATGATTCCTGGTGTGTGACGGCGCGGTAAAGGGCGGTCTGAGGAGGTCCCTCGGAAGATTAAATCAATTTAATGATGATCCCTTTTCGCATTTAAATCATTATGCCTTCAACCGCTGTTAGCAGTGTATCGATTTCGAAGCCACGGTATTCGAGAAGATTGGTCGTCTGAAAGTTGGGTGAAATCACATCGACTCCTGTCTGTTCAATTTGTTCTGTTTCCAAGCTGTCACACAAAGGTACCACTTGTAAAAGAACGTTTTATATTTCGTTTTGTATAGTTTTGTACACGGAATAATCAGATAAACCTACGGTGTTTGTTGAACAAATCATACTCGGCTCATTTGAAATGTTTGGGCCGGGAAACTGAAGCGCTCTTTATGCCAAGCTAGGGAAAGCTTTAAATTCGCTAAATGTCAGACAAAATGCACATCGGAATTGAACTAATTAATCTTGTCTGCAGCTACTTAACCGAATCCTGTAAGTTGGATTTGCGAAACCAGAAAATAGCAAGTTTTGAGAGGCACGTTGTTATTGCTGCGACATGCCGACTGCAATAATTGTTTTACGGAACAACAAAATATTGTAACAAATCGCGTAGCGTAAATGTCTGCCGGTGTAGATCTTCGCGATCGCTCGGGGTTTACCGTATATTACTAATAAAGTATAACAAGCATGCATGGTTTGAATGAGGGTAAACATATAGGTGCGTACAAATTAATTCGTCTAGATCAAGATTCACCAGATATACACCGTATATATCCTGGATCATGCATATAGGTTAAAAATCTTAAAAATCACTTACTATCATAACTTTGCGCACTATCATATACCTTTGCGCAAGCACATACTATGTCTATATGTGAATGCGTGTTACGATTTACAAATTGACCAGTCATCCAGATTTTTCCTCTTTAGACTGGCCTTTTCAATTCATTTGTAACCAGATGTATTGACAGCCCTTAATTGTTTGATCTTTTGAGGAGTTTTTTTTATACGGCTTAGGGATGTGCTGCTTGGACATTTTCTTTATTTACAGTGTCAGTGTCGGTTACCTCACAGATGCCTTAGTTAATTGGTTAAGCGGTATGGCACCTTTTTTCATTGTGCGTTAATCGATTTTCAATATGCCCCACGAGAAATAATGAGTTGAAAAACACAAAAACATTTATTCAGCTTGCGGAGAATCAGTTTTCATGCATGTACTCCAACAAAGATGTTTTGCTCTTGCATACAGATATGTCAATGTGTGACAAGCGTCATTGACTTATTCTATCATATATATTTATATGCGTATTATACATGCACACATATACTGACTTATGTGATTATACAAATTGCATTATATATAATGGGGTTCTGAGTATGCTCAAGCCAAGCTATAAACGAAGCAAATGACATTTTTAAACTGTATTTTTCAGTGCTTTAATACATATATCATAACTTGCAAACGAAAGTCTTTGAGGCACCTTAAAAGTCACTTCTTATTGATCCAGTTTTATATAACATGGCTAAATTTGTTTTGTTCGAATGTTCCATAAGCAGTAAGTAGTCCTACATAGGCTACATCGGATTCAATTTAATTTTATTGATCCAGTTACACACACCAAAACATGAAAGAGTGCACAGCCAGAAGCAAGCAAGCAAATTATGCCTTGAAAATCGGAGGGATTTTCTGCATGCATATGAATAGTTAGGCCTGTGCAAATAATATAGAATATGGGAAAGGGGGTGCAAGGATAGAACATTCGTTAGATGCGTTGACTCTCACTATACTATACATTAAAGATAATGGTTGTACCCAAGTACGCCTGATTAGATCGAAATTGGTCGGTTCTTTTCTGCGCTCTAAGAGTTTTTTCAATGGGTACTACGGATTCTTTTATTGGAATTTGTAAATGAGCCACGCGCCAATAACATATACTAACCAAGTTGTTATAACCTAAATAGTAAAGAAATACGAGCTACTGTTTGAACTCAGGGATACTGTTTATATGATATCACTATAGCCTTCATGCGAAATTTTGGAAATTGATCATTTGTGGCGAGATAAATTATAGAATAGCGTTGAATGCGGTTTCAGCAGTCCTAGAATAGAAAACATAATAAAACATGCAATATTAACGTTCAACTCCCGAGTGCAATGTTTTGCAATGAAGTTCGTAAGGATCTGAATGGTTTACTTGTATGAAAAAACTAACATCACCTATATATGTATCTCGCACAGTCAACACCCTGTTTACATCACTTATCATTCGTTCATATAATGCTTTTTGCAGACTCGTCGTGGCATGCTTTGATGAAGTCCTTTTCATAAATTTTTGTGATTTTCCCCCTTCATTCAGTATTTAAATGGCAATTAGTCGCTTAGAATTCGGTAATAATAAGACTGCCTGTAGACCGTCGTATGCAGCCATTTCAATCAAACCTCGCGCTTGTCAAAACGTGAATTGGTTAATGAC